GATCTTAAAGAAAACAGGATATGGGTGCTGGGCCCCAGTTCGTATTCTATATGCTTCGTGCTAAGATGTTGCATTAATGCCAATCATTAGACCGGGTTTAGCGCCAAGTTGACTGGGGTGACAATGAATAACGATCAAATGGAAAGGAGATTGTGTACAGCCGTCTCCCATTGAACTAGACTTTGCTTCACATCCTCAACTCCTTACGGAATGAAAATCAGTCAAATTTTTTTGATTCATTTTCCTCCCGCATCCTTGCTCGCAGTTCTCTTTCTTTGCTGGACAGAATAATCTATGGCAAACATGCTGGATTTTCTCGACCATAACCGACGACCAGCTGAGCACTCGCATGAAATATTTCGCCAAGTTGAGACCAACACGACCAATTTCTATTTTACTCACCCTTTTTCTTTTAATTTATTTAATTTATTTTTAACGAGAAATGGGCAACTTTGATGGTGTCACTTCTTAATAATATCAAAGAGACCAATGATAGAGCAAACTGTATGATGTATGATCACCAAGGCGTGTACGGAGTATGGGGATAGCACACAGGAGAAATGATGCCCAGCTCCTTGCCATCGAGACCGTGTCTCACTAATGGCAAGGTTGCGATCAAAGCACAGATTAGATCCAATCATTCCGCAGGAATTAGCGCTTTCCTGCACTCGTACGAGACTTCGCGTCGCATGCCCAAAGTGCGATTAGATCAGACAACTATAAGTACCGTAGCTTTGCACATTGTCTTAAACACGAGAGTCCAGCAACCGCAACCGCAACATAATCCGAAAGCTCACCTCAAGGATCGCTTTTCGAGGGTACTAAACTATCTCCTCTAACATGTATGTACTTTCCAAGCAAGAACAATTCATTCCCTAATTAATACTCTCTGTTAGCGAGAGTTACGATGCAGAAGGCATTGAAAAGTGCAACCGGCAAGGCCGTCGAAGGAAATGCCTGGAAAAAGTTCACCAATCCAAGTGTGAGCCGTGGGAAGACCACTTTCCCGAAGACACAGGCAGAACAAGAACGTCTGGGGGTTCGATGGGACTATGATGGAGAGGTCACCAAAGCGGATGCGGTTTATCACAAGTTCCAGATGCAGCCAAACGCTGGCAAAGTCCCCTCTTCAATCAAAACGTGGAGAGAAGGCCATGGTGGGACACATGCAGTCATGGCCACTGCCCTAGTCAAGAAAGATGGCTCGAAGGAAGATGCTGAGAAGGGCTTGGGCGACGCCGCAGCTTCGGTCAAGACTTGAATATCTTATAGTTTGAAACTATGGTAGATAGTCAATGCAGCAGATCTACGATTTGAACCAAATGGAGCAAAGTCGGCATCTTTTTAAATTGAAGTAAGCATGTTCAGCCATCAACAGGAATCCAAAGGGTAGCTAGCTTTTGTTTGCCACACGGACTAGAAAAGCTGGTTTTGCCAATAACATAGATGCAATTAGTCGTCCTCCTTCGCGCAAGCTATTCCAAGATCTAACTGAGCATACTCATGTCGGCGCATCAACGCCGGGATACCGGAGGATTTATTAATCCTTCATGTTTTGTAATTTAAATTATATAGTTAATCACATCTCCATAACTAGTTATAAATTGCTGGGAGAGTGGATACAGACATTGATTGGACCCCTATGTTTTCAATACGGAAGAAACCGACAACTCACTAATGCCTAAGGCAAAAACTGCGAAACTGTGTACTGACGGTACCGGCCAATAATATCTTATCCTACCAGAATCTCTGCATTAACTAAAGGGGGTCCGGATCTGCGCACCATCGATTTTCCCATTTGCACCATTTTACGTCAGCATTTTCGGAGGATGTCGGATAAGGTCATGTGATTTTTAACCTCATCTATCAATCTGATATTGATCTCTATAGCAACCCATTATTTACAAGATCTATTTAAACCCTTCCACCCCCCAGATCTCTCTCTCTCTCTCTCTCCCCCGCACCCTAGATCTTGATCTCTCTCTCTGCACCCCACATCTCTGATTTCCATCATTTTACCAATCATTCTTATCAAAATGACTGATATCAACCCCACTACCAGCCCTAGACCTCCGCAATGGGCCTGGTTGGGCCCGGACCTCAGGCCCATAGCCCAACCAGCAGTGGGCTATGGGCCCTACCTTCGAAGCCCAACCAAGCCCATGGCCCATTATGGGGGCCCATGAGGCCCCCATTAAAGCCCATTTGTATGCATAAATACAGTCTTGGCGCTCATAAACCTGCTGATTAATGTCTGTTCTTTACACATGTTTGAGTCTGTATGCTTACCGCGGAAGATCTCGGCGCCGGCCCTGATCTAGCCTAATACGGGGGTTCAACAGTTGACAGAGAATCAATGTACAAATATATATATTTCACATGGAGAGAAGTCAGTGCATCTTTCTATTAATTTACATTTTTCTCAAATTTCATAAATCTCAAATTTATTAATTCAGTCAATTCAGTCAATTCAGTTAATTCAGTCAATTCAGTCAATTCAGTCAATTCAGTCAATTCAGTCAATTCAGTCAATTCAGTCAATTCAGTCAATTCAGTCAATTCAGGCACCTATAGTCAATTTAGGGGGTAATCTAAATACCTAGAAATACTAGAAAAATCTGCATTACTTATGTATCTGCCAAGCATTAGCATGTTTGTATTGTTTGAAGCCCATTGGGCCCCCATAAAAGCCCAGTGGGCTTCTACCCTAGGCCCATAGCCACCGATGGGCCCAGGGACCGGGCCCAAAGCCCAGCCCATTTGCGGGTTGGGGCGGGTTGGGCTTTGGGCTTTGCGGGCTGGTGCGGAGGTCTAACCAGCCCTATTGCTGAGTCTACTAGTGAGCTTATTCCTAGATCTACCCTAGATCTCTCTTAGTTCCTAGATATACTAAGATCTCAGATCTACCCTAGATCTCTCTTAGTTTGATCTCACTTTAGCATCAATTTATACTAATTGGGTAATAAATAGTGTAACTACTCCCCCCCCCCCGGAAGCGGTATATAATACCCGCGAGGAGCTAGTCGAAATAGTGCAAAAGTATGCCCTTTCCTAGGGTTATTGTACTACTATACTTCGTAGTAACCCCGGCAAAAACGTGACTATATAATATATTAGATTAGGGACCCTAAAATAGTCCACCAACCCCCTAATTAGGCAAAAACCTCGTAATACTAGCTTAAAACGGTAAGATTGCCCTTTTCGACTCTATATAACTACTAAAAGCGGTAGTTAGTATCTCTAGATTAGGAACCCTACCTATAACCATACCGCTAACGATACAATAGGCTACTACTAAGCTCGGAAGCTTACCCCGGATAAGATTAATAAGATCAAAGAGCTATCCTAAAAGGGTATACTATCTAAGAAGATTATCGAGATATTATAAGATTAAGCTACCTACCTAATTATATCGCGCGATATCTATAACTAGATCGCTATAATTCGCTAAAAAGAGAGGGGTAATCGATCTAAAATCGAATATTTACTATTTAATATAGCTAAATATAAGTATAAGTATAAAATAGATCTCTTAGCTAATAATAAAATTACCTTTTTAGCACTAGCGCACCCCGATAGAATATTACTTACTAATTAATATAATAGGGTTTTTATATTAGACTATATATATAAAATAAATCGATATAAAATACCCTTTTTAGAAGTAGTCGGTATTATACCGACTAATTAAACCTTCCTATTTATAGTCTATTTTATACGTTATAAGTAGGAAAAGGGCTATAATTAGGCTTTATAAACCTTATTCTAAGAATAGCTAAGTTTACCCCTAAATATAGTACTTATTACTAATCGAGATAGTAGATTATTAGTAGTAATCGATAATATCCTTCCTAATATAGCCTATTTAATATATATTTAGTATATTAATAAAGCTATATTAGCTAGGGCTAAGAGTCTTATTACTATAGCGGCTAATCCGATATTAGATAATCCGAAAAATAATTATTTTAAAGCCTTTATATAATAATAGAGGGATCTTACCTAGTTAAATACCTTAGATAAGTATAATTTAAGGTTATTAAATCTTAAATCCTAGTTTAATTATCGTTTGATTATATATTTAATAGATATTTAGCTAATTTATAAATAGAAATTTATCCGATTTCAGATTATAAATATTACCTATTTCGGTAATTTAGTATCTTTACGCTCGGAAGGGACTTATACGTAGCTAAAAAGGGAGCTTAATAGTATAAGTAGGAACCTTTCGTCTATATTAGATACTATTACGATAGTTATTAATCGATAGTATACTAAGATATCCTATTAGATTAAATCTAATAAGATATTAACGCTAAAGATTATATCTAATTAGCTATATAAGGGTATTCGATCTAATATCTCGAAATATACTATTAGACTAATCTATTAGTAACGTGAATTAGCCCTATAAAATACCCTAATTAGGTATTATACGGGCTATTTTACTAGCTCGATAGGGCTCCCGTGTAAGTATCGACTATCTACCCTAATTAGGTTAAATCAGCTAATTCTATTAGATGAAATTGACCTTTTTTAGTATATCAAACCCGTTTTGGGTGCACAATCAGCCCTAGTTCAATCTCCGATAGTGCTGAAAAAGACAAAAAGGGTCAGAAATGGTCTAATGGGGAAGGAGGAGGGTCCAAAGAAGCGGAAGGCTCCAAGCAGGTGCTTATAGTGCGGGGAGGGTGGTTATACGTTTAGGGGTTGCCTAATGCGGAAATTATGAGGTTATTTTTGTTGTTTGGTATCATGTATAATATCAGATTGATAGATGAGGTTAAAAATCATATGACCTTATCCGACATCCTCCGAAAATGCTGACGTAAAATGGTGCAAATGGGAAAATCGATGGTGCGCAGATCCGGACCCAACTAAAGGTGGTTGATTACCTAATCCACTTCGTTTTGACGCGACCAAAGCGCGTCAAGGGGCAATATAAAGTCCCTTCCTGATCATTTCCTACCTCCGCCTTACTTCTTTCTCTTAATGAAGCTATGGCTAAGCGTCTATTCGGAACAATTCCTCATATTCTCCACCCACGCAAAATCATCCCCAATACAAGACTGATTCTTGCACGCCCTATTTCGACGTTCCAGAAAATGCCTGAGCCCTGTGATCTGTTCGAGTACACGTCTGGACGATGGATGTATGTTGCAGGCTTGAACGAATCATTCATCGTAAATTGCTCCGCTGATATAACCATAGCTATAATGACAATTTGAGACGACGCGAGAGAAGACGAGTTTTCAATATCTCTGGACTTAAGCGCCTTGCTGCTCTAGCTGTTCAGAAGAAAGAAACCGATATAATTGAATTCAAAAAACTTGCTGAGGGAGGCTTCAACCGGACTTTTCTGATCACCATGCGAGATGGCTATCGATTTGTTGCACGAATTCCATATCCGGCTACCGAACCAAGATTCCTATTGGTCGCGAGTGAAGTCGCAACGCTGGGTTTTCTACGTGCTCATGGTATCCCGGTACCGAAGGTTTTTGGCTACTCTACCGTTGCAGATAATTGTGCGGGTACAGAATACATATTCATGGAGCATGTCCAAGGAAAAAATCTAGGGGATGTGTGGTATACCTTGTCTGAACGGGAAAGAAGAGAATTGGTTGCAAGAATTGTGCAGCTAGAGTCTCGTTTATTCAGCTTGCAGTTTCCAGCAAGTGGAAGTCTCTATTACTGCAATGATTTGCCAGATAATTACCCCCGAGTCATTGTCACAAGCCTCGGATCGACCCACCGCTTCTGCATCGGCCCTGATACTTCGCTACGGATGTGGTATGGGAAAAGACTCAACTTGTCGGTTGAGCGTGGACCTTGTGAGTGACTTTCGGGTGAGACTCGGGACGTGGAAGACTTCGAAGACTAACTCTGTGAAGACCGAGATCCTTTGGCAGTTCTTACTGCCGGTGCCGAAAAGGAGATTACCTATCTTGAGAAATTTGGGCGACCTCTCCAGCCATTCCAGCGTCTTCGCCGAGAGGTATATAACTATCAGTCTCAGTCCCACCTCGAACATGCTGTGGCTCTAGAGAAATACCTTCAGATTGCACCTTACCTTATACCACATAACTGTCCGGCCCTTCATCGTCCAACCATACGACACCCCGATCTTCAACCCAACAACATATTTATCTCTGATGACCTGGAGGTCACGGGGTTAATTGATTGGCAGCACAGTACGATTTTGCCATTATTTTTACAGTGTGGTATTCCAGAGAGTCTGCAGAATTATGGCGACGAGATCTCGGAATCACTACAACTCCCGACTTTACCGAACAACTTCGATGAACTCGAAGAAATAGAGCAATTCCAGCAAGCGGACCTCCTACGCAGGCGTCAACTCCACTATTTTTATGTCAAACTGACAGCAGAAAGAAATCCTGAACATTACGAGGCCTTGACCCTTGATTTCAGTACCTTGAGGCGGCGGCTTTTTGATCATGCAAGTGACCCTTGGGAGGGTGACAATGTGACTTTGACAGCCGATTTGATGAAACTGTCTAGGATGTGGACAGACTTGACTCGTGATACTAGAACACCTTGTCCAATATCCTTTTCGGATGATGAGTTGACGAAATGTCTACGGCTGGAACGCGCACAGTCTGGAGCAGACGAACAATTCCAGACTTGCCAGGAAGCGATTGGGGTTGGGCATGAGGGCTGGGTGCCCTTAGCAAACTATGATGAGGCGAAAAGAAGCGAGAGAAAACTGAAAGCGGACGCTCTCGATGCTGCCGAAACGGAAGAAGAGAAGACGAGAATCCAAGAAAACTGGATTTTCGACGACTTTTGCGAGGAAGAATATATGTGAGAAATAAGTCTTCACCGCTGCTTATGTAGCCAACAAGGGACAGATACAAGGTCACAAGAATATCAGGGGTCAATATAGTAACGAACACAGTCAACACGTACGATATATAAGCTTCTTGGGCTACGTCAGTAGACCGATGGCATTTCCTATGGTGGAGAAAAGAGTAATTGTGGACCAATCACACAGTAAAAATGCAGTTTGTTCAAGATGGTATGTTTGTTGAGCTATATATAACACTGATCACTCTCTTGGTTTCTTTCCACCTTCCTATACCTTTCCAGTAGGGAAAAATGACAGCAGGGTCAAAAGTGGAGTCAATTTTCAAGCAAGAAGTTATGATTGCTATTATCAGAGATAGAGATATACGACGTACAAAAATTCCCAAGTTACATCATAAAATCAATTGATGTTATTACCTCTATACATTTTTCGCTAGGGACGGCTGTTATTTCCTAAGCTTTGTGCTCCAGTACACCTATATAGAGCCTTGACTCCTTCCTATGAATTTCTGACCGAACCGCTCAGTCACCTCCGACCACGCAAGGTTTTCTTCCTCTCTGAGTTTCACGAGTAAGCGAACCTCTTCCTCGCACCATAGTAGCCCTTTTCTCGAGGAAGGAGTAAATCCCGTATCGACAGCTTAAGCATTTATGCTTATATATTAGGATCTAGATATTAGGACTATATCCCTTCTCGGAGGCGTATAGAGGCAAAGAGATAGGGTACCCTCGAATAGCTAGGATAAGAACTATAATCTTTCCTTAACCGGAAGGGCGGAGAATTAAGCACGAAATATCGGAAGTAATATATTCTTACGGCCGAGTTCCGGAGTAGACCGGCTAGCCCTTTTTTTTAGGCGATTATCGACGATAACTAAAACTTTACTAATTTTAGTAGGTAGCCGACTAACTTATACCGGCCTTTTAGGATCGTATTACCTACTATAGCGATAGGCGTCTCGAACTAGGGAGCGATAGTATTTAACTAGGATTCTACGTAGAATAGCTACGGTAATAGTAGTAGTTAGTATTATTTAAGCCTACTTAATATCGCGGGAACGATTATCGTCTAGAAGTACGGGATCGATTATTAGATCTTCCGTAAAGTGTCCGGTCTATATAGGGCTTTTAAGAGGGCTTTTAAGAACCTTAAATTAAGAGTGCTAATTAGGAGTAAAAGCGAGCTCCTAGCCACTTAAGTCGAAGCCGAGGGATTAGTACTTAGAATCTAGGACGATTTATTCGTATATTATTATATAATCACTATCCCTAATACTTAGAGGATTGTTAAGGTATAGAGAGTCTTTAAATTTAAAGGCGTTAGGGCTAGGGTAAGTCGGAGATATTAGCTCTAATATCTCCGGCTCGCGTTAAGTAATTTAAGCGTTCGGTTATAGACTACTATTAAAGTAAACCTCTACTAGGGGGCGAATAGGTAGGGGATACCGCTTAAGTCTTAAAGTATATATCTCCTAAGTCTCTAAAATAGGATTACTAAGATTAGAGGAGGAAAGCGTTATAGATAAAGAGACTAGGCTTAAGTACTAAGTACTAAGGCGATCCCGTAAAGGTTATACTTTCTCTTAGAGGAGGTTCTAAGGCCGGAAGGATTCTAAGCGATAACTAGCGCTTAATATATTATATATAGGGGTAACTTAGAAGGTGTTAGAGTATAGGGATAGTACAAATTCGCTAGAGGGATACTAGAAGGAGGAATAAAGCTATAATTAATATAGAATCGGGGGAAAAGGGAGTAGAGAACTTAGAATAGGTTTAAAATACCGAAGTACTATTCGGGTAGAATAGCTAGTATCCTTTATACTTATAAAATTAGCCTCGCGAGAAGATAACCTCTTATACCGCGGAAAGTATTCCTATTATATCGGGTAATTCGATATAGAGCGCCCTAAAATATATAAATATATAGCTCCTAGTCTTACTACTAATAGTATAGCCTCGATAAGACTACGTTACGCTATCTTCGTAGACTAAGCTCCTTATCCGGTTTAATTATAGACGCGGGATTTTTACTATTAGCTTACGGCACCGAGATAAGTTATCGAAGATAACCTAGCTTATTATAACGGGGCCGGTAAGACCGACTATAACGACGATAGGCCGCTACTAGGCTTACGAACGAGTAGGTACGGGTAAATATATAACGCCGGGGGCTATACGATATAATATTAGTAATAACTATACGGAAGAATAGGTCTAGTAGCGATAAGATCCGAGACACCCCTATAAGCGTAAGGAATATAGGCGAAATAGGGGAATTACCTTCGACAAAGGCTTAGAAACAAAAGATATTCTAAGTCGCTCTATACTATAATTAACCACATTAGTTAGTCACTTGATAAGTAATAGATAAGGTATAGACTCACGGGAAAAGGCTGAAAATAGGCAATCTTAGCGCTTTAACTCCTGGCTAACCGATCACGTCGTAGTTAACGCGGCGAGGGACGGCTGAGCGGCGGCGGGTCGAGCGGTATATCTGACGAAGTCAGATATACGAGGTCATTTCGGGGCGTAAGGTAGGGGCGTGCGAGTGTTAACGCGTACGGGTCGGTGGGGGCGAAAGGAAATAGGGGGCGAAAGGAAAACGGGTAGAGAGAGTGGGAAGCAGAAGAGAAAGTGCGTTAACGAGTCGAGGGAGGGCGAGTGGTGTTTTATAGATGGGACGGCCGAGGGCTAGACTAGTAAAAGCGGCCACTGCGGCGCTAGCCCGATCGGGGCACCTCAGCGGGCCACCAGGCCGGAAGGGGCAGGGGGAGACCGCAGTCAGGCAGGCGGTCGGGGCGGGCGGAACAACAGGCAAATGGGCGCCGTTTCCTGCGCCCCGCTTGCCGTCGTGTAGAATACTAGTGATACTTTATATAGGGATTATCCTAATAGAAAGAGCTCCGCTAGCTATATCTACTAAGTATACGGCGGGCTAGTCGACTAGAAGGCTAGTAAGTAGCCTATAGTTACTACCTCTACTACTAAAGCTAAGCTCCTCGGTCTCTTAGAGACTATAAAATAGCTATAATAGTGGCGTAGACTTCTTAATACCCTCGGTTTTGTCCCTTCCTATTAACTAAGTATTAATTGCGATAATTAGCGCACTATTAGTCTTCTAACTAGCGAGGATACGGCGTTCGAGACGAAATTACGATATATTAATATTTATCGGCACTAGCTTAGATAGGAAGTTAGGGAAGGAAGAATCAAGGTGAAATAGGTGCCGATAGCTAGTATAGCTATAGACGGACTCACAAAGTTGCTTACTAGGCAAAAGCATAAAGCTTTCCTCAAAATGTTAAGGATAATAGATATAAGCTATCTGATAGCAGGAGCTATTTAACAGTATAGGTCATTTGATCAACAAAGGGAGAGAAATAGCATACCGACTTAGGTGTAGGAAGCAGCTAGACCATACTGGCCTAGCTAAGGGGGTGTGTCGGAGCATAAGATCGGCATACCGGAAGTTTAGTTTATCCTGTCCACGCAGTATTTTTGATATTAGTCAGATAGTCATATTTCCTGCTAGAATAGTGGATACAGAAATACAGAGATTTCAACTCCCTTGATTGGACCCCTACTATACTGAATACCACGTCAGTTAACATGATTGTGATGCCCGAGGCACCAAGGCACCTGACCCCGTCTCAACAAAGTTGAGTGGGATCGAAGAGTGTTTATTTTTACAGAAGAGTACGCGAGACAAGGCTGTTCACCTACGCACTCGATCAAGTCTGGAAAGTCAGTTGGATGGCTTTGTGGAAATAGTTTACGCTTATTTCACCACTTGATCTTCAGTAGATGCGTCACGAGATTCGGTAGACAAAGAATCTCTCACGCTATCCCAATCATTGAGAGCAGAGGTTGCAGCTATGGTGAGCGGATGGAATACGTTTGCAGCTTGGTTCTTGCGATTAGGAATCTTGACACGGTCGGCAATCTCCCGGAAACCTTGTTCAAAACGACCAGCATTAGCTGCATGGATCCAGAAAACCCATGTGTCAGGTGATTTTTCTCGGATCCTATAACAGTGTTCGATTGCCAGTTGAGATTTCCTTCGTTATGTTAGCAAAGAATCCTGGAGTATCCCCGGACGTCATCCGCCGGCCATGCCCTCCACTTACCCCACACAGCCGAGACCAACAAGGGCTATGCGAGCGCTCGGAGTATTGCCCTTTTCATAAATCTCATCGAGTAGTGTTCCACGATCGACAAAGTCTGAGTCACGACGGAACGGGACGGTTGACAAAGGGGCAGAGTCTCAGGCCTTTCTAGGCGCTTGTCAATCCTGTCATGTTTCTCAGGCCTCGGAAGACTTACCTACGTTGGGATAAATCGGGCCATAACTGTTCCCTATCTGGGTGCCTGGGTTCGTGTGACCAAATGATATACAGGCCATCCTTGAAGTTGAAGAAAACCATGGGGTGGCCGGTATGAGCTGATAAAGGACGTGTGATTCCCTGCGGAGTCGAGAAAGGAGCCATTGACCCCAGCCTCACTTACCATGTGACTTCAGTCCCAATACTGAGGGATACTTGGAAGTTGAATTATTTGTCGGCATTCCACTTAACTTGAACTTGATCTTCTCTTATCTCCCTAGCTATGAAACCGCCATTTATGCCTACTGATTATATTCGAATACATCAGCTATGAGTATGTGCAATATGAATCAGATCAGGTGGATTTACCCAGGCGAAGGCACGAGCCCCGCATTTTCAGCCTCGATACCCCGCTGTTATCTATTCCCTAGTGTTCGCGATGCAAGTTGGCATTTCATTCAATCTTGTGTGTTTGCGCGATGGGCCAAGCAGAGGATTACACCATCGGCTGGATTTGTGCCATTAACACAGAATACGTTGCCGCACAAGCATTTCTCGATGAAAAGCACGATGACCTCCCATATCTCCCGCGCACCAAAAATGACTATACCGTGGGTAGAATGGGGAAGCATAACGTCGTGATCTCCGTTTTACCCATGGGAGAATACGGCACATCCTCAGCAGCCCGAGTAGCGGATGATATGATGAATTGCTTTCCTAATGTGCGCATCGGCCTCATGGTTGGCATCGGTGGTGGTGCACCAAGCAAAAAGCATGATATCCGCCTCGGAGATGTTGTCGTCAGCATTCCTCGCAATGGCCAGAGCGGTGTTTTACAATATGATTTTGGGAAGACAGTACAAGGCGAAGACTTTGAGCCTACCGGGTCTCTCGATCAGCCACCTACCGTTCTCCGTGCAGCAGTCAATGGCGTCCAATCCCAGTATGCGCAGGAAGGTCATCAGCTTGAGGATATGCTGAATAGCATTCTTGAGAAGAAGCCACGACTGCGTAAGGGATATCAGCGCCCGGATCTAGCTACCGATCGCTTATACAGAAGTGATGTTGTCCACCCATCACGGAGCGAAGAATCTTGTACTACAACGTGTGGGGATGATTCGTCTGATCTAGTATTGCGAAGACCACGCACTGAAGAAGACGACAATCCAGCTATCCACTACGGCCTAATCGCCTCAGCCAATCAACTCATGAAAGACGCCTTGATTCGTGATAAATGGGCTGCGCAGATGGATATCCTTTGCTTTGAGATGGAAGCGGCTGGCCTGATGAACAATTTCCCTTGCCTTGTGATTCGTGGTATCTGCGACTATTCCGATTCACATAAGAACAAAGACTGGCAAGGATATGCGGCGATGGTTGCAGCAGCCTATGCCAAAGATCTTTTGCATCGCCTCCGTCCCCAACAGGTGGAACAGCAGGCGAAAGTGGCCGATATTGTGAAAGAGGGTGATCATCATACGCACATCTCATTCGGGAATCACAACTCTGGCTTTCAGATTGGTACAAATCACGGTCAGGTCAATGGAAATATTAGAGCCTAATAGCGATACATACCTCTGGATCACAGTGCCAGCCGATCATTGCCTACATTTAGTTCCGAAAATACCTATATTGATACAACAGATACAACCCAGGTTGATGTCCATGAACTTAATTTACTTCATTTTCGCAGCCAGAAGTCTCTCATACTACGTTCTGGCCCTAGAAGCAGTTGATGTACGATGCACCTAAGGTGGGACATGTTCCCTGCTTACTTTCCCCTCATGGATCAGTCAATTCGGTTACAAGAAAGGTTAGTCTGACAGGGTTTAGGGAGGGGCAAGGAGAATCCTATCTCAAAATTGCGATATAATTTGCCCGTTCGCTACTTTGCTCAACATTCCCGATGAATGTCTTCCCAACAAGTCAGACAAATACCTCAACGTCAGTTATTTTCCTAGCCAGTATTTCCTGTAAGATAGTCAGTCTCAAAAGTGCACACTCATGTTGAGTAATCAATCAATGTTGAATAATCACTAACTCTAGCGCCATGTAGATACGCGCTAGCCCCCTCTTCGACCAATCCGATTTAGGTATTTCGATGGCAACCCCGACCTCTGATTATTGAACCCCTACACATCGTTCCAGGATTATCGCCTAATTTAGTAGGACCTTTCTTTCGGGCGATAAATGGCTTCTTGGCAAGCACTTCAGACCACCTAACCTCGGTCTCGGATCAGCTGAAGCAATCATTAGCGTGGGGAAGAAGTACATGTAGTCTGCGATCTCGCAAATAATTCAATGTCATTAGAGATTATCCCATCACATCGGGATTTATCGTACTATATTGATGTTGCACAGCCCATGCCCCAAGTGTTCTCGCATTCCCAAACGCAAACTCTTCAAATGGCACAACTGGAAGCTGGCCCTGGAACCCCAGAACATGGCACCATAGAAGCTTTACAGTCCTCGTCCGATGACACCCTTGAAGATGCGCTCAGCATAGAGCCAAAGACATCATATCACAGTAACGAGTGGAACTGGGATGATGATCCAAACAATCCTTACAACTGGCCGACAAGACACAAGGTTCTCCAAGTCTCGATGATTGGTTGGGCGGCTTTTACAACGTTCGATAAAACCCCTATCATTCGAGTCGATTTGAGATCTGACATTTAATCCAGAACCGTTGGAGTATCCATCCTAACTCCTGCTCACTCGGTTTTCATGGCGGAATTTGGAGTCAGCAGCACCGTCGCCATCCTGCCCTTGTCTCTCTATGTCTTTGCTCTAGCCCTTGGTCCTATGGTCGGTGGACCGCTTTCTGAAACCGTTGGGAGGTACCCAGTCTACATAGGAACAATAGTACTCGGCACTCTATTTACTCTGGGTGTCGGGTTTAGTCCCACGTTTGCTGGGATCTGCGTTCTTCGATTCTTGGCTGGTTTCTGCTATGCGCCGACCTTGGCGATTGCAGCGGGGACTCTCAATGAGACGTTCAAACCAGTGCATCGTGCTCTTCCATCAGCTATATTTATTCTGACGCCCTTTTTGGGCCCTGGTACTGGGTCAGTATTCTTGGTTCATATGTTATCTCCCAGTCATATGTCAAACTAACCATTACTAGACCGGTCATTGGAGGTTTTGTGGTCAATCGGAAGGGCTGGCGTTGGACACAGTGGACAACAATATTCTTCGCTACCTTCACTTTGATCATGATCGCATTATCCAAAGAGACTTTCCATCCTGTTATAAAACGGCGTCGTGCCAAAGAGCTCGGACTGCCTATTCCTCCATCACCACCGCTCTCTTCGCAGCTACGGCTTTTTGCAACCATTTCGCTTCTCCGTCCTGTCCACATGCTTTTGACTGAGCCTATAGTCATATTCATCTGCCTCTATGTTGCCTGTGAATTCGCGACACTCTTCTCATTTTTCGCTGCCATTCCCTTGATTTTTCAAGGCATCTACCATTTCCATGTCGAGCACTCAGGCCTTGTCTTCTTGACTATCGTTGTTGGATGTCTACTCGGGACAGTGACGGTCATCATATGCAACTTCCTCCTTTATCTCCCCAAAGTGGCCAAACATCCAGGCGGACAGGTCCCGCCCGAACATCGCCTCTACCCTGCAATGATAGGTAGTATTGGGCTGCCGATTGGTTTGTTCTGGTTTGCATGGACGGCAAAGGCCGAGATCTCTTGGGCAAGTCCTGTGGTCGCAATCACGGTTTTTTCGTGGGGAAATCTATGCGTTTTCGTCAGCACAACGCAGTATCTTGTTGATACTTATCAGGGTATCACGGTCGCCAGCGCCATGAGTGCGAATGGTTTAGCGCGTTACGGGCTCGGAGCTGCTTTCCCACTGTTTACTGTCCAAAGTGAGTATATGCCTATCGTCACGATTTTGAAAGATAAATTCTAATGGTTTACATAGTGTATACCAAGCTTGGCTCAGAGTGGGCATCTAGCTTGCTTGGGTTCATTGCAATCGCGCTTTTACCTGTTCCTTGGGTCTTTTTCAAGATGGGAAAGAGGCTAAGGGGTATGAGTAAATATGAAACTGGGGAGCGCCAGTGATAATATAGATTCAATAGTTAGTACGGTTTGTGAGGTGTTAATAGCTCGAATAAGGAAAGTTATAATAATCAGTACGCACTCCCCAGCCCTCTTCAGTACATTCTGCGTACTGGTCAGAAATTGGAGAGCGGCGTCACATTTTCTCGACTATGTTATGAAAAAGCACAAGCTGCTCAATTTCAGTTAAACTTTCAGTTGAACGAAGCCCGGTATCAAAAGTTCACCCTCTCAACAAACGGTGTCCATCAACAAATCAACCTTAGCCCAAGTCCGACGTTGCCTTAAATTCTGGTGTCACTTAACAATCTTAATTCCGTTGAGAGCCAGATTAGTATGACTCAAGCTGACTATTTTATGATATGAATAATCTAAAATATCAGTTTTCAGCTCTATAAAGAGCCCAACCCGGACATCATTCTGTTTGTGTATTCCAACAACATTCACCAACGCTCAATCGTCCAACAGTATCTACTCCAACTATGGACACTCCCAAAATAATTTGCTATTTCGACATTTGCAGTCCTTTTAGCTTCATTGCCTTCCATATACTAAAAGTTTGTCGAATCTTCCGCTATTGTCCTCGATGAAGCTAGCTTACAGTCATAGACTTCCCCTGTTTTCGTGACATGCAAGATTGAATACGTTCCCATCTCTCTGAGAGACCTATTTCAGACGTGCAATAATACGCCTTTTTTTGCGGTTAAGAGTAAAAGCTTCTTTCTTCCTCCTTGGACATCCAATACCCAGCTTTGTTTTCTTTCCGGTTTGCTTACATACTATTGCAGACAAGTTCCAATGGATTAACCGCGAACGTCTCTACTGGGCTCGTCGCTTCCAGGTTCCCATGTCTGAAGCCATCCCAGAAGGATTTCCCGCATCGACTTCAGAAGTCCAGTCGGCTCTTTCCCTTGTCGCTACCAAGTTCCCTGATAAGCTAGTTCCCATCGTGGACAAGCTTCATCGTGGATTCTGGGAAGAGGGGAAGTCCAGTGTCCTCACTCAGTCAGGTTTCGCTTCTATCTTTGAGGATGAGCTTAGCGCTGATAACACAAGGCATATTCTGAATGAGGTAAAGTGAACCTTGTTTTTATATATGGCTCTTTCTTTTGCTAATGTATGCGACTTTGGTGAGCAGTCAAAGGGAACAGAGGCAAAAGCCATTCTGGACGAAAGTACACAAAGGGCTTTTACATCCGGTGCCTTTGGTCTGCCTTGGTTTGATTGTATCAATTCTCAGGGAGAAAAGGAAAGCTTCTGGGGGGTTGATCATTTGGGTCGTCTTGTGGACTTCTTGCAGCTGGATGCCAGCCTAGACCAAGCTTTCCGGGTCTTGCTCTGATAGCAAAACAGCGCATATATTTAGTTTGATATAAGTCATGCCGGGGAGGGATCTGTTCTAGGCTGGGCGAAGACCTTAAGTTTCCCAATCATTTGAGACTTGGTTCCAGCGGATCACTGTCTTAAATGCTCACTGCATTAAAAGCCACGTTTATCTTGTTCTGATAATCAGGCCAATGTTTCGGTAAACAGAGGGGTAATTTTAAACAGTTGTCTGTCTGTTGACGCGATCTTGCAATGAATGGCAACATGCCGTGATCAACGCTCAAGCTCAGCCTGATCCATCGGACATTTCTGCGCAACAAACATAGTGTTCAAGATTGTTTAAGTTAAAGCAGTTTGTGCATAAATATATCTCCCTCAAGGTTACCATGTGCTTATTTCCGAGCTTGTCCTGCAGTCACAGACGTGGTTGAGCCTGTAGGCCGACATTCTACCACTTCAAGGCCTCTATCCGAGAGAATAGCCCTTTGCCAAGGTGATCATCTCATTCGGGGATTGTATTTCTCATAGAATGTGCAATTTTCGCCTTAGTATTACGAGCTCTCGTTATCTTTCCCCGCTGCTTGTCTGCGAGACGCTGAATTAAGTTCGATTGTCACTCGTTGGCAGCATTGCGTAATTCTCATCTTAGGGCACGCGTAGCAACCTCCAAAATGTGTATATAAAAAACGCAAAATCTTCTTTAGGAACTCATAGTCTAAATTCAAAGCCAAAGATGTCGCGAAAAAGCTCTTCCTCGCTTGAGCCGAAACAATTATCGGTTACGGTTGTCGAGGAGACGCCATTTCCAACCAAAATACAAAATGGAACAAGTGGAGTGGTGGCTGCTGGTGGCTCAATGGAGTTTTATAAGCCTATTGATAAATATGAAGGGAAGCACAGGTATGACCCAACTGCTGAATGGACAGAAAAGGAAGAGAAGAAATTAGTCCGAAGGGTATTGTCTTTCCTGAATCCCCACACTATCATTCCCCAGACTGAGATCTGACAATTCTATAGCTCGACTACAAGATCTGCTCTTGGGTCGGCTTAATGTTTTTTGCCCTCCAGCTCGATCGTGGTAATATCGGACAGGCGCTATCAGATGGAATGCTTGATGACCTCAAACTAACAACCAACCAATATAATTACGGCATGACGATATTCTATCTTTGCTTCCTGTGCGCAGAAGTACCATCGCAGATGATCTCGAAAAAGCTCGGCCCCGACAGATGGATTCCCATTCAAATGGTTCTGTGGAGCGTCGTTGGAGTTTGCCAAGGCGTTATCACCGGAGAGAAAAGCTTCTATGCCACCCGAGCCCTACTTGGCATCATTGAAGGTGGCTTTATCCCCGATGCACTCCTCTACCTATCATACTTCTACACAAACAAGGAGATGCCAATGCGAGTTGCCGTTTTCTACTGTTTCTCCAACGCGACCTCTATAGTCGCGGCGTTCCTGGCATTTGGTATTCTTCGCATGCGAGACATTGGGGGCTGGGAAGGTTGGAGGTGGTTGTTCGCTCTAGAGGGCGCTTTGACATTCATTATTGGTATCATCTCTTGGTTTTATTTACCTCCTAGTCCGACTGAAACTGCAAGTTGGTTTCGAGGCAAGGATGGTTGGTTCACGGAGAGAGAGGAGGTCATTATGGTCAATCGAGTCTTGCGAGATGATCCAGCAAAGGTACTTTTGGGGTATCTTTTTATCTCCCACTTGGCAACTAACAATGGACCTACATTAGGGCGGGATGCATAATCGCCAAGGTCTTACACCAAAACTCCTATGGCAATCTCTTATGGACTACGATCTTTGGCCAATGTATCTAATGAGCCTTACGCTGCTCATTCCTGTCACCCCCGAAAGTGCCTATTTGACGCTATTTTTGAGGTCCCTTGGCTTCGATACATTTGAGGTCAATCTTCTGACCATTCCTGGAACCGTGCTATTTTTGTTTCAACTGGTGTTTTGGTCATGGGTGTCTGAAAAGATCAACAACCGCATGGCCATTGTGTTGTTCTACTCCCTTTGGGTCTTCCCTCTTTTGATGGCGCTGGAACTGATGCCATTGACCGCAAGTGCTTGGAGTTGGTATGCAGTTACAGTGCTGATTATTGGTTTCCCATATATCCACTCTATCAACGGTCAGTACTAATCTCCTTTTGGCAGAATATCGGATTTATCTAACTCCAGTCTTCTGATAGTCAGCTTGATCTCACGGAATTCCGGTTCTGTGCGGACGCGCACTGTGGGAAGTGCAGTATATAACATGATTGGCCAAGCAGGCGCGATCATCTCTTCCAATGTACGTTTCCTGGCATTTTTAGTGTTTTCCCTAGGCAGATAGTTGATATCGAGACTAATCATTCTTTTCTTTTAGATATATCGGACTAATGACAAACCTTTCTACCGGACAGGAAACAAGATTCTCCTTGCAATTCTGGGCTGGAATGTTGTGATGACCGTCTTTGTCAAAAGTTACTACATTTGGAGAAACAAAACGCGCGAAGAGACATGGAATGCTATGAGTCCCGAGCAAAAGCACCATTACCTGAGCACGACGAAAGATGAGGGAAATAAACGTCTGGACTTCCGTTTTTCTCACTAGAATTTGGTGGAATGTTTCAAGCGTCTCATACGTGTGTCCATTTTGGCATTTCACGATTTGTTTGGTGACCAGCTTCATATCTCAACTGGCGATACTTTCAGCCTGGACCTTATATTTCCACGCTACCCCCACAACCATGCTCGACATGGGTGTGGTGCATATACAATCAGTGAACATAGCAGAGCATTTTTCATATTTATTATACAGCCTCGATGTACCGTGGTGGGTTGACAGGATTCTCTGAAGTTTTTATGTAGGACAGTTGGCACAGCTCACTTTGTTTCCTCACTCTGGGGCCGTCTTTTTATCCCACAACTTTTACCTCTATAATCAGAGCCTCCCCTCGCCCCCGCATGTTCAATCACGAAACCCCGGGGTCTCAGTTGAAATTGTCAGCATCCTTGTCATGGGGGCCGCCGATCAAAAAAAAAATGACCGACACAAGGCTGCGAGTGACATCATAGCATGAGCTCCGGATGGAAAGTCTTCACCGACAGGTTGGGCTGACTTCCATGACATATCAGCGGTCGCCATGTGGGATAAGACGGTCAGCAGAAAGAGCTCGGATTTGTGCTTCTTGATGTGTTCAGGGAGAATTGTTCGTCGATCTGAGGTTTCTGGTCGCAATCCAGAAATGGTAGGCGACTTGTCGATCGACATGTCTTGCCGTTGTTGAGATTTCCCACCGGGCATCCTAGCAGCTTCTATTGCGATGTCTATACAGTGTTTCGTTTATTCGAGTGACTTTCCTCGCTGCGATCCTATCCAAGGATGACTTCCAAGGTTTCTTTGAGTGTCTTAGTGCGGGTCACTGGGTTTGATAGTGCAGGTGTCAACCGTGAGAGCTTCCAGGTTGAGGGACTAAGAGTCGTCAACAAATATCCTGTATTTTTTTAGTCAGACGATCTTGATTCTATCTCAAAACTGGAGCACTTCAGTAGCACTTCAGTAGCAACCCGAGCTGTATAATCTTGTATGACTGCTCGGGTACGGAGTACTCTGTAGAGCCCCCAGAGATGACGAGCTATGCCAACACATGAGTTGGTCGGAAGCCATGTGCTTCGCATAGCTGTGAGCGCCACGTCGTTGGTTCGGCCCCTGCCCCCTGGGGGTTATTGTCCCTGGCCTATCACTTGGGTTCGGAGAGAACCCCTTCCGCGGGATGGACATCGTTTTCAAGGGATAACATGTGAGGCATCATGTATTGGGCTGCATTGGTGTGCGCTTTGATTATGATCTTAACCTGACTCATGCTTTTGTACTCCGTACTTCGTATCGAACACTTGCAATGAATTGTGTCTCGTGCGACATTCGACTCGGAGCGAGGGGTTGCTTTTTTGGCGCCCTTGCATTAAGCCTTTTCCGCATGGAGAGACGCCCAGATTCAAGGCACAGTGCTTCTTGTCGGAGTTTCTGAGGGTTGACTTTGATCGACAGCCATAACGCCCACTGCATTCGAGGGGCCGCATTTGGCCGGTTTTGGCCGACCTTGGCGATTTGATCGATCAGTCCAGTCATCCCCACATGAAGATCAACTCAGTTTCCCCCATGGAAGATCTCCCGGCCTAACATTCTTCTCATATTGATGCACAGTACGGACGGGACAACCGAGTCTAATCTCAACAGTGGATCACATACTCCATGCAGAGTATCACATACCGAGGATCACATATTCCGTGCCATTCACATTTGATCGTCTACAGCAGAGTCCCAACCCCACAGGACCCCAGACAATACTCTATGACCTTGGAATTGTCAACGCAAGGTCCAGCAGGTTAGACATGGATTATAGCTCCACCAACGTGGCTCCGCATGGCCCTCACCCAGTCATCTTCCACCTGTCTCATGATGCCCAGTCCTTTCTGAAATCACTCACAAGTACTCCGTACTCCGTATTCTAGACCCAGACAACATAAAGTTCCGAAGTCAGACATGCCCACAACTCTCCTTGGTGTCCTAGGCACTGGACCCTTCCACTAGGGCCGGCCCCATGCAGCCCCCATCTCTGCTCTGCCTTGTTGTCACTCTCAATCGTACCGTTTAGCTTTCAATTACTCCACAATATAGCCCGATAATTGGACTCCGCCGAGCACTGAGCACTATGTGCCAGCACAAGCTTGCACATGAGTGGCCCGCCCCCGATGAATCTTCACCGAGTCTCGGTGCCACCTGATGGATCTCCATATCAGGCGTGCGGCAGTTGTTTTTATTTTTCCGGTTTCTCTCCATTGCTCGCAATAGTAATCATCCATCCCTCTCGGGGCCAAGGAGACGCCGAGACTGTTAGTCCCAATCCAGGTCTCTTGGTGCTGTAAATTCAATGCGGACCCAATTCTACTCCTTTCAGACAGGGGCAGTCTAAATCTACATATAAACAAGACATTCCGTCCCTGCTTTCCATATTTCGGATATTCAAGATCAGTAGACTATTCTTTTCCCAACTATACCACTGATTAATCGTCCACTATGCGGTCTTCCCTCATGAAATCCCCTTCCACATGGGCTGTGTTGGCTCTATCCCTTCTCCCAGCCGTCACAGCCACGCCTTTACTCGAAAAACGAGCAAAAGGCTCCTGGCTAGGCCTAAACACCGATTTCCCAGACCCCAGTTTCATGAAAGCAGCCGATAACAAATGGTACGCCTTCGGCACCAATGGCAACGGAAAACGCGTCCAAGTCGCAAGGTCCGACGACTTCAAAACATGGACCCTCCTAGACATCGAAGCCCTCCCCACCATCTCATCCTGGGAGACCGAAAATGACCACTGGGCGCCGGATGTCGTGATGAGAGTAAGTTTTTTCCCCTCGGCTTCCGAAACCAAAAATACAAAAAACCAAGAGCAAAACTAATTATTCTTCAGAAAGATGGAAAGTACGTGATGTATTACTCCGGCGAGGCCAAATCAAACCTCCGACACCACTGCGTCGGCACAGCCGTCGCTGATAATCCAACGGGGCCCTATGTGCCCAGTGAAAAACCCTTATCCTGTCGTCTCGACCAAGGCGGGTCAATCGATCCCGCAGGGTTCCTCGACAAAGACGGCAGTCGCTATGTCGTGTTCAAAGTCGACGGCAACAGCATCGGCAACGGCGGAGACTGCAATAACGGTGTGGAACCGCTTGTCTCCACGCCGATTCTGCTACAAAAGGTCGCTGACGATGGCATCACACCTGTCGGGGATGCGGTGCAGATTCTCGACCGCAACACTGCTGACGGGGATGGTCCGCTTGTTGAAGCGCCGAATCTGATTCTCCACGGTGATACGTACTTTTTGTTCTATTCTACTCATTGCTTTACCGACCCGAAGTACGATGTTCGCTGGGCGACTGCTGAGAGTATCACCGGGCCTTATACCAAGACTAATGTGCCTTTGCTTAATGCGGATACGACGGGGCTTATCTCGCCTGGCGGTGCGACGGTTTGTGGGTGTGGTGATCGCATGTTGTTCCATGGGTTCTGCTCGGAGGAGAGAACTAGTCGGTGTATGTATGCGGCTGATGTGAATATCAGTGGGAAGACGGCATCGATTGCTTGAGGGTTCTGCTTTTTTGATGATTTGCATAGGACTTTCATGCAGTCCTGTTTATATACGCCGTTTTATAAGGGCTTGCATATGACATATGATACCATTAATGCACTCAATTTTGCACTTGGACAGATACATGCTTCTTTGATTTATTTGACTCGCGTCAGACCCTTCTCAATTCTAGAATTTGATATAGAGAAACATGGAATTCATTGGAGGAAAGAATGGGTGGTCGGATCAAAGGCAAGAGATTTGATTCATCGAAGACATGTTCTCATTTGCTGTACACGAATGTACTATATCAATTTATATTAAGTAGAGTTGGAGATTATGTATATCATATCATCGTATCACGCCGAGCATGCCCGCATGCAACTAAGCAGATTCCTCCTCCAGCTTCGCCTCCCTAGCGCGCTTCTTCTCCCGCGTTGTTTTCACCCACTCTGCTGCGCCCTGGATCGCTACCTCGGGTGCCTCCTTGTGATTAAGAAGATATCCCTGAATCTCTGCAGCAGTAAACTCGCCACTCGGAATGATAGCAGCAAACTCAGAGGCCAACTCCAAGATCCGAGACCGGAGGTGTGCAGCGCGTTTCTGTAGATCATCTTGTTTGATCTTCTCTGCTGTTCCATTGCTTTCAGGTTTATGACCATTCATTCCATTGGCCTTCGTGGTATAAGTAATACCGTTGGATGTCGGTATCTTAATTGAGCCATTGGTACCATTGGTGGGGGGTGGGGACTTTCGACGACGTGTAACATCGTTCTCCGTCGTGATGTAGATGGAGGTGAAAAGCTCTTTAATATCCGCTTCGCTGGTGTATCCGAAACTAATCATCATGTCAACACGTCCAGGACGGAGGAGCGCCGGGTCAAGCTTCTCCATGTGATTAGTTGTCATGATGAGGATGCGGCCTTCGCTGGCCGCAACACCATCAATCACATTCAAAAGTCCCGATAGCGTGATTCCACCTTTCTTGGTGTCGTCCTTGGCGGCTGCAGGATCCAACTTGGTGTCGCTGTTATCGCATGTGGCTGCAGCCGCAACAGTTTCTGGTGCAGGAACAGAAGGAGTGGCAGATGTAGAGGTAGCTTCTCGAGTCTTTGTAATTCCTGCTGAGTCGACATCTTCGAGGAGGATAATGCATCGGCGGGGCAATTCCGAGAACAATACCGCCAGGCCTTCCTCGTCTAGTGATTTAGAGTTTAGATCGAGCAGGTAGAGCTTCAGTCCAAGAAGACCCGCTGCTGCAAAGCATAAACTCGTCTTTCCGGTTCCTGGGTGGCCGTGTAGGAGGTATCCGCGTCGATAAGGAATACCACGATTGGAGTACCAGCGTCGTGTGCGGGGGTGCAAATACTCCTTAATATCATCGAGGAAATCTTGCTTTTGCTCTTGGTCAAGAATAACAGTTGAAAGAGGGCGTGGTAACCGTGCCATGCACCGATACCAGCTGAACGACTGGCCGGCGGAATACCGGGAGCCGCGGTAGATTACTGTGCGGTTGCTGTCACGCTCAACATACGCTTGTTGAGCCTCGACCAGCAGCGATTTCAAGATCTCAGGGTTCCGACCAAGGCATGAAAGCAAGATTCGTTCGTTGTTCATCATATACCATCCTCCCTCCCGGTGTTGGCGCTCAAGCATGAGTGGCCTGTTCTTGTACCAGAAGTAGTGGCAGCCTTCGGAGGGTGTAAAGCGCAGTTTCTTGTATTTGTCCCGACTGGTCGCCTTGGCCCAGTAAGAATCAAAAGAAGCGCTTTTGTCGCCGTTGAAGATTTCATTGTCGTCGTCGTCTTCTTCTAGTTCTAGATCTTCTTCATCTGTTTCCCCATCGCTCCAATAGCTGTTGGTCTTGATAGCTGCAACAAATCGGTTGGTGGTTTTCATATGTGGCTGGCGCGAGATCCAAAACATCAAATAGTGGAATGTCTCATCTTCCAGGCGGATCTCGGCTCTTGAGACAAACAACTCATTGAAGTGCCCCCAGATAATATATAGAGCGTATCGAGCGCTGGCGCCGAAGACGGCAAGTCCGACCAAAACCTGGAAGTAGGCACTGATATCAAAATTAAGGTAGGACATTAACATGCCCGATATAAAGCCATAGCCGGGGACCAGGACCTCCAACATCGCCGTGTCCGACGTGGACAACGGCGAGGTGGTGGATGGGCTGGTATGATTGGAATCCATGATCGACCTCCGAGCTCAATGTCTCCAAAGGGACTTGGATTGAGATTCCAGGTAATGGAACGATATAAGGGTAAAGGGAGGAAAGGACCCTGGATGGATTGCAAACCCAAACATGGCCAAGCGTCTTTTATAACACGACGTTGGAAGATCGAAGAGCCTCATGTATACCTGAATTGTTCGGCCTGATTCCCCCGCACAAGCGGTGGCCAACGAAAAGAGCTGAGTCAACGCTGCGCCTGACGCGGGGGTTTGCAGGCCTACGGCTTGCAGTATTAATTGGGTCAGGTCGATTGGACTCAGCTGTCTGGTGGCTTCTGCCTGGGGCTGAGTCACTCTGCAGACCAGAGGATGCAGCTTCCTCCCACGTCATACAATCCCCGAAAATCGGAATCAACGCATGAACTCATCTCTTAAATGCAATCAGCAGAGTACATGCTAAAAAGTTCCAATATGTCCCAGGAGGAACATAATAAGAGCAAAAAGAAATCTCTCCCTCGGGGAATCGAACCCCGGTCTCCCGCGCTTATCGGTGTTAATGACAAGCGGAAATCATCACCACTAGACCAAGGAAGATGTGATGGCTGAGTTACTGCTCGGCCACTTGGCTGGTTGATGGAAGAAGCAGCAGATGATGGCTATATAAACAGAGATACTATGTTTGGTATAGATAGCCCAACCCAAAATGGAAAGTACAATATTGCACCCGCGGCAATCGGGCAATTTTAAACATGGGGATTCTGAGTGCTTTTCAAACTGAATGCGGGAAATTCTGTATCAATTTCCCGGTGATTAGCCTATAGTTGTTGGTAGATTCGCACTGGTTTAGAGCTCTAACAGGCATTTCCTGGCTGAGTGTCCAAGAGCCAGGCCGCCGCCATCGGGGACTCTTTTATTTGATACTGCTGTTTCACAGAGATGATGCCAATATGTAATACCATACAGGCTCCATTTAAATACAGAGTTGATCCTGAATAGCTCTGTATTTGAGTGATCATATTTAGGGCCCCCATATAGTGGGTTATATATATCTCAACATATTGTGCAACTGTCAAAATTTTCGGTGATGTATAAATGCTTAATTGGAAGGTATTTTCAACTATATAAGCATTGGCCTAAAATAGCCCAGTAGTAGCAAACCTTCATTACTCATTTAAAAATCATAGGCTCGCTTCAAAAGCCAGTATGGTGCTACCTAGGCATCAATGGAAGGGTTCATAAAGTGAGTGGATGCAAGCTGCTTTTTTTTTTTGAGGCAGAATAGGATCCATAAGACTTTGCAACGGTATAGGATGGGAATCTCATCATACTCTAGACCCAGAGATTCGAACTTCTCGGCGAGACTACCTTTTGCTGTCATTTGATGTTATAATAGCCCAATCCGTACTCTTGAATTCCACCTGGGCAGTCTGTGTTGTAAAGATAACATTATTAGTTGGAATTTCGTATTTTCCTCTACGATTGTCCTCTCTCTTAATTACCCAGCATGACGGTATCTTTTTCTTTTTTCGTTAAAAAAAGACAGGTTACCGTTGTAATTACCTTGGACTTGTTTGAAAGAGATAACCAATTGAGCCAGCATCCTTTCTCATCATAGAAGAGAGAAAAGGAGATTCAAATATTATGTATAAACAATGGGTATGGGTATATATAGAGAGAAAAAGGTCGAAATAGACAGAAATGAACAAAACTATTGACTTTCAGACTCTGGCTGCTTGCCTTGAACGGCATCGGCAACTCCACCAGCCCAATGCTTGAAGTCCTCGAACTTGTGGTAGAGAGTGCCCCACCATGTCGGACCCTTTTCGTCGTCGCTCTGATCATCCGTGGTGGGTGCTGGTTCTGTAGCCGAAGTGGTGGATTCTGGTACTGGCGGTGGTGCTGCCTTGGTGGCTGAGGTGGTGGGTTTAGGTACCTGTTGGAGCGGTCCTGCTGTTGCGGAAGTTTGAGTCGGGGGATCAGGAGGCGTGTCTAAAACTGGCGTGTTTTTATCCGAGTGGAGGCCGACTGGCTTCAACGGGAGTCGTAGCGTGCCATTGCTTGGAAGAGGATTGACGCCCAAGGAGTCGCACACAATGTTGTATACCTCAGTGTTTTCTATACAGAATTGTTAGATTGAATCATAACCAATAATTTGGAGTAGACACTCACGGAAAGCCTCTACCCGGCTGTTAGGCTTGTGCGGGAAGGCTGGGCCGCGGGCAATAAAAATCGCACGCATCAACGGGTGCTCATGGTCATATCCGTGAATTCCCCGGGGATGATACTCCTTGCCAGTCTTAAAAGCCTCCTTGACGTCGAACTCTGACCGGTCAACGATAGCCCACCCCGTTTTGGGGATGACCCACAACGGCGCAATGCGTTCATTGTTCGAGAAGTGATACCGTTCGGGCATTGTCTCCCGTGTATAGAACTCGAACGCATGTTCGTACTCCGGAGCTACCTTCTCCAGCTGTTTCCGCAGGGTTGCCAGATCTTCGGGATTCTTAGCACGCAGACCAGCAGATGGCCACCCGTCAATATGTTCAATTAAATCATAATCGATCAGATCGTCCAATTGAATCAACCTTTTAGTAGAGGTAGTGGCCATCCCATGGTCTGAGACAACCACGATGTTGACAATCTGGGTGAGATTGCGTTGCTCGAGTCCAGTCATGACCTGGGCGATCATATTATCCGCTTGGGATATTGTCTTCCGGACTTCCGTACTATTAGGACCAAAATTATGACCGTCTCGATCCACGTCGGGAACATAAGCAGCGATCAGCTGCGGGCGCTCGGATGCTAACTGCGACTCATTTTCGGGACCCGGGAGATCTAAAAACTCAAGAATGCGATCCACTTTGCGAGACAGAATTTCTGTTCCGTTGTATTTGTCCACAAAGGCCGGCTCTCGATCGCCAATATGCGCCTCAGATCCTGGCCACATATGAATGGCGGTTTTCACATGCTGCTTTTCTGCAGTCACCCACAGCGGCTCCGCCATCCACCACTTGGGCTGCATGCTGACATTGGGATGGGTATAATAGAAGTCCTCCATCATCATTGGGTCCCAGAATGTATTGCCTACAATTCCATGGCTTTCAGGATAGAGTCCCGTCATAAGTGTGAAGTGGTTGGGGAAGGTGACGCTTGGGAAGCTGGGTTTCATGTACTGCGGCGAAACACCATTGGCGACGAGTGAGTTCAGTGCTGGTGTCAGACCGCGGTCGAGAAAATCAGCTCGGAAGCCATCGAGCGAGATGAAGATAGTTGTTGGCGCAAAGAGAGCTGTGCCATTGGAGAGCAGGGTCACAGGACGCGCTCGTGAAGCTCGGAAACCGCTCGAAGCTCTGTATGCGCCGAGAACGAGGATAACGAAGAGAATGGCGACTAATACAAATATAAACAGGAATTTTCGCCATGACGGTCGTGGAGGCTATGCGACGGAGATGTTAGCGCGGACCGTTGAAACTAGCCACGGTACATCTTTACCGGTTCATATGTATGTTCGTCTTTGTCGTCCTCCAGCGATGAATCACTCAAGAGCGAGGCATTATCATCACCAATTCCTTCTTCCATTTCATACATCAGCTCCCCATCTTCACTGACTCGCTCACGGCGTGACCCCTCCGCGGTCGCCGCTCCTTTTTTGTCTTCCCAATCTTCACACTGCCCTCACGCGGACTGAATATCCTCCGCAGCCCAAGTCCGGCGCCACGGCGGATTAGAAGATTCTCCAGTTCCTCTTCATCTTCTAGGACTGCGCGATCGTGTTCTGCGATTTCCAAGGTACTGCGGTTCTGATCGAGGAGGGCGTCATCGTCGGAATCGGAGTCCTGCTCGGAGGGGGACCGCAACGAGGACGCATCGTTGTCGTAGTTTGCAGGAGAGAGAAGGGAAGGACTGAGGTCTGGACGGCGCATTGCTAGCCTTTTGAAGACATCGAAAAAGAGCTGAATTGGAGAAGGGGAGATCGTCGGGTCTTTGCCAAGACGCGGTAATCATTGGCGATAAGTCCGAGCTCTGACAGTCGACACTCGTCGGATTCTTATTTTAACATGACGGTGGGATATTGTAAGCTAATGGTGATCCAATTGAATCGGCTTTGAGTTATTTCCTGGGCTCCTTCGAGACTAGAAGCGCTGCTTCAAGTCAAATGATTATTCAAGGTTATTTGTCTCCTTTTATGGCTCAATTCTCCGTCCTGATCACTTGCCTACCTTCGTACAATATACAGGCTCTGGTTTCTTAAACTAATCAATTTGCAGAACAAGACTCAGTGACAGTCCAAAGAGCTGAAAACAGATAGCCTAGATTCTCCGCGATTACACGGACCTGGAAATCATGCGAGTGGGTGCAAAATCGGCTCGAAGATCTCGCGGAGCTCTGCAAGAGGATTTGCACAGAGTTCAAATGCTCTCCAGGCGATAAACTTGTCTGGTGATCCAGAATGCACGGTCGTCAGTAATCTCGCGGACCTTCATCCAGTGACCATACATATCGGAGACTCTCACGGCGGTCGTGGGCTCAATTGGACTCTGTAGTGACTGAAACACCTCCAAAGGTCGTAAGACGAGAATTCGAACACCCAGTTTCATACAGGATTTTCAAATTCCAGGAACTCATCACGGGACGTTTCGTTACTGCACAGAACTGTCCGAGTCGCGATGATTGATTGCGATAGGCCACTTCGTTTCTTTACGAGGATGCAGCTAATATCCTCGGATCACATAAATCGCATCTCCCGGACAGCGGATATCAATATGAATAGACCAAAAAGACCGTAGAATGAACTGCTCGAGTGAGCCAATCTGACCTGCTCGCGGCCTCACGATTTATTAACATCTGTCTATCCCCTGACCGCAAGCATGTAGAGTCAATCGTGTTGACTGGCGATATGAGTTCTCAAACTGCATCCACTGGAAACCACAACGGCTTTCACCGTTACCTTCATGACCCCGGTAAGATCATAAGCTACATTTCCCTGTCATTTGGAAGCTGACGTGTACATGAGAAGATCAATATTCACTTTCGGGTATTGATACAAGCGACGTGTATGCCTTCTCCAGAAAGGCTGTAGCCGATCCACGAGTGAGTGAGTATGGAATGATACCCCGTTCTTTCCGCTGTGTCAGTGGCTGACCCAGGCATCTCTTGCAGCTCATTGATGAAGGTCCCGATAAAGAAGTCGGAATTTCCCGTTCCGAAGTTACTTTGGCGCGGAGACTGATGCAAAGTCTCACCCTAGAGCAGCAGCGAGTTACCCAAAAGTCATCCAGAATCCACGAGCCAGAGAACACAACCTGCAATATTGTTGACCAGTAGCATCTCGGGGGCACTGGCAAGGATAACAGCATCGTTACCTACGAAGGAGTGGTAGCCACCCAACCAACAGCTGAACAACGGATCAGCTGGTTGCTGTTGCAGCCGCCTTTCATGAACTGCTACCATGAGGCCATGTCCGCTGTCTTCAGCAATCTTACATGACTGAGTCACCTCGGGGCTTTAGAGTTCTACCACTTGCAGATCCATCCTCCGGGTCGTCCAATACTACTGTCATGTATGCAGAAGTGTATACCAAATCCGGTGGCTCTACTCTGGTACCAGTATACACAAGTTTGACCAATACTATCTGATTCTAGAGGGGGAAATATCAGTTGAGTAGCTCTGCAGAAGCACGTTCTCGGCCCAAACAACCTTGTCGTGATCCCAGCTGGTGTCCCGCACAGACAGTACAGCCAGGGAAATAGCACCGAGAACATATCGTTGTAAATACTCCAGCCCCTCGATCTGGCCGATACTGGGGTTATGAAATTACAATGACTACTTCTGGTGATGATCACTACGGCAATCTCAGTGCGGTAAGCGAGCTAGACGACGGGGCTTTGTTAGCGGCGTGAATTGCTCGCCTGTATGAATGCAGAAATTTAGTCTTGAGCCCATTTTTGACCTGGTTGAGCTCTCTCGAGACAAAGAAATGTTACGAGCTTCGGTGTGGCCCGTGTGAAGAATGTCGGAGCCTATCTTTAGTTCAACGTATTTGCAGTGCGAGTCTTGCACCTGAAGTAGGCAATTCCTAGACATCCAAACACTAGAACGGAAAGAAAAGGTCAATAAACGGCAGAGCAAATCAAGCAGATATGTGGGAGCTAGAGCTGAACGTAGATTACGAAACTGTGACTAGTGTGGGGAGACAATAATGTAGCGGGACCAATTGAGACTAGCGAGGTTCTCTCCAGCATTCCTCACATCGATCGCAAATGACAATGATCAGAGATTTTGGACTTGATGTGAACGTTACGGACATTAGAAGACAGAGAACCGCGGGGTTACAATGCAAAGATACTTGAGCATGGGCGTTTTCATTTCAGGGGAAGTTTGTTGATGCAAACTCACTGGTAGCCGAATGCAGTGAGAAATGGATCGGCAGGGCGATCTGCCCTATGTAGGGATGACTTTGGGTCGTTCAATGTGCCGCCAGTATGATCTCAGCTAGCTATCCGCAAAGAATTACAGCTGATTTTTCATCTAAGCGGATATCGCTTTCTATCACTTTGAGGGACAAACTCTGTTCTACCAGATATACAGACCACCATAGCAGTCTTATACTTCGGCGCGGTAATAACTTATAAGCCTTGTACACACCTAATAACAACACAGATAGTGGAGCACTTAGTGGAGCACTTTACTTGCCAATTTTCTTAGCGTAAGGCCAAGACATCTCCCCAGCTCCTCAGCGCACTCAGAGAATCGATTATCTCCTCCACCCATTGTCTACTGAGACACCATGCACCCAGATAACGTGTTCGCAGCAACCAGAAACAGACCACTCATAAAGAGCTCCACATACCATTCACTGTGCTAGCACTGACGTGGCTTTTTCTGGAATCCTCCGTTAGTATGAGGTGTTTCACATCGATATCCGCTTTCGGCACCCCCTACCTTCCCCATTGGGATATGCATCACGTGACACGCCCCGATTGCTGGCGCCCTGTGTTTCGGACGAACGCCGAGTTCACGACGGTCTCGGCTCGTCTCGCCGGGCGAAACCGTTTGTCCCAGGGTTGCATGGTGGGGCCCTGTTCGGCCGCCATTTGCCTGCATCCGGAGGTTGGCCGTTCCCACACTTTTGACTGAGGCTCCCATTGACAGCTAGGCACAACTCAATCAGGCACATACCCAAAATTGAAGTTTTTGTTCTTGACTAATTAATGTCATCACCAACCAACCTTAAGTGATCTACAGACCGGATTGAGACAGCTCGAAACATCTCCTCCGTACCATCTATAAGTATGGGGTCCTGTTCGTCTCAAGTCTCCATCAGTTTCATATCTCAATCACATCGGCCTTCTCACTCCAGGTAAGCCTTTTACATCCACTCTCTCTTTAGTGGTCCGACCACAGCCCTAAGAGCCTTATACTAACCCCATTCCCAGCTCCATCACTCGTTAAGACAAACTATCTTGCTTTATTTCAATCGCTTCTATCCTCCAAAATGCACTTCACCGGTCCCTCCATCACTCTCTTGGCCCTCGCCGCCGGCGTCCAGGCTGGCATTGCCACCACGCAGCAGGAACCTCCTGTCCACGCTAAGAGCATCGTCAAGCTCCAGCCCACCGGTGCTCCCGCTGCCACCGGTGTTCAAACTAGCGCTCAGCCCATCATTACTGGTGCCCCCAACAACGGCACCAACGGTGGCGGCAACGGCGGTGTCCTCACCACTCTTGGAAACGGTGCCTCCACCATCCCCGTCAGCGTCCCCACCAAGGCCCCCGGCGCTGTTCCCTCTGGCAGTGCTGGTGCCCCCGCTCCCTCCGGCAGTGCTGGTGCTCCCGCTCCCTCCGGCGGTGCTGGTGGCATCATTGGCGGTGGCTCTGGCAACGGCCACGGCTCTGGAAACGGCCACGGCTCTGGCAACGGCAACGGCTCTGGCAACGGTCACGGCTCTGGCAACGGCAACGGCCACGGCTCTGGCCACGGATCTGGCAACGGCTCTGGCAACGGCTCTGGCAACGGCTCTGGCAACGGCTCTGGCAACGGCTCTGGCAACGGCTCTGGCAACGGTCACGGCTCTGGCAACGGCTCTGGCAACGGTCACGCCTCTGGCAACGGCAACGGCAACGGCTCCGGCTCAGGCTCCGGCTCAGGCTCTGGATCTGGATCTGGCTCCGGCTCTGGCAACGGTGCAGACAACACCCCCGCCTCCCCCACCTCTACCGGCTTCAACCCCGCCAACCCTGGTTCCAAGATCACCGCTCCTCAGTTCGGATTCGTCGCTGTTATGGGCAGTGTCATCTACGGTGCCGTCATGCTCCTCGCATAAAAGTGTTCACCTCTTAATGTCCCTGGTTCTTTCTTAATGGTGTTTTTTTGTTCTGTCGATAGCCAGTTCTCTCTTCTTTGGTCTTCCTGTCCTGATGAATGGAGTTTATTGTGTGGAAAATGAGAGATATTGGGATCTTCAGATAGGCGTTGGGGGATATGGTTGTTTTTATTTTATTAGATGGGGATACATACCAATGTTTAATATGACTCTAGTTCGAAGATTCAATCTTATGAAATACTGTACTTCATTTGCTTCATTGAACACTGGTATACTATGACACTTTGATATATAAATCCAGTATACAAGCCACTCGTAGACTGTTTCCACTTGGAAAATTCTTCACAATCTATCTGCTATACTACCTGGATACCGAAATCATAAACAAAAGCTCAACCTCATAGACTCCATTCCAACCTCGGAAAACTCTAACAGCGCCAAATATGCAACCTCAGGCACTCTGGTGGTCATACTCTATTAATAGCTGCAAGTCCAAAGCAGCCCAGACGTCCCTGCAGGACCGGGTGGCGTTAGCCACTACCCACTCGATATGGGCTGGAATTTGAGTTTACGATTATAGTTTTAAAGTTCAAGATTCGCTGGCTGATGTAACGTGGGCTTAGGGCTTGAAATCGTAAGAGGCTCCAAGGGTTGCATACACAAAATCACCTATAGATACATAGTTTTCGAGGGCAATACTTGATCTCCCATGAACTACTTTCCATGTATAGAGGTCATTTAAAGAAACGAATTCAAAGCCGCCGAAACACCGAATAAAAGAAAAAAAATGCAAAAACCCAGTTCTCCATACCAATCATGCAAAAAATAGAATCTATGAAGCTGATATCCAATTCACCCATTGACACCCACACCCTCCCGCACCCCCGTCAACACCCCCGTACTCCTCCACACTCCCATTCGCATGCTTCCCGTCAATACCCTTGAAAAGCCCCGAAGCCGGATTCACCAGGTCACCACCCACAGCGCGATCCTCGAGCTGCAGCTGCGCACCGGTGATGTTGTAACGGCCTTCTGAGATGGGGTAGCAGTAGAGCATTTTCTTTTTCTCTGCGCCGCCGTGGCGGTCGAGCGTTATCGTCACCGGGTATGGGAATGAGCCGGGGCGGGAGAAATCAGTTGCTGAGGATGAGGATGTGGGCGTGCTGGTTGATGTTGAGGTTGGGTTTGCGGTTGTATTGTTTGGTGGGAGGAGACGGCGGCCGATTTTGTCGGGTTGGGTCCAGATTTGGACGAGGAAGCGGGTTTGGGACCAGGTGCAGCGGTATTCGGCGGTGGATTTGGAGACGCCGCCGTTTGTGTCGCTTGGTTGGGATTGCGTTTGGGAGGTTAGGAAGATGGATTTGTCGAAGTAGGTGTAGAAGCCGTAGTGTTCGGTTGGGAGGCCGCGGTTGTAGAGGCGGATGGGTTGGGAGGAGGAGAGGGGGTAAAGCTTTGCGGCGGCGGGGGTGCCGTCGGCGTGCTCGTCTGGAGCGGGGATTATGGAGGAGATGTTGGGGTAGGCGGTGCTGTTGGGGTTGATGAAGCGGCGGTAGATGTTTGCGGAGGCGAGAGGGACGGGGGAGAGGATTGACATGTAGAATGGGGTTCCCTCGCCGGCGTAGGGTACTGTGTTGTTATCTGTGTATTGGCCGAGGAAGCTTTGCTCTACATCGCTAGGAGCTGCGGGCGATGGATTGAACATGTCATCCCTGATGCGGAGGTTGTTTGTAGAGTTCGAGCCAACGGTGGTGGAGTTATCGTACGTGCCATTGCGGAACTGGATAGAAACGCGGAAATTTGGCTGGTTCGCATTGTACGGCTCATTGTCATCCTGCTGTTCCTTGGGCAGAGCACAACTCCACATCGAAGAAGGAGTGATACAAGTCGACTTCTCAAGCTGAGGCTGCGTGCCACCAAGTGTTGCAATTCCTGTTGGGATGGGCGGGTAACCTGTCAGGTTAAGCCACCGCGATTGAATAGGAGTCGAATGTCCGTCTCTTGTCAGTGTGATCGCCAAAATAGTGGCAATGAGCACAATTATAAAGAAGAAAATGCAGATCACAAAGTACCATCTCCGTCGTGTGCGACCCTCACGTCCAGGACGTCCGCTCTTCTTGCTAAACGGGCCCCGGCCGCGCCAGAGTCCACAAAACCGTCGGCCAGCAGCGTCTTCCCGTTCAAGCCTGCGGCGACGAGTCTCATAAGGCCCTATTGCCCCACTGGGATTGACACTGGAAACTCCAGCTTCGGGATTGTGGTCATAGCGTGGCTGGACATCATATCGTGGCGGCAGAGGAGCATCTCTGGAGACCTGCGTATAGGCAGGAGCTGGTGCCTGCATATCAGACATTGGGATTGAGCCAGGTCCACCAGCAGCCCGCTGGAAGCCCGGGGAGATAGGCTCAGAATCTTGCGAACTCCCTTGCGGTGGCAGTGGCGCTAGTCCCGACTCTTGAGGCAGTCCTCTTTCTGTTTGCGGCTCCTCAGATTCACGCTGTTCTTGCTGATTCTGGGTTTGGGATGTGGTAGAGTCTGGTCGAGTCAGAGGTGGTACCGGCGGTGCATTCGAATGGGGATGTGCGTTGATACCAAACGGCCATCCGGATCCAGATTGACGTCCTTGAATGACAAGCGGTCCCTGAGGCTGGGCTACATGACCATAAACCGGTTTCCGGGCCACGCTAAAGCCTTGACCGTATGCTGTCTGCGGAGCTTGTGGCTCTCGTGTAACGGGAGGCTCTTGTGGTTGTTCTGGTTGATCAAACGCCCATTCGAACCCCGTTACTTGTCCTTGGTTTGCTGGCTTTTGAGTCTGTGTCTGTTCTTGCGGCTGTGCGTCTCCCCATGGCCACTCCGACCGAGATGAGACGACGCGAGGGGGTCGTTCTGGAGGAGGGATTCCTCGTGAGAGCTCCTGTGGTTGTGGCTGCTGCCCCTGTGGTGAGGGCTCTGCTGGTTGTCCTACTTGATGAAAGACAGGCACATATTGTACGACCGGCTGCAGGGGTTGCTGCTGTGGAGGCGAAGTGTAATGCACATTAGTCACTGGGGGCGCGATGTTGGTGATGATTTGAGGAGGTACTGGAGCTGGAGCCGGAGCCGGAGTTGGAATGGGAGCCGGAGCAGGAGCAGGCTCAGGCATAGCAAAAGCAGCTGGCGCTGGCGCTGGTGCTGGCACTGGAGGCGATGGTTCCACCGGTGCCACGGGAACAGGAATAGGAGCGACAGCAGGCTGCGAGCGAGACTCCTCATCACCTCCCCGAGATTTCTGTATCGTCGAACCCCTCTCGTCCTTATCAACAACAGACGAATTCCAAAAATCAGAACTAGAATCCGACATGGGCGAGTCCACCTGCACCTCCTTGGTGCGAGCAGCATATCCATCCGAAATCTTCGTTGAAATCGTTTCAGGACGAGGCGAGTCGATATCAATAAGCAACCCGGCATTCTTGGTCGATTGTGCCGAGGCAGCCTGGGTGAGACTTTCATTTGAACGTGATGCTTCAAGACCAGATGGATCTGGAGAATCTAGTGCAACAAGAGCCAGGCCCCGACTGCTATCCTCATTTCCAGTCCCTACTGCTCCGGCAGGAACCACGGTAGGGTGAACAGGCGTTATCGAGCAGATATGATTGCAACACTCGAAATACGGCGCCTTGCTGAATAACTCATGCGCACAGGCTTGGTAGTACTCAGCTGCTTCGCCTTGAATTGCCTGACTACCAAACATAAACGACATGGTATTTTGCCTAGACGAGACATTCGAGACATATGCCGGTGGAGGGGATTGTTGGCGCTCGACACCCTGCTGATCTTCTGAGAAGGATCGAGACATCTCGAATGCTTTCTCGCCCATCGGAGCCGCTGTCTCTGGTGTATCAGGTGAGAAACAGGATATCTCTTTCTCCTGTATCCATTGTCTTGGCCGGGTGCGGGTTGTTGTCGGGGACGGAGTGGAGGGCGAATCTCGAGGGAAGGATGGGCTCAGTGGGGATTTGGCTGAGCGGTTTAATAACGGGGAGAGGAGGTATGTCCACCAGCCCTGGGATTGGGGTCGATCGGGGTCTGCTGTGTTGACGCTGAGGCGAGTCTGTTGGATGCTTGTATGCTCTCTTCCAGGTGTTACGGGTGGACTGGCATCCTCCCAGCTGGAAGCGGGTGAAAGGCGGGCGTTTATTTCCACTCCGGTATTATTATATTCAGGCTCAGAGCCGGTGCTTTTTGTGGTAGCTGCATGTTGCATAGGGATCGCTGGAACAGGCGGGATATCTGATTGGAATTGCCAGAGACGCGGTGTGGGTTGGGAATAGATACTCGATGTTACTCTTGGCCGGAGCATCTCAGTGCTCGAGCTCGCTGCGTTCCATGGTGCTTCTTCTCTTGCCGGCGTGACGATAATCGTAGGTGTGGGAGGTGCACCAGCAGTATCAAACTCTCTTGATCTTTCAATCGACTCATTTCGCGGCACCGCGAGTCCAATCATCACATTTCGGTCCGAAGGCGAGATTGCCTGCTCATGTCTATCGTGGAACGGATCATCGTCTGGAGGATTGAGAAACCAGCTTGTATTGTTAGGCTGACTTGGGCTTTGCGCAATTCCCACCGGCAGCTTGTGAAAGCCCCGAGAAATTCGTTTCCTGAACAAATCCTTTGATTTCTGCGCCGAGCGTTCCCTTTCTCGCACCTTCGAGAGGAGCTTCAGATCATTCAGATCAACGAACGGGGCCGCTACTTGTATATTCTCCGTGGGGGGCTGTTTCCTCGCTGGCACCGGTGCCAAAGTGAAATCCGTAACGAGGTTCAGGCCGACTGGTTTCGCAACGCTTTTCCGTTTCTTCGTGATACCGCGGATATTCAGCCTTGAGGCTTCCCGGTGCGAGGTACCCGGCGAGCGGTTCTCATCTTTGGTCTTGCCCTCAAGCTTTTGGCGTGCTGCCTTGGCTAGAAATGCAAAGGGACGGTCTCTTTCTTCGTCGTGATCTTCTGCCGAGGAGCAGGACGGACTAGCGATCTCTTCGCTTATCGGCGAGGATAGTGGGAAGTTCGGGACTGGAACCTGGAGGTCCGGTTGTGGCTTTTGTCGTTTGAGCATCTCGAATCTGGATTTGACTCAGTAGACTGAGTAGTTTCGAGATGTCAGTTGCGGGCACAGGATTCGAAGTGTCTGCATACCATACGTCACGCAACTTCAGATGAAAGAACGAAAGAGATGACCAGCCGGTGGCGAGACAAAGGCACCTTTTCTAGTAAATATAATATCCCCTAGGCGCCAGGCAATGCAAGTGAAACAATGGGAAGAAAGAGAATGGAGATGCAATGTGAATAGAGTCTATTGACCAAATGCGAAACAATAGAAGAAAGGGAACAAAAACAAAGAAAAGCAGATATCCTCCGAGAGATCAAATTGAAGAGAAAAGGCCCCGAGAATCTAGACAATAAGCTCTATTTCTGCAAAGCATCATAGTCCAGCCCCATCTACTCCGTACAAGAGCTATAAACAAACCCTGGGCGCTAACTACCAATGATGGTCGTTGGCGGTGCATTTCTGCACCGGTCCCAGACAGCTTGCTGCAGCTAGCGACATTGTGCTCTGTCAAGCTCCGCGATTGGACCAGTGGCAGGAAGATCAACAGGGACAGTCGAATGGATGGTGATGGATTGGATGCAAGTGTCAGGCCGAGGCCGGTTTCTACGCGCCGGGCCGGGGTCGGGCGCTTGGAAGCGACGAAAGGATTGGTGGACTGAAAATAGAAGAGGGGGATTGTTTATAGAAATCGTTTATAGACAAGGAAAAACTTGAAACAATCATTGTCTGATCTTTTGATTCTCTTCGTGGTACTACTACTCCGTACTCCACGGCTCTTCTACTGTGTGGAGACGGACGTCGATACTCCACTTCCCAGGACAAATGATACCAGATGCGTTGTGAATTGGTACAGAAGATTGAAGATCCCAGTGACTCCCAGGTAAGTCCTATCGTATTCCATGCAAAATGAGGAGTGGCCAGAGAACAGCAAAAGCAGTTGCGGGTATGAAATAACAAAATAGCAGAGACCACTCCAGAAAAAAAAAAACAAAATATAAACCAACCCCGAAAATCGAAGGTCGCGTCTATAAAATAGGGATATATAGAGAAACAAGGTGAACACATGTCGTTGATGATAGGTTTTGCAGCGTGACTAGTCATATCTCATACACAGCTTCCTTACAGCATCGCATCGCATCTGCTGAGCACAAACGACCACGCTTCACATCTACCGCCGTTCATACTCGATGCCCTGCATGGGCGCAACAGAGCCATTCATGAGAGGCGGTAGCGTGCGCGGCTGATCCTGACCCACACCATTGCCGAAACCACCAAAGACTGAGCCCTGCGGCGGTCCGCTGACTTGGTTGGCGTTCATTTGATGCTCGAAGATGGATGGGGGTCGGGACGCATTGGCTTGGTTGAGCTGGGCGCGCATTTCCTCCATCTCCGATTGCATCACATTGCGGTCGCGTTGCGATTGCGCGACTGTTTTCTCGAGCATGGCGATATAGTCGATCGCCCGGGTGAGGGTTTCCCATTTGCTGGACTTATTGGTTTGCCCGGGGGGTAAACGCAGTCGGAGCGCTTCGAAGCAATCTTTCATTTCGCTGCGGCGCTTGCGCTCGGCGAGTTTGTGCGTTACCCGAAGTTCGGGTGTGCGGCTGTACGGTGTGCTGCCTGGCGGGCCTTCTTCTTCGCCAATCAATTCTCGCACTGCCTTGTGTTGGAGGGAATGGTGGTGTACATTTTGGGGTAGGTCTGTCCAAACTTGTTTAGAACGAAGTGCGCATGCGGAGGGTGGTTGGCGGTGTTCGGTCTTACCGTGTTGTCCTCGAGGCATCCGTTCGGAGTACATGCTGTTCATGGACTCCGCCATGCTGCCCTTTCGGGAGAACGGGGGATTGGACTCCCCCTTGGAAGAGACAGAGCTCGAGCGCGCCATGTCCGGATCTGGGAAGGCATACGCCATACCCGCAGTGGGTGCTTCGGCGTTGTAAATCTCCGAACGAGGATTCGAAGAGATCGCTGGAGCGGTCCGACCAGCAGCAAAACTCCGCTGCTGGTCGGTCGCGCGGGGGCCCAGAGGAGAGAGAGGCTGGGTACCACCTGAGTAGCGAGGGCCTCGGTATGAGTTCATGTCGGTCGGAATGCCTCGCTCTCTTTGCAGACTTGAGACAATCGAAGACTGCGAGGCATTGGTGCTGTGGTAGGGCGAAGCGGGGTTAATGGCCAGAGAGCTGATCCCCTGATTCACGCGACTGTCCACGCTACTGCGCCGAGACTCGGTGGTCTCTGCCACGCTGATTCGTTGGGAGGGAACTTCATAATTTTGATTGATTGAAGGAAGGGCGGGAGTTGGCTGGGTATTGAAGTTCGGGGAGGGTTGTTGGGTGCCGGCGGAGGAAGGGGTATTCGATTGATCGTGGGGGTAAGGTGAGCGGTCGACTGCCGGGTGTCCGCGATTGGGGGAGGGTTGCGACGCCGCAATGAAGCTGAGAGTGGGATAATTGCTGCCGTTGCCATTGGTCGTCGTGGAGTAGGTCGATGATCCTACATGGTCAGCACCGCGCCGCTCCCAATCCATACTTGGCGAGGGTCTCCTACTTGTGCTTTGCGGCATTGACCAATTCCCCGAATCCCGCTCGATGGTGTTCAATGAGGCATTCCCGGGTGATTTCTCCGCGGGGACTCCGGCGCCCGGCATATTCGCGGTAAGGGTCGAGATGGAGGGGAGGGTTTGTGTTGAGCCGGGTGTCTGAGGCCCTGAAACCGCCTCCCACGGCCGATGTGCGACAGAAGGATCCATGATTGCAAGTCTGATCCAGGAAATAAAAGATGAGATGAAATGTCGAGGGCGTCCGCTCTTTTTTTTTTCCACCCTATCGCATATTCGAGAAGGTCGAGGTTCAATTGCTCGAGAAACGATTCACGGTGGAACGGTCGAATTCGCTGCGAGGGTGTGTCAAAGTTTCCGAGTTTCCAGTAGAATTCGCAGGTGAAGGGCTAGAAAGCTAGACATGTGTTAGACAGGCAACACAGGCCAAACAAGATGGAGCTTACCGAAAGAGTGGGGGATATTAGGGTATATAGAGAGTCGAGGGAGAAATTAAGAAAGTCGAAGTAAAGCGAGAAGTCCAGAAGCCAGAAAGCTAAGGTTTAAAGGTCCAACTTCCGAAAATTGGAGACTCGAGTCTTTCGAGTCGAACGTCTTATTGGATTTTTATTGGATTTTCTGGATTTCTTTTTCTTTTTCTTTTTCTTTTTCTTTTTCCCGTGATTAATGTTATGTGATTTTTGGTGATTTTTGGTGATTTTCTGTTATTCGTCTTATTCGTCTGTTCCTCTGTTCCTCTCGGATTTAATACGTCTGATTACTGCTGGGTTCACCTTGGCATATCAACCCCCCCTTTCTTAGGCAATAAAGGAATCCCAAGAAAATCGGTCAAATACCAACGAAAGAAGAAAAGAATGAAAAAAGAATCTCGGAAAAAAAATGAAAATGAAAATGAAAATGAAAAAAAAAAAAAAAAAAAGGAAATGAAGAATGTACGGAGTACTGGTATTACCGCCAAGGCCCTACTGCAACTGTGTGCCACGAGGCTGACCCTGGGGAGTAAGGTGCTCGATTTGCTGGACTGCTCCATACACTTATTGCCCTCAAGAGTCCAATATCCACACATTCCCCCCGTGGCACTGAAGAATAGGATCCCTGGGAAAAGCAAGGAGAACACGTTTCGTTGCATTGGTTCAGTCTTCACGTCACTCTTGTTCGCTTTGGCTCTTTTCTCTTTCTCTCTTTTTTTTCCCTCTTATTTGTAGTCCCGTTCGTTTCCTTGGGGGCATTTGGGACTATCACCTCGAGTCCATACTCGTCGTTGCCAGATGTCGATCTTCTCTTCACGTGGCTCCCTTGCAGAGGACGAGTTGAGTCTCCTTCTTCTTCCATCCAAACTGCATTTGCGACCGGGGCGTCTGCAGAATCCCGTTGGATGAAATGGAGAGGTACGGAGGGCTGGGAACGGAAACCGTAACTCATTTGACGTTGGACACATGGCATGAGGATGCAGGGTTGATCGGCAATCTCGGGGCGCAAAAGGTAGCATCTACATCCCTGCCCTCAACTGCCCAACTCGTTTGGTCCCGTTTGGTCTCGTTTGGCCGGGGAAATCAACAGGTACCCAAGTACCCAATACGGACATCCCTGTACAATCCTTGTCTCCCATGCGAGGTCTTTTCTTCAGTCCCACACATGGCATCTCTTACTCACCGAAGGGGGTACCTTTGCGCCAGATCGGTGATTCTGTCATAGATAGTCTACCCCGTTCTATACTCCGTGCTCGTCGGGTTTGCCTCGTTGCCTTGGGGGCATTTGGACGTCCAGACCAAACCACGATGATCCACTCCATCTCTCTGTTTGTAACACCTCGGACACAGACAGACGGGAAACCCCATAAGCTTGACCCTCATACCGGAGTCTATGCAACCACCCGTCCCGCCCGAATCATCACATGTTGACCTGTCAAAGACGGGGTTACAGTCCCCATGTCGCGCGGCTATTTTCACCGAGATACTGATCAATTCACTGGTGGCAGGTTGGGGATTCCCCCGATTCCGGATAGCTCAGTGTGACCTGGACACTGGGCGAATATGATCAAGCTTCTTTGCGTGGCTCCCTGACGGTAGGCGATCGCCACCATGAGATGTCCCAGAACTATCCTATTGTACTCCCTAAAAGAGACTCTCCGAGGGGGGATTGTTCATCTTTGAGACAAAGCGGTTCAAGGGGTAGTCACCTACGCCACTCTAATTGCGAAACGGTGGATATTGGCCAGGTGGCTTGGTTGATGTGTCGATTTGATGTTTGATCCCGAAATAGATGGGTTGTATCGGATACAGGGTAAAACGGTAATACACGCTAAACCTGGATGGTGAAATCGCATTCAATCCGAAAGAACCCAAAAAGCAATTTAAAAAGAAAAAAAGAAAAAAGAAAAAAGAAAAAAGAAAAAAAGAAAAAAAACCCCCAAAACCGACGGTCTCGCCGACGGCGCCACATGCTGTGGCGTCGTCCAACGTCCATCATCGCTCTCTGCCACATGGCCCTTGCAGAATGTCTCGACGGAGTACATTCCTCGAACTTCTGCCACCGTAGCACTGCTCCATACTTCAAGGACACTACTTACCTAGGTAGGTACCTTATCGGAGATCCGGAATTCTCAGTACGACTCTATCTATGTCCACACTGTAAAGGGATGAGCTATGCATTGCCCAGAGTTCGTGATGCATTCCCATCTGGTTCCAACACCGTGGCCTCCCACGGGGAATCGTGGCCCTTGCTGTTCATCCCAATAGTCTGTCTTGACACGCGGATCGTACCGGACAGGGGGCGCCATATGTTTCTTTTTGGTCTTTTTTTGGGGGGCTTCACCATTCCAAATCATAGACCCTCACATGGCTAACTTGATATCACGAATTCAATATTCGAATAGTCTTTCTATAGTCTCCAACCCAACCCTGCTGCGTGGAGTTGTCGAATGCAATAATAGCCACGCGTCTGCACTACTCCGTCCTCCCCATACACTCCCATTCCCATTTGCCTATACAGATGAACCGCCGATCCTTCCCGGCCCCTCATCCCCGAAGTTGGGGGAACGCACAGTCAAAGCTTAGACGTTACATACAGACCAAGCTTGAGATACCGGGATTTTTTTTCAGAATGTGATGTAAAACCCATCTAGCCACTCCCAGTCCAGACCTTGCCCACTCTCTCCACTGACCCGCGGACCCACGTAACACCATTTCGCATTCGTCCGGCCAAGTATTGTTAGTCAACGACTATGGGGTGTCTGTACCGCGAAAGGTAATTCTGCTTATTTCCACTCGCCGCGGGATAATGCCACGGAATGAGAGAGCCAATGACCGACCTGCTCCCGTTTGCGGTCCTGCTCTGGACATTACTCCCCACTTAATTCCATTCCTCGCCACACTTTCCAATAACAGCTCGCATGGCTTAGTGGTAAAGCGCATCACTAGTAATGATGAGATCCTCGGTTCGACTCCGAGTGTGAGCATTTTTTTTTTTTCCTTCCAGCCCCACCCTAGGCACTACCGTTCCTCCTATCGAGGGTCTTATTTTGCAACGGGAGGTTGGTCGCTTCGATCTCTATGGTGTCCACGCTCTGTGGAAGGCTGATATATCCCTCGTCCAATAATGCAACGAGTGCTTCTTTCAGCCATGTCCGGCAGGAGATGTCCTCGCGTTGTCGGACTGACTTGGTGGCTGAGACGAGACGTTCTACCAGACTAGCTGGAGGATCCTATCTTGAATGCCACCAGGAGGGACGGGTTGTAGCTGAGATCCTCGTCGTTGGTGTATTGGAATTCCCAGACGTTTTTGTCGGTTTCCTTGGTTAGATGGTACATCTAGCCTGATCTCGTGGTTCAGTGCAGATAGAGGCTCCAACGGAACGTGTAGCAGTTCTCGCCGCGGTCTGGAAGGAGGATGTAGAGTCCAGTGAGCTCGAAGTTTAATCGTGGCTCTGTGCCGAATGGGGTATCATCTGTTGTAGACATGCTGTCCTTGCAGGGACGTGTAGGCAGTTGTCTGGGAGTTATGAATATTATCTAGGGGTGTTACAGATGGGCTGCATTAAGATTGGAGTAAGATGCGAATATAACGTGGTTTAAGCGTCCGTCTGATCTAGAGATGTTGAGGCTCGTTCGAGATATAGCGCCTAACTCGGGTAGCTCATCGGGTGCAGTATATATTCCGTGCCATAGTTGGCTTACTGGGCGCTAAACGTCGGCAAATAGGAGCTTAGACCATGGAGGCGCCTAATGCCATGGAGTATATCGAGGATATCATCCTGATCATGGAAATGTTGCTACACATGTATATATCAGGGCAGAGGGTTATGGGTGTCTATGGTATGGGCCCAAGGGTCTTTGACGGAGGGTTGATTTCTCGAGGATCACAGGTATATTATCTTCCAACCTTTACGGAGTATATTTTCTACTCATCTCTTATCGTGAGATGTATTCGGTATATGTTGTATCTTGTCTAAACTATATATAGGCATATCCCGAGGCCCGAGCAACAACCGAGTGACTGGTCTGTTATCCCTCCTGTACGGAGTACTCCGAGAATGATAACTATGTAATGCCACAGAAACCTTGTCATTATCCCCTTATCTCAGACGACGGTCCGCGGAGATACAGATCATGTTATTCGCAAGTACGGGGTAAAGAGGCAGTGACTCTGATGCACATGCAAGTGCTAACCATGATTATCATGGGAATTCCGTACAGAACAGGCAAATCGAGGATGCAGATAACATGCGACATCAGATATACCTGCATCTCTCCTTTCCTAACCTCAAGAATGGCGTCTACAGGTACAGCGATGCGAACATCGATCATTTCGAAGCAAGCCTTGGAATAGTTCAAATCCGAATGGAAGCAGGTTGCTCCCAGCTGTTGCCTAAAGCGAGGGCCGTGTCCCTGCCACCAAATAAACAAACCAGTGGCCTCGCCCAAAGCCATCCCCTCGTTGAAGGCCTGGGCGAATAGCACGGCTTCCCAGCATACGGTGGATAAGAAGCCATCGAACCCCAGCGCACGGAGTACTCACGCAGTCTGTATCCAATTCCATGGATAATCCCACATACGTACCTATGACTCCAACAACCCAATATAATTGGCAGATCATTCCACGATCTCCCACTCCTTCATCGTGGCATACCCCTTACCTAGACCTACAGAGATCTTCGAACCCAGTTCGTCCATCGCGTGTCGAATGTCACAAATAGCTACCCAAGCTGGGAAGGGGTAAAACTCAATAACGCTGATGTCGCAGACCCAAAATCCCCAACATGTTTTGTCTTGCATGAGAATTCCACGGGCAGCCGTCTCCTGGACTCCTTGCTACGTCGCCATGTGGGATGCATACCCTTTTACACTGTTGAGATGCAGGCTCCACTTGTCGACATATTTGGTGATTCTGTTTTCCGTCCCACTTGTATTGGGGTCGAAATTAGTCGGGAATAGTCAATTATTAGTCCTCATTTAGTTCCCAATTATCTGTGCCCTTGCGTGGTCTTGGATGTGCTTCATCCTCGCCATGTGTGTTTCAGTGGGGTCCGCGTGTTTAGCGTTCCAGCCGCTGGAATGATGTCAATGGTTACCTGGATATCTGGAGGATGGGAGATGGAGGTTGGGGGCTTGGTGGGAGACGTTGTGGATGTGTTTTGCCATCTGATGTAGGGATGGGCTAGTCTGGCTGGAAATCGAGTGTTGAACGCGATGTGGGTTTGTTGGGTGGCGATATTGGCGATGCCCAACATTGAAATGAACTGACTCAGGTGTAACATGTCCATTATTAGGCCTAGATTTCAGTTAATCCCCTGTGGACCCGTGTCTTGGAGATGGATTGTTGGAGAAACGTATCCAGAGGTGTGTATGTTCAGCCGAGGACCTGCGTACACTTGTATGGAGAAATACGGTCTGATATGGAGTGGAGATGTCAAGTATTATCTCGTCAATTCAATTCAAGTCGTATAAGCGCCAAATATTTATAGTATCTACAATCTTTTTATGGGAATATGGACTGCTGAAGGGGCTTTGGTGCTGCCAGCGTGGCAATGACTTACTCGTCGTCCTCGCCCTCGTCCTCATCCTCATCCTCATCCTCGTCATCTTCAAAGTCAGAACCTTCTTCAAACTCAACACCGATATCACCGGTGATATCCCATCGATCACCCTTCGCCGCAGCACTGACGTACTTGACGAACTTGAGGGTGCCGCTATCACGCAGCACAATGCTGAGGCGGTTCCATCCAGCCTGTGTGCTGAACAGGATACCATCATCTTCATCAGCACCCGCAGAGCGGTAGATAGCGGGATCAGACTTGGTCTTCTTCGGACCTAGGACCTGATCAGCGTTCTCGGGGTCCTCTTCTTCATCCTCTTCCTCATCGCCAGCCATGTAGATCTCGTATCCACCAAGTGCAGGACCTTCTACGGCATCGTCGGTCTTCTCCTTAGGCTCAGACTTGGCAGAGGAAGCCTTAGCTTCTCCATCCTCGTTCTCGTCCTCGTCCTCATCCTCATCTTCTTCATCTTCCTGCTTCTCCCACCCAGTGCTTGGGGTAAGACAGAGCGAGAACTCAAGTCGAGGCTCCTCGCCTTCGTACGCACTAGCAAGAGTGTAGTCCGCACCACGACGGAAGCGTCTTGCAAGCAGATCGTGACTAGTGAGGTGATCCACACCGGTAACGAGAGCAAGCCACTTCCGGAAGGGCTGCGATGGGAAGAGCACGTTCATCAGCTCTTGAATCGGGCTCTCGGAGCTCTTCTCGACGGAAGCATGCTGGTACAGATAACGGTGCTTGTGCGGAGGACGAGCAACTGTCCAGCCGCGCTGTGTCTCGATCTCGTCCGCAGAAGCGGGGAGAGGCTGTCTCTCCTGGTCCTCGATGTATGCGCTCACGCGCGAAGCAAACTTATCACTGAGGAATCGCTCAAGGCTGAGCGAGGACTCGGCTGCGAACGCATCGGACATCTCCTCTGCGATATCGGGGGTCAGGTATGAAGGCGCAATGTACTGCAGCAAGAAACCAAGGTCACTCTCTGTGAACTCGCCCTCGGCCTGCTCTTCCACCTTGCCCTTACCCTTGCCCTCGACCTCGGGCTCTTCCCAAGACACAGGCTGCGGCTGGGGCAGATCGTAGATATCGCCGCGGCCCTGCAGCTGTGCGAGACTGCTGCGCTCGGCGAGCTTCTCTTCCAGTCCCGCCTCGTATCCATCTTCGCCTTCCTGAGGGATGTGGAACCAGCCGCTGATCGCCATGCGGACGCGCTTCTTTGTCTTATCCTCGTCCTCGCGGGGGTGGTACACTTCTTCGACATCGTGGAAGCTCTCGCCGGGTTGGACAGTGAAGAAGCTCAGCTGGTTGAAGGCGGGAGGAATGGAGAGGCTGTAGTCCGGGCTGGGGATCTTGACATCCTCACCCTTAGCGTCTTTCTTGGTCGTTGTGGGGAACAGGCGCAAAGCACCACCCCACTCGGCTTGCCAGGGTGTGTCGGGGTCGGTCAGGTAGAGGATGTAACTGAGGCGACGGCTGCCGATGACGTCGTCGTGGCAGAGAAGGTGGCAGCCCTCGGTGTAGATGTTGATAGCCATGTCGGTCTTTTGCCCGCTCAGCTTGCCTGAGCCTGTCACGGAGGACAAGTACTCACGGAATCGCGCGGAGTACAATGCGTCGCGCAGCTTCAATACTGAAGGCAGCTTCGAGATGGAAGAGTCATCCAGTCCATCGAGGTTGGCAAGATCACCAGACTGGAAGATCTTGTAGATATCCGTCTCCTTCTCAGTGAAAGAGACCTGAGTTTCAATCTCATTGCGGACGGAGCGGAGGAGCGTGGGTTCGATCAGAGGATGAATGACTCCGTGAAGGTAGCTAGAGGCCCATAACTATCAGTGGTTTGACATTGGGCTAATTTCCCTGTGTACACCTACGGAGAAGACCTGGCGTATTCGTTGGTGTACTTCTGCTGCTCCGCGGTGTCGAACAGACCGTCGCGGAAGCGGGCAGCGGCCTCCTCGCTGGAGAGCGCCCGTTTCTTGGACTGAGGCTGGGCATGGCCATCGAGCGAGGCTCTCGTATCCGTCTTGCGCTTCATTTTGGGGGTTGTAGAGAAATGGAAACATCCACAGCGAGTGGTCTGATCTTTCGTAAATTTTTCCGGGCGGTGAGGGGCCCACGATGAGGCGGTCAACTGGGCTGATGTCGCATGCTCAGCTCAAAAGAGAAGATTATAGGGTTGAGGAAGAGATTGTTATTGTATTATTTACGGAGTACAGCTCTGAGATACTCTTCTATCTCACATATTATTGTGTTAGACCATCTTGGTTGTTTTCGGATAATAGTCTACTACAGATAAGTGGCGCATAACCAACGCCCCCTTTCTTATCTGATGCTAGACTAGTTCCTGCAAGTCGATGTGTTCTTTCTAAGCTTTTCTAAGCTTGTCAGATTCAGCCCAAGTCCAATCTACTCCGTACTAGTTTCTTTGTCTCTGTTTTGGCCTTGGACTTCCTTGTTCCACATGTGATTGTGGCGGATCCAGGAACCACTGTCGTCATCTCCTTATCAAAGACGATTGTTCCCCCCCACTTAACCCCGACGTGCTTGATCCTCTTCAACTCTGTCGAATCTCGATCATGCAACAAAACGAGGCTCAAGCTTCGATCCCAGATCAACCGGGAACCCCACCACGCCCACCTTATTCCCCAGTGACACCGGTGTTTGCCCAGCTTGCGCCAGTTCCGTCCAATGAGCCGAGAATCGTCCCGCCACCCGCATCTCCCTCTCCAACATCACACTTCCCTCCACGATACACAGAATATTCACATGGTCCACAGCCCCCAGCAACTCCGCCTGTCTTCAAGCCCCAACCTCCCCCAGTCCCTATCTCCGAGAGCGAGAATCCAGATGCGATCGCACTCCGTTCCGCTATCTCGATCCTGCAGATGCAGAAGCAGCAAAGCCTGCGCGATATCCAGGCGCTCGATCGCATGAAGCAGGCCGCTGCCTCTGATCCGGAAGGATTCGCGCACGAGTTAGCAGCAGGTCGACTGAAGACCGAGGACCGCGGGGCGGTACTCCAGTTTTCCGAGGATAACGCGAGGGACGATGAGGACAACGAAGAAGGATCAAAGCGCACGAATCCCGACGGTTCACCAGCTTCGAATTTTGGCCATATCCCTGTTCCGCAGAATGTCGTTCGCATGCCCCCTATCAACTGGGCCAAGTATCAGGTGGTCGGAGAACCGCTTGATCGCATGCACGAAGAGCAATTACGTCGGCCGAGTTCTGGGGAGCCGGGACGAGAGCGCGCGCCGGAACATGTATTGGCGTCGCCGTATCGGCCATTGGTGGATCAGTTGCAGGGGTCGTCGAAGCTTGGTCGTCCTAGCAAGGCAAAAAAGACTTGACTCCTTGTAAGGAGGTTTGATGATTATGGGATTATGGACTTTACGAAGTTATGTACTTTATAGGCTACGCACTAGCTGCATTCTTTTTTTTCGGCCATTCTGTATCTCGGTATTACTGATAAAAGAAAGAAGAATTATAAATTGACTATAAGAATATACTCTTGATTTAGTGATCTATCCCGATTCTAGGTATTTGATTGGTATATAGCAGATGGATATGTCCATACAGTCAACCTTCCCTTTTCGGAGCCGGCAGGTTATGTGAAACTTGCATGATTGGGACCGGAAAGTTATAGTCATCATTCCAAGATTATTTGCGAGTGACTGCACCGGAGCAGTCTATTGGAATGACTCATTTTCTTTCCATAACATCTCTGTTCCCCCCTCTTCATATCGCAGTTATAGACGTACAACAACCTCGATTCTCCTCACCCTGACGGAACCTACCCTATCCTTTATTTGGCACTTGGCAAAGCGCTTGGAAGAAAGCAAGGAAGTGTTGACACAACTAGACAATCTGACCAAAGAAAAAGACGAACTTGTGAATAAAGAGCACAAGCTGAAAGTGAAACAAGACCAGCTGCAAACACAAGACGCATGGGGAGACAGACTATAAGATTTGGTCCTGGCATCGAGTGACTAACACAAAATTTTTCCAAATTGCAAGCCTTTATTGAACCATTCCCTCGATGATTCGGAAATACTGTCTTAACCTTGCTTTTGTACGAATGCCGAGACTCTTCGCTATGGCTCCGCACAGATATCTGTAGCCCGAAATACTAACATTTGGCACCAAGACCAGTGATCTATCATTTTGCCTCTATTATAACAGCCATGAATAGAGGACTACAATCAAGTGTCCTCAGCCCTAATGATCCATCCAATTAATGCCCACCAGCTCCTGCAAATCCTCAGGTAACACATAAGGCGTCTCTTCAGGCAAACAATCCCTCGCAGCATTAATATCCCCATCCTTAAGATATCCCTCAATCTCCCTCATCGTAGCAGTAACATCCGTAACCGAAACAATCCAGTCATCTACATATCGCCCAACCGCCTCCCCACTCAACCCAACCTGAATACTCCGATAATCCAAAGCCCGCAGCGAGAGATCCCGCTCAGGATCCCACTGTATACGCACTGGACTGGCGCGCAGTTTCTCCCGCCACTCATTCTGACTCATTTCGCCAGGTGTGTGGTGGCTCAGACAGGAGTGTGGCAGGGCCCATTCAAATCCCTCGCGCGTGATCTCGACTGCGAGGACGCGTTCCTGTCGGACTTTCGTTGCCCAGCCTGATCGGTAGGCCATCCATAGGAAAGAGGGTTTTATCCAGGTCATTCGTGCGCGAGAGAATGGGGTGACGAAGGTTTGGGCTTTGAGGGCTGCGTTGGCTATCTCGGGGGAATAGGCCTGGTATACCGTGACTGTGATTGGGGTTTGTTTGGCGCGGATCGCCCTGTAGGTATTTGAAGGCATTTTTGGGCGTGGAAAAACCAGAAAGTATATAGAGAGATATTTTCAAATTTAGAAAATGGATCATTGGACTTGATCATATTGACCCATCGGTGGTTTGACCTTAAATGATGACTTGCTGTTCCCTTGATCCACCCTCGTATTCGCCAAACATTGAGGCTGAGCAATAGTCGGAGCTTGTCTTACTGCTGAATACTCCGCAGGCTAGCTTCAAAAGTAGATGAGATACAGCCGGGAGCTACTCAGCCTGGTCGTAGGTAGACATGGTGCAGATCGGGCTTTGTGTCCTTCATTATACTAGCGTGGTTAATAGAGATGTTTGAGATTGAAGTCACCTGGGAGCTTCCCGGCTAAGATGTGATGTAGATTGAAACTGGAGACTGATGAGTATGGAAATATAGAACAACCCTGGACATCAACCCTGTCGTCGCATATAGATAGTTGAAAGTTGAAAGACACCAGGTTCCACCGTGCCAAGGCTCCGCCACCAGATGTGACCCACTTGGCAACTATAAGACTGCATGTAGAGGGTAAACAAGTACAATCAAACATCCAAACAACAAACGACGTAGAAAATTGGGATCTCACCGGCCGGGTTGGTGCAGTGTCTAGCAGCATAAGGGCTCTTATATATACAGGGATCTGGACCGTCCGTACAATACTTTATCAAGAGATCATCTACTAATTTACTAGGAATGGCTCAGCATCACAACGTTGTTATCATTAGGGAGATCCAAATAACAAGCAAAGAGGATCTCACCATCTCCTTTGGATGTTATTTGACCATTGCCCCTGAGAAAAAAGGAACAAAAAAAAACAAGAAACAAGAAACAAAAACAGCAATATGGATAAGAAGTAATAGGCCCGTCCTCCCTTCAGGGGATCTCACCATCTCTTGAGAGCAGAGACAGAGCCAGAAAAACAACGAGAAAAAGAACAGAGAAACAGCAAAAGACCTCAACGGCCACGGCGAGGACCACCACGGCGAGGACCAGGACGACGGCGAGGGGCTGCGCCACGGATGGGAACAGGACCACGAACAGTACCAGAGCCACGAAGAGGAGCACCCGCAAGAACAGCGTCGATTTCACGACGCGCACGACGCTCTCTGACCATGATCTCCACTTCCTGGAGAGCTTGCATGTACCGCTGGTGAGCAGCACGGACGCGGGCGAAGGGGTCGACAGCAGGAGTGTCCTCAGGGCGGGAGGAGGACTCGGCAGGGCGGGAGGGGGACTCGGCAGGGCGGGAGAGAGACTCGGCAGGCTGGGAGGAGGATCCAGCAGGGCGGGAGGGAGACTCGACAGGCTGGGAGGGAGGCTCGCTCGCAGGCTCAGAGCTGAGCTTGTCGACAATGCCGCACTCGACAAGACGCCGAGTATTCTCCCGAATGCGCTTCTGCGCTTCAGGATCCTCAGGCTTGCAGGCGGCGAGGATGTGGTTTTCTCCAGCGGCATTGATTGCCGGCTGGGCAAGGTGGATCTGAATTACGTGGGTTAGAACGATGTGAGGGAGATGTTAAAACTTTTGGCTTACAGCGGGGGCGCCAGCAGGCGCAACAGGCCCTGGGGCCAGGAGGTTGTCACCGAGAGGGATCTCGGGAGTGATGGTGGCCGTAGCCAAGGTGCTTGCAGCGGCGTGCTCTCCACGCTCGCGGTGCCACTGGACAAGGGCGTGTCGCCACGCCTCGTCCTCGGCCTGGCCTTCGGCCTGGCGGGCCGCCAGCATCTGGCGGAAGGAGAGCTCAACACGGCGGCGTTTCTCCATCTCCGAAGACGTCGGGATGGCTTGATGATGTGAGATGAGATGGTTGAGATGAATATCAAATGAGAAGAGATGAACTTACCGGGAGAAGTGATTATTTGGGCCTCGGGGGTAGAGGCCAAGGCAGCGCTGGTGGTTGGGTGCACTGCCAGATTCGGCGAGTGCAAAGGACCGCTGGTTTCCTCTTTGGAATGAGGCATCGACATCTTCGCGATGGAAGAAAAAGAAGTGAATTGTTGATAGAAGAGGAACGAAAAACGGGAAGAAGCGCGACGGCGACGAAACAGATTCTCGACGGGGAAGCTGGGGGTTTCTGAGAGACTACTTAAGAAGGAGCGCAATGGAGGTTCGCAGGATTGTTGACTCGCATCCCAGTTGACAGAATCTTCGTTATTTCCTCATGCTACAGCAATGGATAATGTCTACCTAGCTCTACTAGCATATCACTATGGCCAGACAGACACAGTGAATCTGTTCCCAGCAGTTATTGTCCTATACATGATAAATATAGCCATAGAGCTATGAATGAATAGCCATATTGCCCAGTTGAGAATATTTCTGCTAACCTTGCTATGTACCTTATTCATCCCATTCCTAGACCTGTAGCTGAATAAATAACTACAATAGTGACTTGCTGAACAGCCCTTGGAGCCTATAGGATGAATCAGTGGATGCCTGATGTTGCAAGCTCAGAATCATTGAATTTAGCCAAGTTTGCACATCTGTAATTAGTCAGTGAGACGAAAACAAACCTCGATTCAGAGAGTAATGATCGAAATGTTAGGCTGTTGTGAAGAGACTAAATCACAATCATATTGATCGTCCTATGTGCCTGGGGCTCAGCAGCCCTCTAGGTAGTCAATAGTCATGTGGCTCTCTGGTGTGAATGGAACAATGGGGCATTGTCATATTGCAGCTAGAAGATAGGACTATGGGCGTTGACAATCATTCATTTTATAGCAGGCGATGACGGATCCAATAGAAATGCAAGTGAATTTCCTTTGACCCTGGTATATTCGGGGAGACATCGAGTCTACTTGAGATTAAACAACCTTTCTGATGAGCCTCGTGGATATCATGATCGCTGTAAATGGCCTCAGAAGGTTGGCCTTTTGTGTCGACATGACTTGTCCTTGTATTTTCATAGCAATTCCAAGGCTCTGAGGCTAGAACTATTTCCCTACCGGATTTATCCAGCATTAACAACAAAAGAAGGAATGAAACCATCAATCTGAAGGCTGTAGGATGAACTTATGTACAAAATCTTATATATTATCAACAAAGAGATTCATGAACGTCTACGCTCCAACAGCTTCAAAGCTTGGCTTTGCTATTCTTCTCAAACGCCTGGACAGCCTCCGCGCCTCTTTTGTTGACAGCCTCATTCTTGTCCTCGACCTTCTCTCTCCACTGCAAGTTTCCAGCATGGTCATCCAAGCCATTCAAAACGCGGGCATACATCTCCTCCTTCATGGTACCGTAGATACCTGTTGCGGGTTTAGTCTGAAGCTTGCGCTCCTGGATCAGCTTAAGCGCTTCCTCGGCACCACCAACGGCATCGACAATGCCAGCCTCGAGAGCTTTGCGACCACCGAAGCGATGGGCCTCGAGAACAACATTGCGGAAGGTGACCGGGGTCAACTTCTCGCGGAAGATAGCCATCATTGGCGTTTGGAGCGGCACGCCGAACTCCAACTCGTTGACACAGAGGAATCCACGGTCCGGATTCATGATACGGTAGTCATGGTACATGGCCAACATGAAGCCACCAGCAAATGCGTGTCCATTTAGTAGGCACACAGTTGGCATAGGGTATCTAACTGAATGTAAGTATAATGTTGCCATATACGTATGGATGTTGAGATTTAGCATGATTAAACATACGTCAAGAATCGGCGGAACAGTCGCCACAACCAGTTCTCAAGGAAACCTTCGGTCTGCGCGACGATATCGAGATCAAGTCCATTGCTGTAGAACTTGGCAATTCCACTAGTAGTGACTACAACGCCCTTGGGGTAGCGATGCTCAATAATGTCGAGAGCGAGCAGCAAAGCATCAATAAAAGTAGGAGTCAGTCTGTTGTCCGGGGGCGAGGTGAAGGTGAGCACATAGATGGTCTGATGCTCTTCCGCTGTGCTGGGGTTCGTGCAGACAATCGAGCCCCCGGTGGAGCTAATTGGAACGGTGAACAGAGTCGTCATGATGGGGATGTTTGGGATGAGATATCAAGGTGTCGAGGAGAGTTTCAAGGTTGCTTTGGAGTATAAATATGCTCAAATTTCCAGTTATAGCACGGGTATCAGGAGCTTTGGAAGTTGCAGTTGCTCTGAATACTAATCAGATTAACCTGTTGACCTCGGCTGGAATCACATGCCCGATGAGCTCATCACGTGATGGTCGAATCGAAGTTGCATGTAGCTCAGGCAAAGGAAATGGAGGGTTTTTAGTGATTATATTGGTTTTGAAGACTAATTGTAAGCTGCCTGTTCAGCTGGTCCTGGAAGTAAAGGTACGGGAGACCAGGTACCCTCTTGTGGGACCTCGGATGGCAACGGAGAGCAATCGTCTACCACGGAGTATAGACACAGCCAATGAGTTATAGCGTGGATTGAGGCTCCGCATTATACTTTGGAAGTGTATAATTTTGTGCTCATTTTGAAGAAGGGATCTGTCAAGTTATCCATGGAGTGATTCTACCTAGATACATTCCTGGGAGATCAAGCATTCTGCCCTATAGATTCCAAACTTGAGGTGAGAGCGTACGTCAGTAACCCGCATTAATACATAGGCACATGATGCTACTATTCGAATGAAATCATGTACAAACGAGCATGCATAAACCATCAGGGGTAGATTAAAGGGCGTATATTGTCTTGCCGATCAATGCATGTCTGTCACCCCCTTTAAATCAACCTTGTAGATATTGAGTCAGAATATACGGAGTACTCGGTACTATGCATGATCCAAAGACAAACCTCGCATCATTAGTTAGTCATATCTAGCATGTGGCCCTCTCTTCAACATCTCATAGTGTCGTTATAGCAGAGACCTTAGAAATGGCTAGATCCTGGCTACTGGAACACAATGCCTACAGTAATGAATCCTGTTTTCCTTGTCCTCTAATGCATTTCAAACATCCAAGTCATGGTTAAGATGAGATATATCCGATTGCAATATTATCAATTGGCTGGGAAGTAAAAGCGTTGAAGCTGCTTTCCAGTTGGCGATGACTACCCGCATCCATTGCCGATTTCCTGGCCGACTGGACCCATTACCTCGGCAACCCGAATATCACTCTCTACAACGGTATACTCGAGTAAAATATACTCCAACAAGCACCGATAACTATAGTCATGTAAGCAAAAAGGCGGGGTCCAAATAGTAAAAAGGATTAAGAATATTGACCACGTCAGATCTCACCTTCCTCAACCCTGACTGGTATCTCTTACAATGGCAACCCCCATCCCCATTCTACAACAAGCTGCCGTGGTACAAAACCCAGGCGAGAATGCAAATATTGTTCTCCAAAATGAGACTCCTGTCGCAAGCCCCGGTCAAAACGAAGTCCTTGTCAAATTAGCGTGCACCGGCCTGTGGTAAGCTTATCTCGACTTCTGTATTCTAACCCCCAAAACACCAACTAAGTTCCAACAAGTCGCTCCGAGCTCCGCGCAGTCCTGGCCTGGGGCGCATATAACTCTATCATCGGCCATGAAGGAGTCGGAACTGTAGTGAGAACGGGGTCTGGAGTTTCAGAGTCTCTTCTCGGCGAACGTGTTGGCGTTAAATGGCTGTACAGTGCTTGCAATGAATGCTCGGTCTGCAAACGTGGATTCCCACACAATTGCGCACAACAGCTGAATACGAGTCGCCATGTTCCTGGGACACTGCAGCAGTATGTTATTGCCGATGCACGATTCCTGACCCGGATCCCGGAGGGTGTAGCAGATGAAATCGCGGCCCCATTACTCTGCGCCGGACTGACAATGGTTGGCGCATTATCCAAACTCGACAATGAGCTGCAGCCAGGTGATTTTATTGTTATTTCGGGGTCTGGTGGAGGTCTGGGCCATATCGGTGTGCAAATTGCTGCGAGGATGAAGAACTTGCGCGTTATTGCTGTCGATAGCGGAGATGACAAGAGAGCACTGAGCTTGCAGTCTGGAGCTGAGGTTTTCTTCGATTACAAGACTGAAGATGTCATAGCCCGTGTGCGTGAGTACACCATGGAGGGCGCACATGCGACGATTGTGGTTCCCGGGACGGAGGAAGCATTGAAGATGGCTCCCAACCTTGTGAGAAATATGGGCTTTATTGTGAATGTTGGCCTGCCACGGAATGATCTGCACATCCCGCTTTCTGCTACACTTTGCACGGCAAGAGGTATGATGTCGCATGTGGTCTCCTCATTATACAAATCATATGCTAATGCTCCGAACCCAGGTCTCACGTTTATAGGATCCTCTGTGGGCACGGAAGATCAATTGACTGACTTGCTGCAAGCTGCAGCTGCTGGAAAAATAACGCCCTCAATTGAAGTCTTTGCTTTTTCGGCTGTGCCGACTTTGATAGCAAAGCTGAAAGAGGATGGTGTTACGGGAAGAGCAGTGGTCACATTACCACAGTAGTCACTAGATCAAATGTCTGTAGGGGGATTGAAATGGGATGATATAGGTGCTGCTTCAACTGTTCATGTTCATGTTTTTTTCTAGAAACTCACCGAGCTATGCAAATGAGGAAAGCACGACCGTAGAACTGTAGAGAGCAAAGTGCTTGGAACTGGCCAACCCATTTCTCTCTCGACTCATCTCTACAACTTGACTCTTGCCACCAAGCAATGTTAACGAGCCATGGCTCCATCTACTGAACTGATGGAGATAACCGAGCCAACTGCACTATTTGAACCAACCGCAGTAGCTGAACCGACCATGGATATTGGATCGACTGCGGCCACTGATACATCTATGGCAACCGACACGACCGAGACAGCCGAGCCAGCTGCTTCCACTGAAAAATTCCGGAAACGAGACAAGAAGCCCGAGCTATCCCAAGTCCAGCGCGCATCAATCATCCAAGCGCTTGCAAACGGTGAGCCAGTGGCCAAGATCGCCAAAGATTTCGGCATTGCGCGAACAACCGTCTACCACACGAAGAAGCGATTCCGAGAACGAGGAGATCTGGCCTCTCAACCCCGAACAGGACGTCCCGCCAAGCGACTCAAGCACTTCATGGCGATGCACGACTATCAACCTCCCCGGTGGCTGGAGCTGCGACTATCAATGGAGGGATCTCGAAGTCGACACCAAAGCGTGTTACACGTAGCCAGAGTGCTCAAAAGAATCGCCACACCGAGGATTCCACTGCTGCAACGGTGGAGGAATCTGGCTAGAAGACAGATCCTAGTGAGGTGGACTCCCGATTGTGATTCAAGCGGTTGTCTACTATTCAAGATCAATGTATCCAGTGTGCGAGCAAACAGCAACATACCCAGAAAATTGAAACAACAACTAAGCTATTTCTTTGTTTAATTACTATGTACCTATGAGACGAATGAAATATCCTAGATCAGGAATACCAAAATGTACGATGAACCTAACGTCATCTAGCATTGCTCAAGTGCTTGTGCAATACTATCCTGCATAGAAGTCCACCCCTTTCGCCCACAGAACTCCCGCAGCAGATTTTCGGCTTCCTTGGCTGGAATTATTTCGCTCAAATCATGGCCCTCGTCAACTGGAGGATCAGGAATCAGCGTATTATCTGGCCGCAGTTTTCGAAGCACTCCGATCATTTCAGTCAGGTTCACAGGAGCAGCAAAACCGAAAAGTCGCCGAGAGACTGTGTTCGGGTCAAGGAGTGCTGCTGCATGCAGACGTGCAATGTCAACAACATCAACGAAGTACTCTGTTTTGGTACGTCAGCCATGAACACCCATTCAAACGCAAATTGCACTTACGTGGCACAAATCTTTGAAAAATACCGGTGTCTCCATCGACAAGGCCACGGACCCAACCTGAAGTTGAGCCCTGGATGTTATCGTGCAGGATTCTCCCAACCTATTACTAGTCATTATGATGGACTTTGAATGGTGTGCGATTTGGGTGGCACTTACCGTAAAGTCTGGAAGCACGGTATTGAATTGGAAGTCGGGTTGATACTTCTCCACCCATTTCCACGCTGCCTTCTCTGCCTCGATTTTGGAGGCTGCATAGCAGAATACGCCTTTCACAGGCTTCGGGGTGTCTGGATTCCACGCTCCTTTGACAGCCTCTTCATTCCAAGTGTCTACACCCAACATTAGTCAATGCCTCATTTCACTTTTTCTCGGATATTTAGACTCACCCTCATGAACGACAATGCCCTCCTTGTCTGGTTGCGGGAATAATGCCGTGATCGCGGATGAAGTCATAACAACCCGCTGGATATCACAGTTCCTCGATGCTGCCTCTAAAAGATTGTGAATAGCTCTCAGCACCCAAGGAATGACCTCTTCGGGGTTTAAGCCGAAAGTGACATCTGATGCCTATCCATTCGCCATGAATCGGGTCAGTCACATGCTCGTTTCTTGAATTCCACACTCCCCTGAACAGCAAACATACCACATGAGCCACGCCAGACACACCCTCCATCACCTCCATCAGAGCATCCAGGTCATCAAAGTTGGCCAGAACGACCGACTCATAAGCGTCCTCCCCGAACTTCTTCTGGAACATCTCATCGAGCCATGGTTTCGCCGAGCGGACGGTCCCGCGGACCCTGAATCCTAACTCTAATAAGGTGTGCACGACATTACTCCCGATGAACCCATTAGCTCCTGTCACCAGGATACATGAGCCCTGCGGCAGATAGTAATCTTCCGTGATGGAATTGATACCGGGCATTTTGTGTGAAAAATAGGAGAAGAGAAAGAAATATGGCAAGCGAGCGGGAAGACAACCCGCTGTGGAGCATATTTAACTTCCTTCAAGTCCCCCTCAGACGATATCAAAATAGGTTAGGGGTAGGTGTCGGTATCACGGTAAGCGTCGGTTTCATTAGTGGAACTAGAGCAGTAGCCTGTATGGATCTTGGCCTGGGCTTTCGGTCACCGAGTTTTGCGCCACACTCGAGCTTGCCGGGATTGACAATGCGATACATGGACTGATGTGGTGTTACCAGGCTGTCTGAGAGTCCCGATGGTCTGGGACCAGTTGACGATCTGTGCGGGAGGTAAGCCTCCCTGTTGTCGAACCGTTGACTCTGCAGATGAAGTGGAGAGGCATCTCGGTAGCCTTGTACGTGGGTTGCATTTTGGGGATACGGTTATTACCGTCTGTATTTAGGGGAGTGTTATTGCTGTATACACCCACGGAGTACATATACAGATTATGTTTTGTTTAATCCACAACCGTCGCAAGATCCCACATGGCAGCTGTTAGCCCCATATCCCCACGCCCATTGGTCAACGTCCTGACGTCATAAGTGGAGCATCAACTGTCACTTTCATCAGGATTTGGAGACTTGATCACTTCAAACTACTCCGTTCAAACATAGCTATATGTCAATTTACACTCAACTCTACAGTCACTAGTTTATAACGCGAACCACCATGAAGACACGTTCACAGGCACGAGCCGAACAGCCCGCCCAACCACCAAAGGAAGCCGCCTACGCCCAGTCCTCGAATCCAGTCTCGCACACTCCACAAGAGCAACGAGCGCCGGGCGAACCGGGCAGACTTTACGGTGACCCAATTGGATCAATTACCCGCACGGCACAGTCAAATCCATCCAGCGACGAAGCACGAGCTCGTCTGAGCGCACAGCACAAGCAACATGAACAGGAAATGCAGAATGCACCCGACGTCGATTTAGATTACGGCGTTGAGCAGCAGCCGGCCGAGGGGTATATTGCGGATACGGTTCAGCGGAAGGGAATGGGTATCCAGCGTGCGCAGGCCGGTGCCCATGCGGGTCCGGTTGGGAGTGCTGGTGGGCCTGGACATCCCGGTTTCGGAGAGGCGGACGATCTTGCCGCAAAGTTGCCGCAGAAAAGAGTTGAGCATGATCGGGTGCTTGGGGATAGGGTTGGAAAGAGTCCTGCTGAGCCTGATGCGGAGGTTGCGGAAAGGGAGGCTGTTCGAAGACGGGTATTGGAGCGGGATGAGCATTTGGATGTGGGAGAGGTGGTTAGAGAGGTTACGGGCGATCCGGTGGCGGGTAAATAGGTATTTCAAATCCTTGACGTGTGGTACCCGAATCGGTATTAAAGGTGTTGGAAGGGGGATGGTGTGAGCAGGGGTTTGGGCCATTCTGTTTGGACATGACTTTCATTAAGTATCTGGCTAGCTAAGCGCTGCTTGTATCAACATGGAGACCGGACTCGCACTCGGTCAGACAAACTTGGGTATGATTATTAACGGTAACGCCGAAGAAAAGTTCAACATCAGATGTAGTGTGAAAATGAGGATAGGAGGATCAAATATCGTCTCCAGCTGGCATTCCCATAGATACCTTCTTCAATTCCAGATCCTTCTTCAGCTCCTGGATACGTCGGCCCATCTTGTTGCGAAGAATATGGTTTTGCACCTTCTCCCACTGTGCTGTTTCCGCGCGAATGTGGGCTTCCAGCTCCGCGACTTCCTCGCGCTGCTGCTGGAGTTGTTGCTGCTGCTCAATTTGATCATCATCCAGCTCATCTTGTGCGTCATCATCATCCTCATCGGAGATGTTGCTCTCATCGGCAGAGGTATAACCGCGTTCAGTTGGACCTCCGGCTGGAGTGAATGGCTGCATGGATGGAGTATCAGGCTGCTCTAGCACGGCGCCTGCGGCATCGTCATCACCGGCGGCCAACGCGGCCTCCATTTCAGCTGCAAGGGCGTCCTCGAAGTCGTCCATCATGTCGTCTTCTGCTTCCCCGTATGCATCCTGATCCTCATCGTATTCCTCCTCGTACTCCTCCGCTTGTACCAATCCCTCAACGCGATTCAGCGACGTGCTGTCCACCAACTCGAACTTTGGAGGGAAGATGGAGGTTTCGTCTTGAGCCATGAGGTCTTCCACGGCCTTCTCAACTTGTTCAATTGTGCGAGTGCTAACGCGGTTGCGGAATCGTCGCTTGCGGACCCAACGGAGGGGTGGTGCCAGGCCGTGTGGATATTGAAGTGTCTTTTCGTCGGGGCAATCAACATCCGCGGGGAGTGGATATTCCATGGCTTCATGCTCATTGTTGACTCGTCCCAGAACCAAGAGCATCTGACAGATATCTGCTGACTTGTACCAGCCTCGTCGGTCCCAACTCTTCATACCCTCAATGATACAGGGTAGATCCACCAGGGCCGCCGCATATTGTTTGTCTCGAACCTTCAGAATGGCGCGCCGGCCTTCACGGGTAAGGGGTTTGAATCCGAACTCGGAATGATGGAAAGTTCTTTCATTGATGGTTTTCCTCAGATGCTCGCAGTCTTCTCCTGGGAGCATTCGTAGAATAAATTGTTCTTCGATGGCAGGGTCATTCTCAGTATCCGAGGCCTCCGAGTCATAGCCAACGCCCACCGGTCGATTGGGAACAATGCCTTTGTTCTTGATACGGATCGACTGTAGACCGGGTCTCTTGGTTGGGTTCAGTTTCAATCGCTTGGGTCCTTGATGGCTCGTTTCGGGTTCGGGTGCAGGCTCGGGAGGCGCGATACCCTCGACAGGTCGTTTTTTGGTCGACTTCTTTTTCTTCGGTTTTTCTTCACTCGTCTCGGGTTGTGACTTGCGTGCGATCTTGAGTGTGAGCTTGCGCGGGGGTTGAGGAGTTGCGGCTGCTGGGGGTGCAGGCGCAGGCACTGGTGCTGGTGCTGGTACGGGCGCCGCTGATTGTTCTGCTGGTGGGGGATCTGGCCTCCTCGAGAATTTGATTTTTAGAGGCATGATGCCGAGTAAGAGAGCTACCTGAGAGGTAGCAAGTGCTAGGATATTAGAAAAGAAGAGGGAGGGGGTTGCGTAGGTGGAGGAAATGAGTTCGCGGAAAGATGGAATTCTCCGCTTTGGATCGCGGCGCGCGAACACCGCATCCTTGTCTCTTCAACACTCCCTGACTTTTTCACATCTGCCTCGAGACAGCTCCCCACCTCCCTTCGTCTCAGATATTTCAACTGGGCTTTCTTTCATCTCATCACATACATTGACGGGTACTGTCGCTTTTACGGCACAATGTCAGGCCCAAACCTTCATAATGCTCTCCTCCGACCTCCAATCATCCAAATCCTCCGCGCCCAAGGCTTCCACTCCACACGTCCTTCAGTTCTTGAGTCTATTCAAGATCTGACTGGACGATACCTGATGATTCTTGCCTCAGCTGCAGCTGAGCATGCGGCAAATGCGCATCCACACGACCCAATCCCGACCCTCGAAGACATCTACCAAGCTTTACAAGATGCAGGAGCCATACGTCCACAACTCCGCGAATGGGAGGAAGAATGGCAAGGCGAAGAAGATTTACGGGGTCTTGAATCTTTCATCGGATGGATTACTGGCCCAGCCCACCGAGAAATTCGACGCATTGCTGGCTTCGTGCCCAGCGAGGGCGACATAGTGGATCCTGATGCAATTGAAAAGGAGGATTACTTGACAGCCTTAAAAAAGAAACACAGTAAAACTGGCGAGGAGTCTCGTTATGCTGGAACTGTACTGGGAAAGAGCGCCGAGGAACACGCCATCGTCATTGAAGGTGGTGTCCCCAGCATTGACGGTTGGGGCGCGCAGGTTCGCGCCCGGTCCGCGGAGGCGATGGAAAGCGATACCTCAGGTGTAAGCAGCGCACCGAGCCATCTCTCCGAAGATGAAACTATGGGAGTGTGAAGGGCCGATTACGGTCTCATCAATTGCTTGACATTTGAAAGAGTTCTTAATCTCGAATCCCTTCTCTACGACTGGCCCCAGACTTGCACCGCAGTTTCCTCCCCTTGATCGGACAGTCTTCCATTCAACGTCGATATTGAAGCAACATACAGCAACCTTTCCATCTCCACCTTCATTGACTGGTGCTTGGAATCCGTGGTCGATGATATTGATCAGACCTGAGTCGAGGCGTAATCTTCCCTGCCACTTCGCTCTCCAACCAAAACCAGAGCTAGCTGGGCAGCCTTTTCGCCAGGAGCATCTATATCTCGTATTCTGCAATGCGAGAATACAGATGTTTCTTTGCTGGTTGCAAACGAAATCAAGAGGGACCACAATCCTGGGGCCACCAGTGACCGAGACATTTGGCTTAGCAGTGAAGGACATACATTACCGACTCGAGTTGTCAACTCGTTTCAATGCCTTGTCTGTACAGTACATCCGATTCCTGGCCTGTGTTGCACACCGTTGTATGCGTTGCGTTCCTCCCATTCTAGGAGCTGGACAGCCTACTATTACATGATGAATACGATATTCCAGAGGTCTTATTTACGCAAGACCTTGACATTGCATAGCGAAAGACAGCCATTTTGATCATTGAGCAACAAGTGCCTCGGATCTGTAATATCAAAGACCGTTATTAGACTTTCAAACTAAACCTTAGCCTCGCGATGCAGACTTGGCCGACATGTAGACTGACATTTCAGTGAAGATCAAGCTCTATTCTGAGCGAGTAAGTAGGTAAACAAGGTTATATGCAAGAATAAGCGACATTAAATCTATAAACATGATGAAGTATAATACAAATGTATGTTACACCGGTCAAGGGACCGGTTGGTAAGCACCCTTGGTGCGCAATTCACTTTGGCGCCACCTCATCTTCGACTCCTCCAAAGTCGTGAGCTCTGCGTTGTATTGACCATCGTCCAGAGCGCGTTGCAGACGACCGTTTTTGCGTTGCTTCAGACAATAGAACAGAGCTCCGGCAATCAGGAGAAGACCAGCAACGGCTGCGCCGATATACACACCGATGTGCGCTCCCCGACCAAGATCATTCCACTTCTCGTGTAGAGACTTGGATGGCTTCTTGTCAAGTACGATTTGGGCAGTCGAATTGCCACTAGAGATTGAGATTAGTTACGGGTTCATTCCCGACGCGCCTCTGGGGGAAACTCACCCAAGAATCTCGATGCTCTCATAGCTGCCTGAACGGTCTTTATACGAGTATTCCTTTCCAGTGGCAAAGTCCTGGACACGAACGTGCTTCACACTCATAGTGAATGGAACATCTGACCAGTCTACAAGACCACCACCCCATTCGATATTTCCTTGCAATTGGCCTTTGATACCGACAGGCCAATTGCTCATCTTGACCTGGCAAGGTGTCTGGGGGTAGTTCCTGCCGAAAAGTGTCGATTTCTCCGAGTATTGCACCGTGCGGACCTTTTCGTTATCAATCCACCACTCCAGGCGGTCCTTGTCCCAGTACGTGGTGTAGTTGTGCCATTCGGTGTCGGCATTTGCAACGCCGTGATATCCGCCGCGGTCAGTGGTGGTGGTATTTCCTTTGCCGAAGAAGTTGGACTGCACTTCGCTCGTGTTGTATCCAACCCATTCCCAATCGATTTCATCCAAGTCGTCTGATTGCAGGACCACACTACTGATGATTCCCGGTCCCTTGGCCATTTTGACGTGCGCTTCCACCACTCCGAAGAAAATATAGAAGTTCGATACCAGTAAAGTCGAGGTGTTTTCGGCTTTGATTGAGAAGTCGGCGCCTTCGGATGTATATTCTATCTCTCCGGTTTCCATGCGCCAAATATCGGTGTCAAGAGTCGTGTTGAAGTCCCAAGTATGGTGGGTTCCGAGCGCTGGATCGGGAGGACAATCCTTCTCGGTAGGGTTGCAGTCTGTTCCGGTATACTGAATATTGTTGGCCTGGACCAATGCGGTCAGGCCAAAGAGGAGGAGAGAGATTGAGGATCTCATGTTGGATTTGATCCGAGGATCCGCACAATGTCGCGCTATATTGCAATTTCGGCGGCGGAGGTGTGCTGAAAACTTGGGGGGGAATGAATGTACAAGATTTCGATCTCTATAGATGATCACCGACGGGAGACGGCCAGAGACGTTATGAATGCGAATTTAAGGTCCGAAATTTTCATACTGACTGCTAACAGAGGCAAGATTAGGGAGGTCCATAAGCGAGACAGTAGGCTAAAGGCATCGCCATTTCCCTGCTGAAATTAGAAGCGTGCCCATACTTGTTCGAGCCTAGCGCCATAACAAGTCGCAAACGATTCATCCAGTTGAGAGTGATCCTATGGAGACTCATTTTACTTCCGAGTTCGCACATCTTTCGCGAAGCTTGGCTCGGGGCTATATCTATCGATGCCCACTCGGACGTACTAGCCGACTCCTTAGCGCCAAATGCTAAGCCCATCTGCGTTAGGCGGCTGTTGAAACCCCACTACCGGTTTGATTAATCGGCTCTTTGGAAGATGATGATTGGCCCTGCGGGTTTGATTCGGCCGCCAGCATCCGCTCTAAAGAACAGACGAGGAACAATATCCGATCATTGGCTGACCCCGTCGGAAAAAGAAAGGGGAAGAAGAAAAATGGAATTCGACAGAATGCACAGGGGAGAAAATACTGAAATGCATTGTTGCCGGCGTTATGACAAAATAGACTTAAAAAGCAGATCGGCGACAACATAGGCGTTCTCTCGTTTCCGTTTCATACTTCATCCTTTGTTCCAACTCCGAGTCTCCCCCTTTTGCTGGACTCGTACGGAGTATCCCCTATTGAGTGGATAACAGTTCCGCCCAGCTCATTTGCCTCCTGATTGGAAATCATTCCAAGGTTTTGCTCTCGGACCGCCTGTTTCTGACACACTTTTGCGCACTATCTATATGGCCTTCCACAGTACGGCACCATCGGGGAACCAATTTAGATCGAGGTCAACTACTTTGACAAGCACCTCATTTCTCTGGTCCATCTGGAGTTGGCTTTCTATCATAGGAACCTAGCTCCAGGAAATGGCAGGCAAATGCTGTCCTTGCCAAAGTAGTTGGTCTCGCTCTATTTTATGGCCCCATCGGTGCTTGGCTATGGCTTGGTACATTTCCATCGAGTCAATTCGGTTATTCCATAGGGGTTTTTCACAGGGGTTTAGTGTTAATTAAATCTCCCCTTTGATGTTTCAAGTACCCCGTAAGTACGGAGTATACTGGTGAAATCAACGACTTGGACCGAGACACTTGCAGCTTGGCAGACAGCCTGAAACCTCAGGCCATCGGTGTTTATATCGACAATGTGAGGCCGATGTGCCTTCCTTACATACGATGGTTGGCAAGCACAATGGCGAGTAGGGAAGCTGCAATCCACGCCACTGGCACTGGCATATCTTCTTTCAGAACAAAACGAACTTTCTTGCTACGTGCTTGCCTCTCGTTGTCATGCCCTCTCATTCACTCTGTTTACGACACACTCACTCGTGACTTCCTACATCCTCTTTGACTACGTCATTTGTCTCACATAGCACGTGTTTCTTCGCAACTATGAAGTCCACTCTGTTCTATGTGGCCTTGGCTGCCATCCTGTGCTTCGTATTTGCTGAGACATCCCCCGACTGTAATGCCTTCACCAAGACTTGCCCGTCAAACAAGGGAGTCCTCAAGACCCATCTTCACTACGACTTGACTCAGGCTTCGGCTCTGGATGAATGGACCAATATTGGTGGGGCAGTCATTACAGGCCCTGATGGCGCCGAGTTCACCATCCACAAGCAAGGCGATGGCCCGACAATCGTCACCGACTTCTACATCTTCTACGGCGAAGTGTCTGTTGAAATGAAAGCTTCTTCGGGCACTGGTATTGTCAGCTCTGTTTACATGTTGTCAGATGCCAATGACGAAATCGATTGGGTTAGCACTACTATGCAAAGTGACCTCAGGAGTTGACGAGAAGATCATCTAATGACTGATACACAGGAAGCACTGGGTGGCTTTGGTGACAAAATCCAAACTGACTACTTCGGCAAAGGTGATACCAGTGAGGACTACAATCGCTGGACCTGGCAGCCGGTGACGACTCCGCAAGAGGTATTCCACAAATACACTTGGGTTTGGAGCAAGGATAAGCTTTCGTGGGCAATTGATGGTAATATTGTTCGGACAGTCGACTATGCAGATGCAAAAGGCGGTTCTCGGTACCCGCAGACACCAATGCGTGTTCGAATTGGGATCTGGGCGGGGGGCGATTCGAGCAGAATCAAAGGGACCATTGACTGGGCTGGCGGCAAGACTGACTACACCAAGGCACCGTTCACGATGTACGTCAAGTCTGTCGAAATTGTCAATTACAACCCGGCCGAGAGCTATTCGTATTCCGACAAGTCCGGCTCTTCGGACAGCATTGAGATACAGGGTTCTGTCTCCTCGACTGAGATTTTGACTTCCACTATGTCCGGTACTTCAATCGCTAACGATGTCTCGCTGTCTTCGTCTTCTACATCTGTCGGCCTCACCACCAATTCTGTCGATTCCACAAGCACCCTTCTCGCGAGCCTGTCTTCTGCAGATCAGACTGTGAGTTCACACTTTTCGCCCGAGACTACGAGTTCGATGAATTCCGACACTTCTGTGGCCACCGCTGCTATGTCAACGCCGATGTCCTCTACCTCCGCCAAGCTTGCCGTCAATGATTCCACCACCACTGGTACGCTCTCTAAAGACTCTTCCCTTGAATCATGGGGTAAAGCCTCGAGCACCATTCCAACGGCTAGTGCGGTGTTCATAGGGAGCTCAACCATCACCCCCAACAACACTACTGTTTTTACGGCTACCAGTTCTCCTAGCTCGGCTGAAGAGCTGGTCTTACGTCCCCACCCTCTAGTGTCACGGCTAGTAGTAAATTACTTTCTCTTGGTAGCGATTTACTGGTGGGTACTTATGCTTCGAGTACTGAATGCAATGAATAACGACTTATAGGTACGTGTAGCTGGTTTGAGGCAGATTTCATATTGGGGAATCGCACGCATCTGCTGTCAAGATCATTCAAACTGGGGTTTCTTTTCAGTACATTCCCCAAATCAAATTCAATCATCATATGTGACATAGCAACCAAATAGCCACAACCTTATTTTTCGCTTACTCCCTCCTTAAAGAGTGCAGATAAATAGATCAATGTAGAGACTGAGATCCCTGTCCCGGGAATGAGACAAATTTTTATTTAGATGAACGATATCGCGAAGGATCCTATGCAGGATTCAAGTGTGAGAAAGGTATTGGAGACATCAAAATTCCCAACAACTCAGCTCAACTATACCACTCAGTTGATTGAGCATCGAGCAGTGTCTTCTTGAGAAAACATACCGCCCTGTATTTAATCTCACCCTCTGATACCCATCTAAACCTCTCGTTATCCACCTGGTGACTCGTCCCATAACTCTCCAGGATCATAATCGCCTCGGGTAACCAATGACGGAGGGTCAAGCAGAAAAGTCGGAAGTGGGCATAGCCAATAAGATGGCTGCGAGGTCTGAAATCCTCCAAGGCTGCGTGAGCGACTAGATCACGGCAAAGCTTCTCGAGGGTTTCGATCACTTCGTGGCGTCGCCTTTCTGTGGATCTTAGGATTTCGATTTGGGTTTCCACGATTCCGAGTATTTCGGTGTATTCGGCCTCGAGACCAGGCCCGACTCGGAGGCTTTTGGGCATCACTGTAGAGGAAATGTCAGACGGGTTCAAAGCCATCGGATATCTTTAGTGTTGAGTACATGTTAGGTTCAAGGTTGGTAGGATATCAAGAGTTGTCTTCGAAGGTTAGTTGGAGGGTCAGATGAAATGCCTAGAAAAGATACGACATCAGGAAATCCGAACTCATCTCTTTGTATCTATTTTGAAACGTGGGACTTCCAAATTTGGATAGAAAGGTTTTGTCGTTCTGGTAGTGGACAATAATGATAGATGAATCTCATAGCTTCGTATTTCCTTCAACCGATCCTGTGAGACTTCTTTCGATCAACTTTTCATCCCTTTTATCTTGGTTCCCACTACAAGTGATACCCTAAATAGAAGAACTCGGAAGATGTTAGTCGACATATGAGCAATACTCGTGTTCTTTGTTTCAAGATGACCGCACTACTGTGCGTTATCTACAATGAAACCGAGCGTCTAAAATAAGAAATGGTCAGATCCTCCATGTTCTTTGACGCGATAAGCAGGAAAATACTATGCAAGTAAGCTTCGGTTTCAGATATGGGCTTTGTCGTTCGATAAGAAGCAGGCTGTGACTGGAGACCCGGGGATCATTGTCTTGTATATGCCATTGTTTCCGCGACATTGAAATCTTTCTTTAAAGTGACAGAAACAAAAGGGCTCTTTGAACCATGTTACTTCGTTCCTGTATACCAATTAGTCAATAATGTGGCGCGTGATATATATTCGTATCGAGTATCTCTTCTATAATGTCTTGCATCCATGGTATTTCATCAACTAGGTCATTTGCGAGAGCCATATCCCCTTTTTGTTGCCTCGTTTTGAAGCATGTCTACGCGACCTCAGCGAGTCGTCGCTCGAGAGGCCGAGGGGCACTCCACAGAAAATACTTCTCCTAGTATACGAAAGCGCAAAGTCTCTCGAGCTTCCAACCCAAAGAGTCACAAAGCACGAAGATCCATGGCTGCACAGTCCACACTTGACAATATAGACACCGAAGGTGGAAGGGCAGAAGATGGGGATACAATGTATGTAGACGATCCTGCTCCTATCCTCGACTCCATTATTGATTTTGTTGCTTCTACTGTGACTAACTTAAAGCTTTTGGATCCTGCCGCATTTACATTGGACTTGAAAGGTTTCTATGAATACAAACTAATCTTGTCGCCAATTAAAATGCCATTATGGCAACCGAAATGGGCACAACCAGAATCAAAACCAATTCCAGATATCGTGGAGATGCCCAAAGATTCGAACTCTCAAGAGCCGGATCTTCGAATTGAGTATGCCCTTACTACCATGTCATTGACCTTGGATACTAAGATTGGCTGTATAGTGATGTAGAAACTCAGACACCATCCTGCCCCATATATTCCGCCACCGGTTGGCAGGTTTGTTGGAGGAGAAAGCAAGGCATGGGTGAGAATTACGAGTTCCCCTATATTAACAGCTACTAACTAGATCATTACCTAGTGCGATGGCCTTAACACCTGGATTGAGTTGGCATGCCGTACAACGCTTTGATCAGCTTCAATTGATTTTGAGATGGCTTCGACATTAAAGACTGAAGCTTAACGCCTGCTTCCACTGAGTGTTAGCTACCTATCTGTGAACTGGGTCATTTTAGGTATTCATTTTCATCCATGGCACGTCAAATTTGGTCTCTGACTTGCCGAACACACTATCGCATTTAAGAGATCTTATATACATATTGATAGAAGACATAGTTAGTTAATATGCATCATTGCGATCGAACAGTCTATATATATGACGCAGATTATATACAAGGGGCTCCAGATAGCACTAATTCCTCACACTTGAATAGCATAAGCATTCTACTATCAAAAAAGAAAGATAGAATCCGATTCCAATGTCAAACAATGACAGAATAGTACACAGGGGAGATGCCAATGAAGGGTAGTTGATCTTGGCAGTGACATCAGCCCCTCCGATCCCCGGGCCCAAGTCTCCGCTCCTCACTTCTCCAACTCCCCACGCGTCGCCATGGTTTACGCATTCACCCTGCCAACCACATCGCCCCTCTCATTCCAATCCTTCATATCGTCCCCAACACATCCCTCTCTCCCCCAATCGGCTTCAACGACTCGCCATGCTCTTCGCATCGCGCTAAAAGCCCATAAACGCTTACCCCGCGGCCCGCGCCAGGATGCCCACCTACCCACAGTATTGTCCGCTCTGAACGAATACATACCCTACCTGTTCGCAATTTCAAATGGGCTCAATGGTCGGCCCATTGCCACGAATGCTTATTCTGCCTCGGAAGCTGGCTACACCTCCGGATCGACGAATCTCCGCACCGGCGAACTAATCGACATCACGATTCGCGCAGAGATCGAATCAGCATGGCGATGTACTCTGTCATCTTCCAGTGGAGTAAACCTTGGGTCTGGGGGTAACAACACAAGTGGAAGAGGTATTCGGACGCGAAATGGGCGGGTGTCTGGCAGAGGCATCAACTTCGAATTAGCATTTACCCTTACAACTCTGGGGTATGTGCTGAGCAGGATGGCACGCGCAGGAGTTGTCGCTGCGTTATATGCATCATCCACCCCGACTGCGGAGGAACGTACTGCTGCTGTGCAGACCGCAACGCGTTATCTACTTCAAGCTAGTTCGGTGCACAATTTGCTCGCCACGTCTCCGACCTTCACCTTAACAACAACGGTGCCGGACCTTGATGCTGCTACACAGTCGGCTCTGGCATCTCTCGCACTAGCTGAAGCTACGCTACTGGCTGTTCTCAAAGATGATGCCTATGTTGCGGCTTGTATCCAGTCGCGCAATCCGAACGACAAAGAGTGGATGGTCCATGCCCCGGAGATTCCAAAAGTGCGTGCTCTACTGTTCGCGAGACTCTGTGTTCGGGCTGCAGAGTACGCTGAACAAGCGGCTGCAGGACTAGGTGCTGTTGGGTCTACGTCTGGACGTGCAGGCCGTGTTGACGAGGATCTGGTCCGCTATACAGGAGTTTTGGCTCGCGTGGCTCGGGCGCGTGCTTGTCGCTTCTTTGGTGTAGATGCAGAGCTATCAGGCAAAGTAGGAGAAGGTATTGCATGGTTACGAGCTGCACGTACCCCACTTGGACTACGTGGAGCAGCGTCTTCACAGGAAGACGCTCCTGGCTCCGGAGGTCCTGCAAAGGGCGGATTTTCCCGCTTGAAGCGGGAGTGGACAGAGCGGCGCGAGGATCGCCGCGCGACAAAGGATGCCGGCGGGAGTCGCAGTGATAAAGGCCCTTTAGATGCAGGAGATGATGCTGGCCGTAATGAGGAAGGACGAGTGATCGCGATGCTCGAGACGAAATGGGTGAAGATGAATGACACAGTGAGTTTAGATCCGATATATTCTCCATGATTCTATCCGTAGTGTACTGACTTGAATACAGATAAACACACAGCTTATTCCTGCATCTGCTCCATTGCTGTCTAATCTACCTTCTGGTCGAGATATTCACTCTCCACCTGCACCATATCAGGCACCGTCCCTCGACGAGGATCAGCTCATGCGAATGCGTGCACCCCCGGATGAGATCAATGATGTGCAATTTGGGAGTGACGACGACAGCGAGGACGAGACAGGGCAATTTGATGGCCGTGGAACTCCGGGGGGATTCCCTGATCGAAGTGCGACTGCCTCGAGCGTTTATTATTGATTGATACCCGACATATACTTCCAGCACCGTACGTAGCACATATCATATAGTGACCCATACAACATTGAACATTCACCTAATGCCCTGAGAACAAATCTAAAGCCCCATTGAATGTACACTAGCATCCACAGACCTAGTCTCGGTCACTAGTAGACTACGATTGTTTCAATAGCCCTAACATCAAAATCGTAAAAAAAAGGAAGATTGATCAAACAAAGTGATATCTATATGTACAGTACAAACGGACAAGGCCAACAAAGAGGGCAACCTCCAGACCCTCTTCTGCCATCTTTTCGTCTCCCTCTGACACGGACCCGATATGGGTGGCTGTGAGATCAATTTTGGCCAGGACCCAAGGTCAATGGACCTCCATCCAGAAACCGACCATTTCATCTCGGCATCAAAATTGTCCAGTCCCAAAATTTGCCCGGTCTCCGAGGTGTTGATATCCGTCAAACCCGAGCCTCGAAACGCAAATAAGTCGAACTTGCAAGAAAGTATGAATCGCTTATGCAGACTCGCCACCGAAGCGGTTCTTCTCTTGGCCGAGGTATCCCTTAACCTTGCGCTCCTTGATGAGCTCGAAGTACTTCTCTGCAGAGGGTGTATAGGTCAGTATAATTCATTGGCACACGGAGCAGACCCTCCATCCAGTCAAATCTGGTGATTTGGAAAATCTGATTTCGCAAAACCGGACGATCTTGCATATAGAGCCCCGAATAGGCGAATGGGGAAAGGAAACCCACCTCTGAGAACACCACACTTCTCGAGGTGGTTGACACCCTCGCGCGCATAGCACTTGCCCAATTCCTCGCCGACCAGACGGGCCATCATGCTGCGCACCCACTGCTCGCGGATAATGGCATCGCGGGCGTTGTGGACGGCAATGTTGTCCTCGAAGTCGACGCCCTCGTAGGTCGGGGGGACGGTGGGCTTTTTAGCCAGGAAGGCGGCGGACTCGGCGGTCGGCATTGTGGGTGGTTGGGTTGTGTTGATTGGAGGGAGTTGAGAGTGTGGCGAGGTTGTTGCCTTCTGGAGCAGAGGGCAATGGCAGCAAGGATTGTTGAGGGAGGTATGGATTCGAGGGCTGCTTGATGCGGTGGTCTGGCACGTTGATCTTGAAGGTTGGATTACCTGGCTTGTGATTGGATGAATTCAGGGCGGTCAAGGTTGTTGTGTCCGGGAGGCGGGAGAGCTTTTTGTGCAGATTTGTTCGCTCGGACTACGGTCACGTGGATATATACAGTCCGAAAACGGAAGGTCAAACTAGAGCGTCAATAACTTGGGATTGCATGTTTAGATCACCTAATTCAAGATAGCCATTGTGTAGTATAACTATGCAAGATGCAGATTTAGAAAAATGGAATCATATTCTGATGATCATGGTTCACATGGGTTGTCAAACGCCCCATCGAGGTAATGGTAAGTACGATAATAGATACATCTGAATGAAGAAAAAATAGAAAGAGCAATGAAAATCACAAAGCCTCTCATGATAAAAGTTATCATCACCACACATGATATGGACTTGCTGTGAATAAGTGCAGCAGAGATGAATAGGATAAAAAAATGCAGTTATCAATCATCCTGAGCCTTCCCCATAACTCGATCGACTGTATTACTTAGCGTGTCTTTGAATCGATCCCACGTCGTTCGGGCGAGCAATTTGCTCAGCTCGCGGTATTGGTAGATCTCAGACCAACAATCTCGCCCATACATGCACCCAGCCATGTTAACAACGAGGTCGTGTGCATCCTGCTGGTAGTGAATATCTGGGTTGTCTCCATCGCCACATGCGCCGGGGGGAATGCATTGATGCTGCGCTGTGGTAGGAAGCCGACGCTACTCCGGACCCAGGGCTGGCTTTGATAAATGTACTCCAGGGCATCTTGTTCCTTGTGCTCCCATTGCATGTGCATCTGTTCGTACATGACGGGATCCCACCAGGCATCGAGCAGGCGGTCGGTCCAGAGGGAGCGTCGCACGAAGAAAGATCCGAGATTGAAGCCGGCGCAATCTTGTGTCAAGAGCATATTCAAAGATTCGGGGTTTTCATCGCCTTCAAGGGAGCGACCCAAATCATCAAGCCAGAACTCGTCTCGCGGATGGGTGATGTTGAGAGGGTTATAGGCACCGATGTCGCGATATACGTGCGAGTCGAGATCATTGAATAGATGCTGCTGCAATGATGTGTCGTACTCCATGACCCAGGTGTTGAGATCCAGCCACCAGAACCACTCGGCATTTGGATACTTGCGCATGGCTTCGCGGATCACATCAGCTTTCTCCCAACTCTCGCGCCATTCATGTGAATATCTCTTCTTGGCCAGCAAATTGGCCAGTTCAAGATCATAGCCCCATTTTTCGGCGTATCTCTCCTTGTTCCATATGCTGTTTCGTTCGATCGCCCATTCGCGTGCGCCTTTCAACTCCATGACGCCGCCCTCCACGTTCGATCCGAGGATGATGACGAACTTGTGGCCGTCGCCGAGGGGTGATCGTCGATATGTTTGAACAATGGCTAGAATGCTGTTAGGTCATCACGTCCAATAGGTCATCGGAGCTGTAACCACTTACTCGCCCAGCAAAACAGATACCCAATCCACACCAGGAACAGAGCCAGCAGCAGTCGGAACCGACCCCGGCAGATTGCTAGTCCTAGTTTTCCCAGCAGACCACGCACTCCACTACGTGAAGGTCTCCGTTGCCGGCCATAGTCATCCTTATCGATGTATTGGCATGACGGAAGCTCCCGAGAGCTAGTAAACCCAGTCGAGATCTTATGAAGCTGCCGCGAGAAGAAGCCTCTGTTGCGTGTTGAAAATGATGGATACCGGCGCACCTCCTCGCTCTTGGCCCTGGCTGCAGCCCACGAAATATCACTGGGTGTTTGTGTACCTGGTGATAATGTTCCGGGTGACAGACCGCGCGGTGATGCAGTGCCGCTTCCCGGAATGAGCCCCGGGCTAGACCACCCCCCGCCCTGGTGGGGAGAGGGTGATCGCGACAAGGTCATAGGGACGATCGGTGCGGGACAGAGGGGATGGAGATTGATTCTCGTGTAATCTCGAGGATGCCGACCGGATGAAACTTGCTGTGAAGGGGTGGAATAGAATACACGATGAGGTCAGACTGACAGATGTACAACGCAAGGTATGAGAAGTTGGAGGGGAGGTGAGCTGATGATAAGGCCTACAAGAGACGGCCAAGCGACACATTAAACAGTACCTTGTACCCCCGGATTGAGACGAGGGCCCGTCACTGCGGTTCAAGGAACTTGAGGCCGAATGCGGCATGTCTGTGCTGATACCACCGTCTTAAAGCTTTCTGCATGTACAGGGACGGTCTAAAATTAACTGGATTAGATACGCATAGATTAAATGCCGTATCAAAGGCTATGTGCTGCACCGTAAGCCTCATCGCTGTCGTAAATGTAGTTGATATAGTTGCGTTGGTTCTACGAACTACTCGATTGGGCGCAGATCAATCTAGATTGTCTCCACATCTACGCTACTGCATGCGGACAAAGGCCTTTGTGGAGCATAAAAAGTAATAATAAATTGCCGGACATCGCAATCCCGATCAATCTAGATCCGAACCGGACAGACTGCCAAGTAACGCCAGCTCGAATCCTAATTCCGATCCTTGGATTGGGCCCGAACCGGCATCCGGTTTGCCGCCCCGTCGGCCCTGGCCATGAGGGCCTGCCGCACCACGAATCCGTCTTCATGCGCGGGCCGAGCCTGGGCACTCTCGCCGTGTGTGAATTCGCATTGTAGTTTGAGGAACTTGGTTCTCTCTTTGTTTTGGTACACGGTGATGATGTCACCCGTATAGAGCTTCCCGAACTGTAGAGCCTCGGGGCCATCATCTGTAATAGAGCCGCGGCGGAGCAGGGTGTCATTAACCCAAATGCCAAGACGTGCCTTTGTGGAGAGGATTGCCATCACACCTGGCATATCAAGCCAATTCTCACCCGCTGCAATTCTAGCCTCGATTCCTGGTGCCCAGAATGTGACCTCCAGAGCATAGGCGGGGATTCTTGTATCCATGCGATCGGCGTGCTTGACGGTCGCCGAGGGCCCTCGACCCCATGAGGTCAGTCGGTCCTCAAGGTAGATTGTCAAGTCGAAGATTGAACCGGGAAGACTCTTCAATTTTCCGTATCTTTTTGGTGGTTTGGCGAAATCGGGATGAGGCGGCGTGGAAGAAATGGAAGGGGGATGAGGTCGATGAACGATCGGCTCCGATGAATCCGATTCTTCGGCACGGAGCCGATCCAGGATGGCCTGGCCTGTCTGAGCATCAAGGGTTGTAGCAAACTCGAGATCGTATTCGGATTTAGGATTGTAGGTGAGATCATGGTGTCGAGTTTCATGTTGGCTTGTGTGGGCGCTCGTGTCGCTAGATGCCTCGCTGGCCGTGTCGGGAAGTGCAAGGTCTATTCGACGGGTGTATCTCGCTTTTGGTGTAGGCTCTTGGGGGCTAGAAGGCGGTTGTTGCTTGTGACTTGAAGTGGGTGGAGCAGAGTCCTGGTTGATGGCACTAGGCATTGTCTCCTTGCTGGTTCCTGGACTTGTCTGCCGCAAGGGTGATCTGTTAACCGGGCCGCGCTTGGGTTGCATGGTGGGGTGCAAGGAATTCATGTTGAGCTCTCCAACGAGTTTTTCCGCGCCCATCAAACTAGGCGCAGTGCCACCGAAGGGTACCGCCGGGAGGGAAATGATCGATTCGTTTGGATCTTCGCTCATCATTGACTCACCGGAAGAGATAAAGTCAAACTGAAAATCTTCGACGTCGTAGGCATTCATGTCGCCCAACGCGTGGGAGCTTTGCAAGGCTGAGGCGGATATCTCGCCAAACAAACGTCTGGCATGAGTTTCCAACACCGCTTGACCATCTTGGAAACTCTCAATTTTTGGAAGGCTGGGATAATGTACATCCGTGGGAATGTGCTCGATTCGTGGCTTCTTGGAAACTGCCTCACTGCTGGTACCCTCTTCCTCATCTGCTGGCTGATCGAACCCAGGTATATCAGCAATAGATAACTGTGAAGCGTCTAGCTCGTCCTCAGCATCCTCGCCAATGACAGAAAGACCCTTGTGGTGATCAGATAGCAAATCATCGTCGTCATATTCATCGACATCAGGAACCTCCGCGATCCAGGGGTGCTGGAAACATTCCTTCTCCGTTGGACGAGAAAGGGGGTCCCGGTTGAGAAGCTGAGCCACAAAGTCGATGCCAGACTCAGACACGCCTGCCTGCCGCAAGACATCGAAATCGGCTTCACTTGTCATAATGGTGCGAAGCATCTGCGCACCTCGATCTTCTGCTCGCCCTGTAAAAGGTGGAATGCCGGACAAGATGTGGAAAAGGACCGCCCCGAGGGACCATATATCGACCGACTGGTTGTATGGAGAGGTTTTGGAAGGTCTAACTAAATCAGTAAAAGCCTCTTCAACTGGAAAGGAGAAAGACTTACGGGTCTCCGACGCGGCGCCTCTTTCGGAACTCGCCACGACGATATTGTTCATAATCTGGATATACCTCCGGTGCACAGTACAGAAGCGTTCCACAAAACGTCTTCAAGAAAGTTTCCTGTTCCACCACTTTGGATAACCCAAAGTCAGATACTTTGATTCGGAGCGGATCCAATGAGGCGATCAAAATGTTGTCCGGTTTAATATCCCGATGAGTGATTCGACGTTTATGCAGATAGTGAAGCGCTCGCAACACTTGACGTGCGATCGTCCTCACCATCTCCTCAGCAATCCTCCCCTGAGTTTGCAGATATGTGGAGAGCTCACCGCCTGGAACATACTCCATGATGATATAAATCCATCGGTCATGCTCATGGTAATCAATGTATTGGACAATATTCGGCTGTATGCTGTCAGTCCTCTCGCCCGTATCCAGGCCTAAAGGCATCACTTACATGGGTAAGATCTCTCATGATTTTCATCTCATTATCCACCTTCTGATCCAGGATACCATTTTTCATGAAACGGCGCTTATCGAGTTCTTTCGCAGCGTAGATGGCGCCGTGCTGTTTGGTCGCAATCTTGTAGACCGTGGCAAAAGCACCTTTTCCAATTTGTCCGGTCACATTGTACATTGCACCCCCGGTCCAGTGCATGCCATAAGCATTGGCTGACGACCAGGTTAAGACAGACGGGGGTGGGCCCTTTCGATCTTTGTGTGCTGGAGCATGTGCTTGAACTCGTTCGAAATAACGAAACAGGTTCTTTTGGTAATCCACGGCAAAACCTTCCCGCGATGGAATTCGGACCACGAAACGAACTTCGTCGCAGTTCTGGTTTCCGATGACAACCTGAATAACAGACCCATTCGTGAGCATTCGGCTGTTATCTTTCTGAGATTTTCGCAGGCGGCAGTTGTCCACAATAGTACCATTTGTCGAGATATCTTGGAGCATGAGAATGCCATCGCCAGTCAGATAAATGCGAAAGTGGGTATTGGACACTCGTTTGGCATCGTCATCAACGGCGAGAAGAACATCACAACGGCCACGGTTCCGACCAAAGCAGAACCCGAGTCCCACATTTTGAACACTTGACGAAAGCCTCAATGCCACGTCCAGGGACGCTGTATGAGACGATTCATATTCCAGCATATCTCTCTGGAGGATATGTTGAGCGCTTAGCCTTCCAGTGGCGCCAACTGCATCGTGGGCGGCATGCGAATTTGGATGAAGGATACAGATGATGTCGGCTAGATCTTGATCTTGAATGCCGGAGTTATGCAATCCCATACGGCGGGGATCAGCACATGGCTGAGTGGATTCTTGTGTTGCCTCCATTATGAAGTTGACAAAGTCAGGTGCAAATGAAGATGAAAGGGGAATGCAAGCAAAAACAACTACAGATACATATGCGATTGTGTAGGGTATATGTGGTGCTGAGAGCACAGTAAAGGGAATGTGCACAAAGATGTCATTAATTTCGTGGACTAGAGATTGAACAAGTCAATGGAATTGCGTTAACAGACAAGACCGGGTGCAGGGTTGTATATATACCTTGAGCAAAACGTGGTACTGGAAGTGAGACCAGACACCCGGGCAAAAGTTGGGCAAAGGAACGGTATGCTTCGCAATTGCCGACGAATTCACCTGGGTATGTGTCGCCGGATCAACAAAGTTCCATGAATGTCTCGCTCGACGATCACAACGAGCGAAACAAGCAATGGAGGAGCGGTAGGTGAATCGTAGTCCTTGCAGAGTGGGGGTGTCCTTCTTCAGTTCTCCTCAAAGCCAGTGTCGATCAACACAGATTACGGCGTTCCCCATAAAACAGGGGCTTGACTATCCAACCCTTGTCACCAAATAATAAGAATACAGAGCTTGATGCTCTTTCAAACGTGTCAACCAGTGGAGGGATACCGGGTCGTCAAGATGCTTTCCAATGAGAAGCTACCCAATATGGTTTCGGAATTAATGAGGTTGGAACTATGGAAGAGACCGTGATTCAGCGATTTCGAAGCGACTAAAAAGTATGTCTGTATCTCATACCAAAAGATTAGCAAATGACCTTAAAAAGTTGAAAAGTCCTTTGTCTCGTCTTGACTCGAGATCAATGATCAACTCACACAGCTTGACAGATCTCCTATCAATCTGTCCACGGTGGGTTGAATTAAGACAGTGGACAGATAAAATGGAGACGCCGGGATAGAGCAAAATTGCATTCCTTGGAAGGTCGTCGTCCGAGGAACAGGACCAAGAACGAGCCGCACTAATCGTGACTTGGTACCTCAGGCAAAGACGCGTTCCTAAGGCGCGTAACCTCCTGACTCATCAGGCAGTCGGTCCGTTGATTGGCTGGGCGGGATCACGCGGGGGCTGACCGTGGAACCGGGGACCCGATCTATGATTATAGGACACCTGGGCAATCTACACCCATCGATCATAACATGGAATTGTATACGGAGTATCTACACTCGATTTTATCATGGTTGACTACAACTATTTGCTTCCGTAAGGCTTGCTGGTGTCCTCACTCCGTGTGAAATCGCCTTTGAGCGCAATGTCGAAGACCTGTTCCAACCGAGCGATCGCCTCATCCGATACCTCTGTGACAGGTCAAATTTGAGTCATGCGTCTTTAGTACCGGGGTGGATAAAGAGAGGACTTACGGTAATGAACCACAACGCGACCACCTAGCAATCTCAGCCCTTTTTCTTTACCAATCTCAGCCAGATCATTCGGCCCCACCCCTGACGCCTCGAGATCCAACCAAACCATATTGGTGTGCAGGGGATACTCCAGCTTCCCACCACGACTAGTCCACAGATCGGCTATCCGCTTTGCCTTTTCATGGGTTGCTGCAAGTTTGCCGGTCTGGCCTTTGGGGTCCGTGCCGAAAGTTTCATCGAGTGCAACTCGAGCGGCTGCTGCAATCACGCCCGTCTGTCGGGCACCGCCTCCAATGGACTTTCGGAACCAACGCGCTTTCTTAATGAAATCTTGAGAGCCGACTATAATGCTGCCAATGGGTGCTCCCAGCCCCTTTGAGAAGCAAAGACTAACGCTATCAAATAGGCTTGTATACTCAGGCAAGCTGCCAGCACCGGACACAACGGCCTCCCACAACCGGGCACCATCCAGGTGAACCTTGATATCATTAGCATGAGCCCATTCCACAATGCGCTTCGCCTCTTCTAGGGGCATAATCATGCCATCAAGCGTGTTCTCCAAGCTGATCAACTTGGTGGGGCAATGGTGAATATTATCGTCAAGAACTGCATGCTTCTTGATATCCTCCAAGGTCAAATGAACACCATTCTTAGGCACGATAGTATTCACAGTGGCACCGGTCCAAGCGCTTACGCCGCCAGCCTCATAACAAATAATGTGGGATCGGTGATCACATAGCACTGAATGGGGTGGCTGCGCGAGATGCGAACGAATGGCCACCTGGTTTCCCATTGTGCCGGAAAAGACCAACAGACCTGCTTCATGTCTCGTTATCTCGGCGACATAGTTTTGCAGCTCATTGGTGACTGGGTCCTCATTGAAAACATCATCAAGTAGAGTAGTTTGGCAGATCGCTTCGAGCATCGAAGGTGTAGGCTTCGTCATTGTATCGCCTGGGTCCGGTCAGTGCCAATTCCACCAGGCGGTAATTTTCTCTAGGGATCCATACTTCTGAGGTCAAACTCAGCTGCTCCAGCCCCATGCCAGGTGGTGGGCTTCTTGTCGGTGTTACCGGCCACCGCCGGCGCATGAGCCATGGCGTCAGTCGACAGTTGTGCCATAGCGATTGGGAGGTTAAGTTTGAGTTTTTGCAGGGGTCTAGCTCGAAGCGCCAGGGAAGAGCGGCAAATCGGGTGTAACAATCGATTCATGAGTTCTGCCACACTGAGCACAGTCTATGGGAAGGTTGTGGGGAAAGAGGGGAGTCGACACGTGATCCGGAGACAGCTAATAGGATGGGGAATCAGACGATGTATGATGTATGATTGCTGTACAGCTAGAACGTGTTGCGCCAGGAACTACTGGGTGAGTATATCCAGAGAAGTTATGATGTAGATTATGTGTCGGACACGAACAAATCGTAGCCCATTATTTCCCCCGGAAGTCCAACGATAACGCCAATGTACAAACACAAACCTTGCTTATCGGCACCGAATCAGGATTAGCCTAAAGCCCGAGTCGGGTGGCCTCGGTTGCTATGTAACCGCAGCTTGTAAGAGTGACTCCGAGCAGCCCTAGAAGTGCCTGGCTCTATTTAGATGTCCAGTCTTTGGGTCTCTCAAGGTAGGTTTTGATAATTTTTGACATGAATATACGAGATAGAGCTCTCCTAGATACCTCTCTCTTTCTATGACTTCTCTCGCGCCTGGTGACAATGTCTGCGCTAGTTATATAGTTGAGATTCTTATGGTGAGAATTCCCACCTTCCAAGGGCAAGTGTTCGATGTTTCATTGTTTAAGTTGTAGTTTCAAGAATCAATTATAGGTTTGATGAATCAACACTTATTTCCACACGCTGAGTTTGACTTGTGCTTTGCCCTAATGTCTTGAATATCAACATGGGATAGTTACCAGGGTTGACGGTGAATTCCCTTTCGTATAAGGATGGTAAGATAGAAGTATAGGTGCCAATTTATATCTACCTCCAAATCTTGTAGGAATATCATCACATCCCAACTCGTACGTTTCAAATCCAGTTGTTTCACATATCGAGCGACCTAGGCTATACATTTAGCGAAGCGTTGGCATATCAGGATGTCCTACCTAAGATTGCCCTGGTCTGGTACCTTTCGAGATTACCTCAAAGAACTGGGCATTTTGGCCCTGAGAAGACATAACCTATTTCATAGTTATGCTAACAGAAACCGGGACACTATTGGACAGAATATTGTACTGTGGATGTTACGGTAGCTTTGCCTCCATAAATCTTTTTGACACTGTTTAGGAATTCATTAGGCTGAGATCCACAAATAAGCGACAGTATTTTTGGGCTTGGAGTGGTGCATTGGACTACTGCCTAACGCGATGCAGGATTTTGGCTTGAACTCCAGTCGCATTGCTAACAACAATCTGTCGGCCACTGCTCAAGTCGCTCCTCCGCTAATTTTAGTGCTCTCGCATACCTCATGTCCTAAGTTGCCTATTTAGAGATACCGCAACTGTATCATGCTCAAGCGTCCATGGCTAAAATAGAAACTTTGTTCGCGGTGGATTTCGACATTCAATGCTGGCAAAGACTATTAGAGTACTTTTCAGGCGATCAAGTTAACCGTATTGGGCAGTATTTCTGGATTTGAGTGATCATTATTGAACTGTTGATGAGAAAAACAGGTGGACAAAGGCCTGCAAATTTGAACAATAAGAGAAAAAAATATCTATGAACGTCCAACCCAACTGTGACAACTACAACCGGATGATATAGCATGGGCCCTGAACTATAGGACTCTCAAAACTGATATGCCTGGATATTACGTGGTATGAACAAGCTAGGTGGCACTTTTAGACTTGTGTAGGTACAGCGTAAAGAGTGCCTCTTTATCTACCGACTCCAAGCGGTCTAATTTACATATGTCAATGGATTGATATCTCACATGTAGAACTCATAAATCACTAGCTCTCTGATAATGACGCCACTGTACATGTCCCTTATCGATAACCAAATTAGGACTAGCGCACACATCGGCCTGGACCGCTGACTCAGCACTTTGTCTGCCCTGTGCTACAGTGTGGTTCAAGCCCGCACAATCTTACAGCTCTCTACCTGTTCACACTGGTCGCGCAAAGATGGATCTATCCCATCTCACACGGCCTGGCATCTTGTGCCAGTGCTCTCGGTGCTCCAGCTCGCTGGCTGCACTGGAGAACGAATGGGCAAAACTGTCTAATGCCTACTCTATCCCGACAGCATGGCTTAGTGTTGACCTTCATCGCATCTCCGTTTCCTCGGAGCGCAAACAAATCCCTCACACATCTGACATGACCCTTTTGCGTGGTCGTGTTATTCAGGAGGTATCCTGTAAACTCTGCCAGCAACGTATGGGAGTACTATGTCCACTCGATAATGGGTAAGTGACTATGAGTTCTGACCAGCACCTATTCTTGTGGCTAATACATCTGTAGAATGAACATTCTATGGAAAATGTCGAAAGTTGCTTTTAGGGAGATTGTTACCATGCGAACCGTCCAGCCTGTGTTCAAACAGGGGGCCCTCGAACGCCTGATTTGCCCCCCAAAAGAACCCCCACGTCGAAACCACGACCTCATGCAGGGCAGCGCATTGGTGCCAGCTGGCTGCTCCGACCCCACTATTCTCGATCCATCCATGCAAAAGCAAATGCTACACCAGGGTAGAAGCATTGACCAGATTTCGAATTCTGTGAACCATCTACAAGACACAATGTCGGATCTCAAGCATTCATTCACTGCGCTTCGAATCGAGTTGAACGGGCCAAACCGAAACACAGGGGATGGGTCCGTGCTTCAAGGACATGATTTTGACATGATTGCTACCGTGCTAAAAGAGCTCAAGTCCAAGTCAGATGAGATCGAAAAACTGAAGCTGGAAATCGAGGCCCTCAAATTAAAGAATCGATACATGGGAGTGACTCTGCCGCCACAGCAAGATCCATCGTCTGTTATGATCATGAATCCTGCGCTCCCCGAAGTCCGGAGCCCCGGCTTGCTCCAAGCGGGCCGGAAACGTGCTTGGCCAGATGCATTCTCAACTGATCGCAGCCATGCGATTGCGGACTCATTTGATGAAGACGATATGGTGGATGACTTTTCACTGGCAGACCCGACGCTATTCTCATCGCGAGTTCCTCTCAATGACCGACATCAACCGGCCATTACCAATGGACCAGCTGCAGAACAGGGGTGGGGCCCCTAGAGTTCCAGCCAGTTGCGCCAGAGCCTCAAAATAACTCTAGACCCCTTCAGACACAACCCCATAGCTACCAGCAAACTATAGCGAAGCGCCCACGCCTAGCGTCGTCAGGAGAAGATGGCTCCCAAGCACCCCCTCCACAGCCGGCTGTTCCACAGAAAAGACCTCCTGGCAGGCCAAGAAAGTCAGTTAGCCAACCGACCGTACCTGATGCTATCAAGTCACCGAGTACCGTCCCTTCTAGCACACAAGATGAGACCGAGTCCAATGGTCAACCAAACGGGGTGCGGCGTCGCGCGTCTCGTCGCAGCTTGCGTCCATCCCTTGGCCCAAACGCAAATGACAACGATGGGGATGAAGACCAACAGAATTCCCAGGACGTCATCAAGATTGCTCCTGATATTCATACAGCGCCCAATAAAAAAGTCAAGCGCAACACTGGTTCTCCCAACGGAAACCGAACTGGCGGCCCAGATGACGGCGGAGATGAGGCTGCTATGAACGAGAAGCGGAAGGCTAAGGTTGCGGCGCGGGACGTCATGGCCAAGTTGGCTTTGCAACATGAGGAGGCTTTGGAGGCCGGAAATACACGATAACGGGATCTGAGTTATCCTCCACTATCTAGGTAGCTACACGTACCGGATTTTCCCTGGCGGGTGGGGCTTTCCTATCTGAGCTGCCGCTGCTTTTATGAGGGCGCTCAGGCTCAGGCTCACTGAGTAGATGTCAACACGGGCTCAGTGAGCACCATGATCTGATCACTGACCCGGACCTGAGCATCCATCCGGATTGCTTACTAAGCTCTGTGGTTCGGGGCGATCTCTACCTAAGTAACCGGGTTCAATAAAACGTGACGCGCTAGCTCAGCCGCTTGGTCGATTCAACCTATTGCTGATTTGATGCTCCTACCTAAGAGCGTTCTCCCTTCTCCCCATGTATTGGTCAGATTTGGGAGAACTAACTACAGTACGTAGGCAGATGTGTAATTCTTAGATAGACTACGTAAATCGTTTCGTTCTTGGATATTGAGCAGATAACCCTTAACGGTCGTTTACTCCACTTCATGTCGTGGTCTTATGACATCCTGCCTTTATTGCAATATAAAGTTAAAAGATGTATTATCCGTATTTGTAGAAAAGCCGCTCCTGGGAGCGTCAACTCCTTCCTAGGAATACCTAGAAGGACCTACTTCAAATGCGCGGGACTCTTGATTCAATGACACAGCATATTCGGATGCAAGACTCTTCTAAGTTGCTAGGATTTAGCTCTGGGCAAAGGCTCCGCTCCAGTGACAAGGAATGGCCTAGATCCCAATACATCGATCTGGCAGAGAATAACCGAGAGAAAAAGGGTGCGGTAAAATTTGGTGAGGCTCCTGGTCGGAATAGCCTGCGTAGCCTGTCGACTAATTCCGTGGATAATTCGCATAATCAAGGGATAGAATAGCCACCTATATATTCTTATCATTTGTCTCCCATTTCTGTCTACCTTTTCTGTGTACGAACTTGGATTTCTATGATGATTCATCAATCAAGGAGAAAATAGCACCTTTTGATATCCTCTCATGTTCCCCAACCTCTGGGGCAAGCACATGTACGCAGCAAATCATCCTCTAATCAGCACCGGAAATGAAAGGAACCTTTTACACCAAACTTCTTTGGTCAATTTATAGCGCCAGGTCATCGGATGAACGAATTGGGTTGCCTGAAAGGCTGTCATGGGGATCATGATGAACCGGAATTCTAACTCTATTGGACATTCTGTTATATCAGGTTGAGCCGAGATCCGGATCTGCTTGTTTTCTATTCTTGATGCATAATATTAACTGTTGGCGACTGTCTTAATAGTAGCTAGCTATCTCATGATAGGATCACCGCTAGACTTGCTAGGTAAGATGAAGGTGGATTGTCCTAAACCTACGAAGCTACTAGCCATCGCAGAGGGAAACTCGTAACGTTGCTGGGCCACAGCGAGCGCATTAGACAATAAAGCCAATTTTCTCAATAAGAATCAAGATGGAGAAGAAGAGCAATGTCAAGGGGAACGTCACTAAGAATGTTACTTGATAAGGCTACTAAGAGAAGAAGAAGAAGAAGAAGAAGAAGAAGAAGGAAGAAGCTATGATTCTCTAAAGCTAGTAAAAACTAGGGACTATATAGTCCATAAAGACCAAGAAACTAGCAAACTAGCAACTGAAAGAGTCCATCTGTCAAAGGAGCTCAGTCTATTAAACCAAACTACCTAAAAGGGCAGGCATTAAGCTGTGATGCATCAACATTACTGCATAGTGTAAGTATGTTATGGATAAGCGAGTAGAATGAGCGGTCAACCCGTGGGTATAAGACTTCACACAGAAGACGATACGCTTGAGGAACTCAGTTCTTATGTCCGATCTTCTTGAATGCCTCTAAGAAAGCACGTTGATTCCTCCTCGCCCCCTCATCATTAGCGACTCGATGCCCCTGCCATGCCTTGTAGATGAATCTGTACCACTCCATTTTCTTGCCGGCCATAGCCTTCACCTGCCACTCGATTGCCTCCCAGGACTTATATCTGTCCACCAGAGCAAGTGTAAGGTACTGTAGAGGCTTGCCATACGGTCGGCGAATCCCAATGGGAGTTGTATTGATGTCGTGCGAGAGAAGCAATGACCATGTTTTCAGCGTCAAGTGTTTTTCGGGCAACCTTCCAAGTGCGTCCTCTGGGTCCATATCGAAGATCGACGGAAACTGGAGCCCTATTTGCTCTAGCAAGTAATCGGCCTCGTACATAGCTCCGAGTCTATACGCGGTGATTTCCGTCAATTCCTGTACTTTTTCTTTTGGGTAGCTGGCTCCTTTGAGAACTTGATTCAGACAGTTATGCAAGCCGATATTCGGACCGGCATTGTCGGCACCGGGGTGGGAGGCAAGGTACTCTTGTGCGAGATACTGTAGACGTTTGAGCTGCCGTCCGCCAGCTCTAGCCACCTCGCTACTTGCCGCGCATATCGATGGGGGAACCTGACGTAGGGACTGCCATTTTTCCTTGAATGACACAAGAGGCAAACCGAGGCGGGGCTGATAGCTTGTCTCCCATTCATCGTTTTCCGAAGAGAAGTGGATTTGCTGCCTGTCACCGAATAATCCCATCCCCTTCATACAGTCATATATAGACTTCGCGAGTTTTATATATGTCGGGTGCTCCAACCACTCCTTAACGTCCTCTTCGGCATCTACCAGGCAGCGTAGTACCGCTGATGCGGCCAAGCTGCCGCTGACTCGTCCAATACTTCCGCTGAGGGGCCACGATGAGGGTTTGCTGCGTGGACCAGCTGTTGCGATTGCTGTGGCGTTAAGCTGTTGCTGTCTGATGTCGGGGACTACTAGCCAACCGCCGGAATAACATGAGGTGGTGAACAAGGTCACTTGAGGCCCGTTTCGGATCTCTCGGCGTAAGTCTCCCATGCGAAACATTGATCCTCCAATCTCAACATCATACTCCGGGGTTCTGTGGCCGAATATCAACAGGACAAGATGCTCCTAGAGGCGGGATGCTTCAGCAACTTGCTCTCGTAGAGTGCTCATGTATCGCTCGAGCAGGATGTTTCTCGGCACAACCCGCAAACTTTCAGCCTCATATATACCCGCGAGTCTCTGACTGTCAAGCACCGCCCGACGGTCTCCTTGTGAATTGCCATGAAGATATTCCTTGTACTTGGAGACAAGTCTTGCGGGGTCTTCACATGTCAACCAGATCTGGTTAGGCGCTGGCGGCACTCATACGGTTAGCCCTGCAGAGAACGAATGACAGCAGAACCCGGGCACACTCACGTCGAGGGAATGCAGGGGCCAAGAGATAATGGAAAAGGTAGAAGTCAGACACAAACTACCCATCTTCATTTGGGCTAGCTTGATCTTCTATGTCGGTCGTGCCAAGTAGAGCTAGGATGCGATGGCGGGGAGGGAGGTCTGGAGGACTATGCGTGAGAAACTCGCGCCCATCGAGCTCTTCCTTAGCCCCGTTCTGGCGGCCTATGACTTTGAAATCGGGAAATTCAGCCGGGCAGATAGTGGCCATTGCGACACGTAGTCCTGGTTGGATGGAGATAGAAGTGGTGGGGGCTAAAATTGTAAAGGAATACTAGGTTTTCAGGCTAGCACCTGTTGGTCAGGCAAGAAGGACAGATGGAAGGAAAGACAGTATAGTGTTCTTCGTGCAGAGACTCATTCTTGCTAAGATCAGGATTGGGGGAAGAGGGGGACCAGCTTTTACCTCTTCGTTCCCTGACCCATACCCATCATAATGAGAAGCTCATTTTCGTTATAAGAAGAGTCTCACCGTGCTTCCATGACTCATTGCCGTCATGAGAGTTTCACCTTCCTCTCGAGTCAGGGTATCACATGATATCAGGATAAAGGGGTCAGGCACACATCTAAACTCCATTTTCCATCCGTTTTTCTTACAGTAAGATTCCGAGTCATCTACATTGGCTTATACAGAGCTATACTGCGAGCTCCCCTGGCCTCCCAGTTAGTATCTTTATGCGACGCGAGATGATGAACTCGAAATTTGATCGGCATTGAGCTTGAAAACCCTATCGAGTAAAGTACCAGTGACCCAATTCGCTATGGTAATAGTAACAACAATTTCGATAATCCCGAGCCATCCACTGCTCGGTCTCATTTGCATGGTATACATATCAGTAAAGTAAGTGAATTCCCGGGCTCTGTGGGTATCTGCCCTAACGCCCTATCATATCTCATTAAAAAATCGTAATGTTCAGCCTGTGATGTCCCAAATGAACTTCGTGGGTTGTTCTAGCGAGTCGGAATGAAATGCTTTGAATCCTCTTGTTGCTGGCTGAATGATTCGGGGAATGCTGCGATTCCACCAATGATACCGACGGCCATGAATCCGAGGGAGATGAGGGACCAGATAACACCCCAGCATTGGGAGGATCCGCCGTATCGCTTGGCGAAAACGCTGGCATCGGAGCTGTTCACCTTGCGAAGGATGAGATCGTCACACTGAATAACCGTTAGTGAGAACAGTTTAGATGGGAGCCGGTACTTACAATATCCCAGACACTATACAAGGCAGACATGACACCGATGAATAGCTGGAGGCCGAAGTATATTAGTTATGTTTCATAAAGAAAGAAGCGAATAGATCCCACTTACCACGACCCAGCGCAGGGCTTCCCCATGGGCAATGAACCAGCATGCCACCAACAACCCGACCGCAAGAAGAACGGTGATAATGGTCAACCAGTCTCTGCGCGCCCACCAGAGGGTGAGCAGGAAACACACCCCGAGGACGATGCTCGCAACCTTGCTGGCGACAATATTAAACCCGGCGAAAATCAACAAGGCGCCAATAATGGATGAGCCCAGGTACCCAGCAGGCAGTGTGATGGCGCTTATACCGCCTTGCATGTGGGTGACACCACCTTCGTGAGGATCTAGTGAGATCGATTTGACTCTTCCGCCGGTACAGCAGGCAGTAATCGCATGGCCGAATTCATGGAATGCAATCACCAGCATCTACCAAGGGTTAGTTGTTATCAGTCAATATAGGGTAGGTTGTTTACCTTGAAGGGCCACAACACCCATCGGATATAAGGAATGTTCCATAGTAGCGCGATGACCACGACATACACTGCCATGATCCCCAAGGTGATCGCTTGAGTGTGGTTGACTGTCAGGTCCCGCCGGGCCAGTTGCGGGGCCGTTGCCGCACCTGGGGCTAGCGCTGCATATAGGGCTGGCATGGTGAAGAACGCGAAATGTGGGAATCTGGGAAGAACTGTCAAGTGCGGAGTTAACCAGGAGAATATGGAGTACAAAATCCAGTTTGCACTTTATTAAAGAGTCGGACAAAAAACGATCGTCCGCGCGTCCCTATAGGAACGCGCATGCCACTTGTTTTGTGTGGCGGGTGTGGCTGGGATGGGGCTTGGCGACTATTTTGGGGCCTTGGCTTTTTAGGCGGAAGAGTTTCACTTCCTCATACGTCAGTTAGCATGGCTTGACGATCATGACTAGAAAATGAGCTCTACTACGGAGTACTCTAGCCAGTGTTCCTGACACCACTTCTTGTGACATGGGAACCCTTTCGAGATCTAATCTGATACCGAGCCGGTGACTGGGCTGATGATTCCCCATGGATCTACGGAGTACCCAGTACTCAACAAGCAGGGTCAAGTATCCCAAGGGATCTTCATGGATAGGGGCATCCCGGAAAGGCCCAAATTAGAGTCGATAGATCAAAAAGGCAATGTAGGAGGTTGATAATGTGGCTGCATCTGGCAGTCTGTTATTCTTCTCGCTCCTGCCTTCCAAGGTTTATACACACTGTGCAAAGAGGAAGGCGCGTTGGGCCAAAGTTCAGGAGAAGGAACAAACATGGCTTCCGTCTTTCACCTTTCCATCTGTTCACTCTTCCAGGGTTGATCACTAACCCTTGAAAGTTCAACATCATCTGTCCAATTTTTTTTCGGAAAAATCCACGGAATGCATGCCATGGGTAAATCCCCTCTACAGATTTGGCTGAAGATGCTGAATCTCCCACGGAAACCCCAAATGTCCTGGCATCGAGACCGACTTCGCGAGGAATTATGCGAACGCCGACTTGCAAAGACAAAATGGCAAGAGCTTAGTGAGACGTCGGACGTTTTATTTTCCATTACTCGAGCTCAACATGACGGTTTTCGCATGTGCAGTGTATCCTGCTTCTCCAGCCTGAAGTCCACCCCGATCTATATGTACATGTTCGCAAAGTACACGTCGCGATGGTCCTTTTTCAAAGTCGCTGCCCTCATCTGCAATGCACGACATTGGAACGATGTAAATGAAGTGGTGAATCCGGCGAAGGTCTATAAACTTGATGAAGTAGCTTTCCGCCATCACATTAATCAAAGGGACTTCCAGCGAATAAGTCGCCAGCTTCGGAGGGTGTGGCCACTCTTTCCATGAGATGCAAGTTAATGGATGCGCATATTGTTTGACCTTACACTTGCTGTTTGAGTTGTATCGCTACAGGATCGTCAATCTGCGATTTGTCTTTCATCGCCTGACCCTGTACGTACTGACAAACATTGCAGACGAATCTAAATCAGGATGTCTATATAAACCTACCTCATTTCTCATAAATTCTCTTGAAGGTCACCGGCAGCATAATCATCTGTCTAATCGTCGTTAAATTTCCAATTCCGTCACACAAGGAGAGCACGCAATGTTCTCTAACGATCATCACCAACCTGGCGAGCCATCCCACGTTGAGCGTCAGCCTACTGATTGCAGGAGGCCAGTCATCATCGGTCTGTATGGTCTCCCTGGCTCTGGGAAAACTTACTGGTTGGACAAACTGAAGCAGGAACTCAGCGATGGAAACTTCATATGCTACGAGGGTAGCCATGTGATTGCAGCCTTGACCCCCGGGGGGCTTGATGCATTCCAGCAATTATCAGAAGATGCAAAAGTCGAGTACCGTCATCGCGCCATCGCAAAAATTGAGGGGGAGTGTCGTGATAGTGGAAAAAGTGCCATTGTTGCCGGACATTACATGTTCTGGCCCGAAGAGGACGAGCATGGTCGATCAGTTTGTGTACAGGGGGATTTGGAAACATACACACATATTCTATATCTGAATATTTCTCCTGCAGCAATTGCAGAATATCGGTCGAATGACGTGAAGCGATACCGACCGACTGCATCCATCGCACATCTGAGAAAATGGCAGGAGACTGAGAAAAGCCAGCTAAGTCGTCTTTGCAGATCCAATCACATTCTCTTTACAACCGTGTCCCCATCTCGGATATCCGCGAGCATGCTGTGTTCCCTTATTCAAGAGTTTCGAGACCACACAGAAGATGGAAACCTGAAACTTGCCAAAGAAAGAGTGGATAAGCTCGTTGCTATCGGCCCTGAAAGACTTGAAACAATCTTGGTATTTGATGCAGACAAGACGTTGGCAGCTCAGGATAGCGGAGTAATCTTTTGGGAGCAAGTCTGTGAGAAATCGACTGAAAAAGACCGCATCAGCCTCCTGAAAACTTTGTTTGGCGGTCCCCTGCAGTATTCGTACACTGCTTTCCGCCAAGCCACTTTGCTCTACGAAGAAGCCGTTGATGACGATGAATTTGATCGTTGTTGCTCAGAAGTGGCATCAATGGTATCTATGCACTCCGAAATCGTTCAATTCTTGCACTTTGTCCGGGATTACAGCCATGTTCGTGCAGTCGTTATTACTTGCGGACTAGGTGCTATATGGGAGAGGGTCCTCCGCATGGAGGGTCTTTCGAATACTGTCAAAGTGATTGGGGGTGGCCGCTTGAGTGACGGTTTGGTCATCACACCGGCAGTCAAAGCTGCGTTGGTGTCACACCTACGTACTACACACCAGCTTTACGTTTTCGCATTTGGTGACGGTCCGGTTGATCTGGAGATGCTTCAAGCGGCTGACCAGGCTATTGTTGTGACTGGCGATGAAGAAAACAGGAGCAAAACGATGGAGAATAAGCTGGCAGATGTCCTTGGCATAGATGGATTTCACCCCCGGCAGGTGCTTCTCCCACCAAGTACAAAACCTCGTCTGGATACGTCTCGGTTACCTCTGGTTCGACTGATGAGCCGGGATTTTATGGACATGGCTCTCGGTCGCCATCAAGATTTGAATATTATTCATGCTACCGAGCGATCCGCTGCCAAGCTACTCATGACATCGATGCGCGATGCTTCTGTTTCGGGACCTGCTCTAAGAGATATCCATCATCGTGTTGGATGGTACCTTGCGACAGAGTTCTGCACCCGAATCATTGGCATCGAACCATATCCGATTAAACATGTTCAGGGCCACGAGACTGACGGTTATCGGCTCCTGCATGAGAAACAAACATTGATTGTGCCGCTCATGCGTGGAGGCGAACTGATGGCCTTCAGTGTGAATGAGGCTCTACCGCTCGCCATATTTCTACATGCGAAGCTTCCAAGTGATATCCAACGCCAAAATTTGGCCAACATCGTCACAGTCATCCTGGTCGACTCGGTGGTGAACAGCGGCAAATCAATTCTAGACTTCGTGCAGCATATTCGTAGCCTTCATGGTACTATTCGCATCGTGATAGTTGCTGGAGTCATACACTCCCAGACGATCTCTGCGGGCAGGATTGCCCAGACGCTTGGTCGAATCCGAAACCTCTCCTTTGTTGCCTTGCGTCTATCAGAGAACAAATTCACCGGCAGAGGAACTACTGACACGGGTAATAGACTGTTCAACACAACGCATATGCCTTGATCGTCTTGCAAGGTCAATGCAATGCCTACAGCTGCTCGCTATTTGCTGATTCCGGCGATTCCCGTGATCTCGGTTTTTGGTATTCATTTATCTCCAGACCTCATATCGAATTCAATGGGATTTGCCTACCTACTGGTTTCGCTATTGCATAAGTATCTTGCACCAGGGTATTTAGAAGTGTTCCAAGATTCAAATTATACTACGGGAGTAGCTTTGCAAAAGTAATTTGGCAGTAACCGGGATGTTTAGATGTATAAATCCCAAGAGCCCTACCTCAGGTAAACAAAAGGAGCACACTAGGCTCATTACGAGTTATCCCGTGGAATACCATTACTTTCTTCCACAAAGAATGCAAGAAAAAGCTCTGGCTATCTGCCAGTGCTACCACAGTGCTACTAAACCCCGCATTTCGCTGGGATCGACTTCAATACTCGCCCATTTTGTCGCAACGAAGAGACGGCCAATTTACCTAGGTATAGTCCTCAGACCATCACCTGTCGATACGAAGCTTATAACATGTAAGCAGAAGAGAGTGTCCTCTGACTTCTTGCCGCTACGAATACTCCACCATGGTCGGCATGCTACCAGTCCTCTTGGCAGGACTTGTGACCAGTGTATACTCTCAGCCAACAAAAGGAACCCAGAAGGATGCACAATACCACAGCAACGCTGGAGTTTTAAAATTCGTCAATCCCCTTATAGGCACATATGGAACTACACCAAATGGCAACGGCGGCATGATCCCATCCGTCTGTCCCCCCTTCGGCATGACCCGCTGGACACCCCAAACCCGCGAGAATTTCATTTCGCAAGTGCCCTACGGTGACAGCGACCGTCTCATCCATGGTTTCCAAGCCACGCATCAGCCAGCTATCTGGATGGGCGAGGCTGGTCAGGTTGTATTGACCCCGGGAATGGGTGAAGTGCAGCCGCTGTTCCAGAATCGGGGCTTGGAATTTCGGAAAAGAGATGAAAGGAGTACGCCGTACGTCTATGAGGTACTTGTTGATGCTACTCAGCGATTCAACCAAAACTGGAATGCGACAGCTGAGGCTGTTGGTGATGGGCCTGTGCCGGGTGGTGCGGGTGCAGTGCCAGATGATGTGCAGCAGGGTGCCAATGGGCGGACCCGGAAACGTGAGGTGGACTCTGTGCCGCTACGAAGTAGTGATGGTGATGAATATGAGCGGTCGATTCAGGTATTGTGCATGAATACTATCGCCACCGTGACTGGTGTCTAATGTGTTTTAGGTTGCTATGTCTGCGGATTCTCATGTTGGCCATCTTCGATTTGACTTTAAGTCAAGCAGCACCGATACAGATAGCAAAAAGGAACCATGGGTGTTTATTCAGGCCTCTCGCCGGAATTGGACAGGCGCGGTCCACGTTGATCCAAAAAGGAGGGAGGTTTACGGTCATACCACCGAGCGCCAGGATTATCTTCTCGGACCGGATAAAGCACAGTCATTCAGAGGGTACTTTGTTGCCCGATTTTAGGACTCATTTACGGAATATGGTGTGACAAATGGCGGCTCTGTGACGAAGGACGCAACCGAGCGACATGGGAACTTCACCGGAGCATATGTGAAGTTTGCTGACTCCACAGCGCGTGTGGAAGTGCGTATTGGAGTTTCATATATCAGCATCGTACAGGCACGGAAGAACCTGGATATCCAGACTCCTGATGAGTACACATTTCAGGATACCATTAAGAAAGTGAAAGCAGCATGGCTTGAGAAGTTAGGAAGAGTATCCATCCAGGGAATCAACAAGACTGATCCGGAACATGATCCCCGTACTATCTGGTATACCGGCCTTTTCCATGCACTGCAATACCCAAACGACTTCTCAGAACCAACATCGAAGGAAGATGGTGCCCCGCGTGTGTTTTACTCAGGATATACCGACAGTTTTCACACCGAGAATGATTCATACTACCAGTCCTGGTCCATTTGGGATACATACAGAGCCGAACACTCCCTCCTGACTTTGTTTGCCCCGGAGCGTGTCAACGGCATGATGCGCTCGTTGCTGCGCATATTCGACTGGACTGGTTGGTTGCCGATGTGGGCCAATTTGGTCGAGACGAATATTATGATTGCAACAAATGCAGATGTGGTGCTGGCCAACGCGTTAGAGCGGGGATTTAAAGGCTTTGATGTTCAAAAAGCCTGGCAGGCTGTCAAGCAAGATGCATTTACTCCACCTGAGAATGATACTGATACTCTGTACTATGACCGCGAGCCCGGCACTTCTTACGAGGTACGCGCTGGGCTTACTGCGTACATGAAGCAAGGATGGGTGTCGAATGATGGCTGGTCTGAGGCCGGGAGTCGCACATTGGACTATGCATTCAATGATTACGCCTGTTCAGTAGTTGCTGCCCACGCCGGAGAAGACAATGACACCGTGGAAGCCCTCCGCAAGCGAAGTGCAAACTTCGCGCATCTTTGGAGCAACGAGACACAATTTATGCGATCTCGCAATGCGAACGGTACTTGGGCAAACAATACCTTTGGATGGACAGAAGGCGATGACTGGGTCTACACGTTCGATGTGATGCACGACGTGAAAGGACTTGCCGCTCTTTTTGGTAGCCGCCGGCCTTTCCGCGACAAGTTGGATGCACACTTCCAGGGTGGCCACAATGATCATACCAATGAGCCCAGTCACCATGTTCCTTATTTCTACTCTACACTGGGTTATCCTAACCAAGCGGCTGAGACAATCAGAGATATTGCTTGGTCAAACTACAACGCGACCAGTGGGGGACTGGGCGGAAATGAAGACTTAGGCCAGATGAGTGCCTGGTATGTCTTCTCTGCCTTGGGATTCTATCCTGTCAACCCCGCCAGTGATCAGTATATCGTTGGCACGCCGTTCTTTGAGCATGTCTCTATCCGCCTTGCCAGCGGTGCGAGCACTGGGGGGGATATTGAAAATGGTAGAGAGAAGACGCTTGAAATTTGCGCTCCGGGCGCAGCCACAAAGCCTTATGTTCGAAGCTTGAGGGTTGATGGGAAAAGAATCAACGCTCCGGTTTTGACGCACAGGCAGATCGTTCATGCGGCACGGATTGAATATGAAATGAGTGAGACTCCCACGTCCTGGGGCAATCGACCCTTGTGGGAATTACTTGCGTTGTGAGCGATGATGTAAAATGAGGCGAGCATGACACTAGAACCACCAATAATGGCTTGGATTGTTCTAATTTTACCTAAAACTGGCGATATATCTTTAGCTTGGATCTGAGATTTGCCTGTATTTTTGCGAGCTCAACTTAGCGACTTTGGGTCTATCTCTCGCCAGCCATATCATTAGACATTCTTATGTCTATGTTTTATTCAATCAAATTGACGGAGTTCATAACAAACTTGTCAACTCCCCATTGTGTTTATATCACCTCATTTTGATGTTCTGTTGCAAAGCATTGCGCCATAATGCATATTCCTTTGCCTGCAACCCCCAAGGCCTTGGCTTTTGATAGAATCCCACGATATTGAGCATTTTACTGGTCACAAACTGGGCCTCGGACACTCTCCTATAATTCATCGACATGGTATCTTCTTGGACACTGAATAACAGCACGCGAGATCGCTAAAAACGGTTAGAGCATAGGCTCGGGAACGCCTACACATATCCTCCCCAGCATGTAGCATTCCTGTCGGCTATCCCGTCTCATCACACCATTATACTCGGCGATGGGGCTTGTTACACCCCTGACGTAGGCCTGGTGACCGTGGCGGGGGTTGATCTGACAGTATATATTCAGACTGTCGCTATGCCTTCGCCAAAGAATAGCATTCTTCCCATTCTGATCAGTTTTACTCTCTTTTCACAAAGATGGGTTTTCCGTCCCCTGTAGGAGAGTCCACCGAGTCTATCTCCCAGGATGGAAGTAGCGACAATGACAGCCTGAGATATACAACCGAAGTGGGTGGAAATACCACTAAAGCTACATACCAAGAAGCCTCGGGAGCACCAGTTGAAGTCAACTCTCCTCTTGGGTATTCAGTAGGCTGGGTTACGGTCGTTTTCTTGAATTTGAGTAAGATGATCGGAACCGGAGTCTTTTCAACGCGTACGTATCGCACTTATTAGATCATTCAAAAGACATACTAATTAGGAAGATAGCGTCGACTGTACTTAAAGGCGCGGGTTCTGTTGGTCTCACACTGTTTTACTGGGTAATTGGATATTTGATGGCATCTAGCTCCTTATCCGTCTATATGGAATTCGCATCGTGTTTCCCCAGTCGTTCCGGTTCAGAGGTCGTATACTTGGAACAGTCTTATCCTCGACCGAAGTACTTCTTCCCGACTGTGTTTGCTATGCAGACGGTGCTTTTCTCATTCAGCAGTAGCAATGCTGTCGGTATGATCGTTCAGACCTGAATCCGTGTCGTCAAACTAATTTCATCTAGTGTTGGCGCAGTATCTTTTCAAACTTGCAGACTCGGATTACACCGATTGGCAAGTGAAGGGAGTGGCTGTAGCTTCATATACAGTAGCCGTGCTGGGTGAGTGGTAGTTTACTGTTTGATTGAATATCTGCTAATGCGTTTCCCCCAGTTCTGGCGTTTAATACTAGATGGTCTCTCAGACTGGCTAATGCTATTGGCCTGGTCAAATTGATCACTTTGATATTGTAAGTTTGGCCCGGTTTATCCACACTTGACAACTGCAACTCTTCTATGGGAGACCCTAACTCAAGCTTGGATATAAATAGCATCGCAATCACCGGGTTGGTTGTTCTCGGAGGCCATACCTCGGTGAAAGACCCCAAGGCAAACTTTAGAAATGCCTTTGAGGGCACTGGGGCAGCGACGGCTTACGGTGCGACGAATGCATTGACCAAAGTCTGGTTCTCTTTTTCAGGCTACGAGAATGCTTTCAATGTTGTTAATGAAGTTCGGGTATGCGCTTAATGAGGAGAGATCATGGCAGCGTTGGAAGTGATTTGCTAACTTGGACTAGAATCCCACCAAAACCTTGAAGTGGAGTGCACCGCTGTCTCTGGGTGTGACCGCCGTTCTATATGTTTTGGCAAACATTGCTTATTTCAGTGCTGCAAGCAAAGATGAGATTCTGGAGTCAAAGGTTGTGGCGGCTGGTGTGTTCTTCGAGAAGGTCTTTGGAACTGGCGGTGCAGCGTCGGCGTTGAACTTTCTCATCTGCCTGAGTGCATTCGGAAATCTCCTTGCGGTGCTCATTGGGCAGTCTCGTATGTTGCGAGAATGTGGAAGGTGGGCAAGGAACCTCTTCGGACGTTTGTGGCTTTTCTGACCTTTCGATATAGGCAAGGTGTTTTGCCTTTTACTTCATTTTGGACTTCAACTAGGCCATTTGGAACACCACTTGGACCGTACTTGGTGAAATGGGGCCTTACCGTTTTGATGATTTTGGCACCGCCTGCTGGTGATGCTTTCAACTTCAGTACGTTCTTCTGATTACCACAGGACTTGAAGACTGGCTACTAATTCCTCTTTGCACGGAACAGTCGTCGACCTTGGAGTCTACCCGGCGTCCTTCTTTGGACTGCTGCTCACAATAGGATTGGTCGTGACGCGGATTCGTCGTACTCGCCTCAACCTTCCAGCCCCAGACTACCAGGCTTGGCACGTTACAGTTGCCTTTGCCATTTGCTCTAACCTATATATGGTGGTGATGCCGTGGTACCCGCCAAGCACTGGGGCTACCGGGGGCGATGTGAGCTTCTGGTATGCAACATATTGCGCGGTTGCGCTTGGAATGTGAGTTTCTGCCTTTCTACTCGAACCTTCGCAGTGCGATAGATCACTGACCAAGCAATATGCATACAGCATCGCTACTTGTGCTGTTTACTATTATGTGTGGATTAAACTCCTGCCTAGAATTCAAGGATTCAAATGGCAGCAAACGGTCTTGAAACTGGATGATGGTGCTATGGCTCATAGGCTTGTCAGAGTGCCGAATAGGAATACATAACATGTTGGGGCTTTTCTAAGGGGGTCTAACCCGGGTTGACCATTCAGTTATAGAAATCTTTATTTCTAATACCCTCGAGTGCTATTTCAATTGTCCCTCCCCCTCCTCCAGACGTAGATCCGGTTAGGTTGTCCATATGTTACCGCATGCTGCACCTATGATATCTAGCGGCGCGCCCACTTCTACGATATGCAGGAGGACTATCCAGCTGCGACCTATTGCCTATATATGTTACTGCTCAGGCCTATCTCATCGACTGGCCTTTGTTCAAAGTATTCGTCCCCAACGATCCATCGAGGGAGGAGAAGAGGAAGTGTCTGAATGATTCTTTCGAGGCGATACTGAGGCCATATGGTAGTTCTAAGTAGCACATATCAAATCTTCCTACTATTGATCTTAGCAATTAGATATGAGAGATGAAATTGAGCATTGATCCAAGGCAAGAATGCTGTAAATGGCAAATTCTTCAAGCGAAATCAAAACCACCCTTCAGTCATATTGTGATGGTATCCACAAACTGCGTGAAGTTTATCCATAGATATCATAAATCACAAGATATCATAAATCACAGGGTCTAGATGACGTCTCTGATAGGATCCTTCTCGGCACCTTCAATCTTTTTCAAAAATTCTTCCGCCGCCTTCGGGTCATTCGGGAAGATATTATCAGCGATCATGCGACGTGGTGTACTACCAAGCCATTGGAAGAGAGAGAAGTCCTGGAAACGATCAGCGCGGAAGATTTCCAACATTTCCAGCGGCTCATCATCACTGAGGTTCTCGACGAAGTGCCCCATATTACGAGGAACAATGCCGACGTCACCAGCCATGTAGTTAAATGTTCTGGCGTTTCCTTCGGCTGCAAAGATGGTTACTCTGGCACGGCCTTTCATGAAGTAGGTCCATTCGTCGGCATTTGGGTGCCAGTGCATCTCACGGAGCGCCCCGGGCGCGATCTCCAAATGGGCGGCGGCTACGGATTTGGAAATTGGGAAGTTGGTGGAATCGGTGATTCGGACTCGTCCGCCGCTCGTTTCAAGGGGCTCTTGAGCGAGCATGTGATGCGTGAAGTTGATCTTCGACTTTTTGAATGTACGCGGCTTTTCTTGTTCGATACTTCCTGGAGTTGAGCCTTGGAAAATGTACTTCTCTGAAGCCGGGATATTGTCGAACTTTTGGGGCGACATGCGGAAATTCTCCGCAAGGACTGCCTTGGGAGTATGAGCTGGCGACTAGGTCAGCATTTGTCAACCACAACCCGAGGCACAGACATGTGAACATACCCAACCAATCAGTCAGAACGAATGTAGACTCTTCGGAGAAATTTCCGTCATCGAAAATCAGGAGGAATTCCGTGCCATTTTCACCCAGGCCTTGGAGCGAGTGAGGATGTCCAGCAGGGAAGTACCACAGATCGCCTGCTTCCAAGTCATCCATGAAACTGCCACCTTCCGTGTCTAGCGCTGTCACTCGCACTTTTCCGGCAAGGACATATGCCCATTCGGCCTCTGTATGCCAGTGCAATTCGCGAATCACGCCTTGGTCTAGACGCATGTTAACACCAGCGAGTTCCCGGCTGGTAGGTAGTTCGCGGACAGTAGTTTGTCGCGTCCATCCTCCTTCCTATGGTATTATGGTTAGATTCAGAGAAGCAAACTCCGTAAAGAGGAACCATACCTCGATACGGATATGAGAGTCAGCGAAACTCCATCGCATATTAGCCATGGTACCATGATCGGTACTCGGTGGGCGGACGAGATCGGGGTTCTGACGTTCGCGATCTGGGTTGCGCGGGCCCATTACCGTAGTGCCATCACCGTTACGGAATGGCAATGGTTGTCGCTCATCTCCGATAGAATCAACCTTGTGATCATAGGGGTCACGATGACCTGGAGAGAAAGGTGGGTGGTTTCCAGCAATAGGCTGTTGGCCGAACGTTCTGGCGGGATTACCTGCTGGTATCTGTAAGAGTTTCTGCAGGTCGCCATCAGGAGCAGGGATTCCCCTTGCAGCCTGAAGAAATGCCAAGCTCACGATGAACTGTGTCAGCTGCATGGTTGAAAGAGAGCCGGTTATACACAGAGATGGAGGAGAGAAAGTGAGGGAAGTAAAGATATGCTGTTTCTCCGCATCGACGTCACAACACTCCGCACAGCAGTCTCCCTCGCATTTCAAAGCCGAACTCTCGTTCGAACAGAACTATTTAAGAAGCCCCCTTGGCCGTGCATCGCCTCGGCATTCTTGCTCCACCCGGTGGAGTCATGACGGAGGATCAAGTTTTTGCGTGCGCAGATCAATTTCGAGGTCTCCTTACATAAAAAAAGTACTTCGCTCCTCTCTGGTGAAGTTATCAGCCACCTCATCAACCATGCCTCACGAAACAGATGCCCTGTTGGGCAATACCGCAACCCATGCGCCGTCCGGCCGATCCCGCCTGTCAAAACACCTGCGCCAGGAACTTGATCCCGCGCACGGCGACCTGGTCCTTCTTTTCAGCTATATCATCACAGGTCTACTTGACAGCTCGGCCGTGTTTATCTGGGGCTCCTTTGTGAGCATGCAAACCGGTAACACTGTTTATTTTGGCCTGGGGCTTGTCGGCACAAACGACGATCGGTGGATCAAATCCGGTGTGTCGATCGCGGGGTTCTGTCTGGGCTCACTATGCTTCGCCGCCTTTCACCGTATCTTCCCAGCGAGGCGGAGATGGGTGCTCTGTGTATCGTTCCTGGTCCAGACATTATGTGTCTCCCTTGCCGCTTTGATCGTTACCGTTTTCCGGCCTGCTCGCGATGCGCCCTTGAGTTGGCTCATTCTGCTGCCGATTGCGCTGGTCGCATTCCAGAGTAGCGGACAGGCAGTTACCAGTCGGGTTTTGAATTTCAGTGGCTTGACCAGTGTGGTGCTTACAAGTATCTATTGTGACCTGTTTTCGCATCCAGATTTCCTGTCGTCAAAGGTTGTCGGGCATGCTGAGGAGATGCGACGTCTTGGGGCTGTGTTTTGCTTGTTGTTGGGGGTCATTCTTGGTGGGCTCTGGGCTCATAGTGCCGTCGGAATGATGGGGGCTTTATGGACTGCAGCAATTCTCAAGTCGTGGATCATGATCGCGTGGCTGGCTTGGAAGGGATGTAGTGAAGGGGATGCCGATTGAAGCTGATCAGGCGTCACGTACTCCGTACACCGGGGGCTTGAATCATTTACTTGTTTCCCCTTGCATTGGATGAAAATACTACGGAAGACTGAGGTCTCTTTTAGACGGGGCTCGGATATTTGTCATTTAAGCCATAAACCTTGGAAGGTGATATAGAGCAGATCAAAATACATGTATCTCTGGTGTACGGAGTATAGTTGCTCCAACTGCCCCAAGACGTCTTTATCTTGGTTGGTCTAGGCGGTTCTTCCTCCCTCTCAGTTTGAAGGGGTCTACTCCGTACTCCGTACTCCGTGCTACCAAGCTACCTATTTTATGACCTCTCAAAGACATCGAGAACGACCCGGCATGAGATGCGGAGTAGACTAAGCACTATGCAAGGGAGGTTGGATCGGTGGACTCTTCATCCTGTGATTCGACCCCCAGGCCCTTTGCTACCAGGTCCAATTGGATACGTCATATCATTTGGAGTTCGAGATTGGCGAACTGTACTCCGTATTCTTGCAAGAGTATCGGAGTCGAACCCGAGGACATTGAGGCGCAGTGCGTTTGCAAGTAATTTCTAGTGCGCGAAGTACTCCGTACTCCGTAGCGAGAGGAAATATTTGTTCCACTCTGTCTCTCATTGTTCTGTAATACACACATAGGATGGTCCGGACATGTGGCACTGGCAAAGGCGAGTGACTAGCTGACGAACAAGACAGGCCATGACGTAGGATTGGCTTGGACTGTGAAAAATGACCCCGAAGACTGAGTTCAGCACCGATTGCACAAGGCCCCTTTCAGAAAACATGACTACCAACGCCAAAGAACAAATCACAACATACCATCACGCTCTAGTTTCGGTTTTTTTGGGCGCGACTTGGTAAACACAGCAGTCGCTTCTTGATCTTCCTCTTTTTTGTAACGCAATTTGCCAGCTGCGACGAGGTACTTTAACAGGTCTCCTCCCCCTTTCCCTTCCCATCTTGGTGCAGTGTCCACTGGAACGACAGTTGCTTCCACGCTCTCCGAACTCACCCCGGGCTCACCGGCAACCAAATCTCTTTTCTCATCATCTGTTTCCGCATTAGACTCCAGCTCGTTCGACTTTGATAGAGAGTCGAAAAGCCGACTAATGTCTTGCAGGACACGATCATAGACGGTATGGATTGACTCGAGTGCCTGGCGCTTCTGGGCGAAATTTCCATCCTTCTTGAAATCAGGGAGCTCCAGTGGTGACTGATAGTATGTGCGATCGTATTCAATGGCTCTCTTGCGCTTTTTGGATTCCAGGTGATGTAAAGCTTCGTTACTGGTGCTCTGGGCAGCCTTTGAGGGACCGACCTATTCGTGGGTCTATTTTAGTTCCGCCATAAAGACCTTAGAAGGAGCCATTGGGTCAGGATTGCTTGCCTGGGAAGTACTGATGCTTCCTTGACTGGGGTATTTGTCTAGAAAGGCATCGTGACCTCTGTTGCTGTATGCAGCCGCTAGAATATCATGAGCCAGGCACATAGCATCCAAGAGCACAACTCACCCAGCGAGCAATCATGTCGATCGATATAATAGCAATTCATACATCTCCCGCTTGCAAGAGGGAACCCATGGGGAATGTGCTGGGAAGCCACAATCACACATTTATGAAAAGTGCCATAACCCATCGAGCAGTGATTGCATTCATCTCCGGATTGTAGTATATTTCCAACCCGTTGACCCTGAATGGCACGGAGTTTGCGCTGAGTGGAAGAAATACTAATAGACTTCGGTACTGCTACTTTCCAATCAGCGTCACGAAGCAGTTGGAGCTTGGACAACGACCACAACAAGCGGCTACCATGCTCAAGATCTTCTGTCTTGACATTGCCTTTAGGATCTAGCTCTACTCTTCGACCTATTAAGGCGAACGATATTAGTCCAAAGTCACCTTCCACCATTTGACTTATTAGGGGGTAGATAGCCAACAAACCCTTTTTTGACATATTGAGAAAGCTTTGTGAGTTCAACTACACCAAATTCAGAGTTGGAGTTGGAGACAGTCCACATTCGGCAGGGGACCGTGATGAGGAGGATATATGCCCAGCATGTGATGAAGAGAGACTGAGGTCATAAAGGGGAAGAGGAAGAAGAGGAAGATATTTCAAGGGGTCTACCAATCATTTATATGCCTTCAACCTCCATGGCCACAAACATAACCTGAGGCAGCGGCATGTCTGCTGGTTGGTGATCATCAATGCCTCCATACTATATGGTCATTGTCCCAGACCAATCTGCCGCACCCCCGAGTAGGCCATCTTGCTAGACTCATACAGTGACATGATCCTACTGATAAGTTCGAAATGCATCCCGTGCAGTCAATCCTGGGTTTGGCTCTCACAACTAGTAGAGATTGTATCGTGTCATTGGTTGATATATGAACCCATTCGCTTGTCATCAACGAGTGACCCCCCTGATCTAACATACTATATCTTCGTATGCAACATTAATCCAAGATAGCTGAGTTTCATTGCCTTAGAATTGATTTGATAAAGAGAGTCAGTAGGCCAGTCTATTCTTAGTAGACCATGACGTCATTCTACTTACCCCGCAAACCTCCGTTGCCCGAACTATGAACGACATGTTGGTAGGTAGTTCTATATATATATCTTGATTTCTTCTCTAATTCCCCCTGATTTGATTCATTTATAAACTCCTCCATATATTCCTGGAGACCAAACCATTCTCCAGATCCCTACATAATCATGGCTGATAACGATCATGGACAATCGTCCAGTAAGGACTCCAACCGTCGAGAACGTCCCTTACCAGATCCTGCACTTAAATGGGGCATCACTCCCTCTAAGAAATACGACCCAGACAAAAAGCCCGGGCCAGAGCACCCCGTCCACAAGATTCCACTCGAGAAGCAAGAGAAGATGCGGCGCAAAGGGATCGATCCAGTGTTGCGGGCCGAAATGGACGAGGCAGTCAAGGGAGGCGGTTTCTGGAGAAAGGTGGCCCAGACTTCTATGGGTGGGGGCTGGATTAAATAAGATACCATTTTTACCTGTACGATAGAAGGTGCCACCCGCACAGGGTTCACCACTTGTGAGACATTGGAGGCTATAATTTAAAGGCGTGGGAGTTTTGAAATTCATATGTCGATTCGAAGATATTCAAGATTTTGTAATCATCCAGTAGGGACAGAGAGTGCAGAGTATCCCAATATTAATTGCTTCGCTGGACGATCGCAACAGGGCTAACATAGTGCCGTCGGCCCTGGCACAGATACATCGCAAGACTGATGACGAACACACCGATGAATATCACTACACTCCAATTGAAATCCCGTGCGGAGGGCGAAGGCCGTGGGGGCCAAAATGACCAAAAGAGCGCGAAAATGACATATAGCAGCCCGATAATATTGATAGTGAGCCCAGCTCGACCTAGACTCCAACGCCGAGGGGGCAAGGTTTCAGGGCAGGCGATCTTTCGGTATATCACGCAGCTGATGGAAACTGCGTATGTGTACATTAGTGCAGCGATGTTGAGGGATATAAGAGCGTTGAATGCAACTTCTGAGCCGATGTTGATTAATGACAATAAGACACTAATTGAACACGAAAGTGCGATTGCTCGGACTGGGATTCGCCGGTGCGGGTCAACTCGGGAGATCCAGCTCGCGAAGGGGAGTCCGCGGTCTCGGGCGAAGGCATAGGTCTGACGCGCTGTTGATGCGTTGGACAAGACGTTGCTGAAAATGACGGGAACTAGGATTGTTGCTGTAAGTCCGTTCACGCCGGATATTGAAACTATCTGTCGAAAGACGTAGAGAAAGGGGAATCCCGTGCTGTCATTAAGCGCGGCCGGTACCGATGGTAGAGCGAGGAGGAATCCGACGAGAACAATTAGTGCGAGTATTCCATTGCCGAAGTATCCCCATGCGATTGCGATTGGGACGTATCGACCGGCATCTTTAACTTCTTCGGACATATGCGCAGTCGCATCGGAGCCTGTAAGTGATTATTAGATTAGCTTCTCCCCGATAAGTAAATCCGGAAGGTTCGAGTATGAAGCTTACCCGAACAGCCGTAAATGGCTGTAATTTGACCAATCATCAAGCTGATTCCCATTGTAGGCCAGTTGCCGCCGTTATGGAATTCAGTGAATATCCGTTTCGCGGAATTATGTGGAGCCATAGCAAACAAAACAGCCACAATAATGACCCAGCATAACAGATGGAGAGCGAGAAGCAGATTTTGAATTCGGGGCATCCAATTCGCTGCATAGACATTGAAGAAGTATATCACAGCTATCATCGCGAATACGAATAAGGTTCCTTGCCAGCTTTGTGGCTCATAGTTCGGGTCGCGGATAGCGAGGAGACCTTGAATGATAGTCCCTGTGAGAAATGAGCCAGATGCAGCTCCGGCTTGCCAGGATAGAACAGACATCCAGCCTGTATCATATTTCTTAGTAACGACTGGAGGACAGGGTATAGTCAGTATACGAGAGATCTCACCCGTGGTGTAACTCAAAAACTTCTGATAACGAAGGGGGGCAAACTCCGAAACCCAATGATACTGGCCTCCTGAAGTTGGAGCCCTGATAGATAAGTTCAATCAGTTCAAAGCCCTTTACAGGGAGAACCGATCAATCCAAACTCACATCGAAGCCATCTCAGCTAGGGAAACGATTATAAAACCAAATCCCACAGAGGTCCATATGTAAGACCAAAGCACACCGGCAAGACCGCCATTCTGAAGGCCCTGTGTGTTCGAGCTAGATATGACACCATCAGTGGCTGAAATCAAAATCAAGGTAGATATTGAGGTTTACATGAGCATAAACTCCCAGGTAACTTGGAGGACGGCAGAGAAACTCAATGCGGCAAGAGGTCGAAAGTTCCGCTGGAAGAATATTAGTCGGCAATGTCTATATCAGTCGAGGGGATGATAGCAATATAGCACCTTGAATTCTTGGATCTTGCCCATACGATGCATATCATCCTTGTCTTGTGGACTTCCCTCCATCACTGATGGCCCTTTTGTGGGTTCCGAGTCCACCGTGTGGATTATGCTGTTTGGGGGACTCTGATCAGACGAGGAGATTATTTCGGGTGACATGGTTGACAATTTAGATGAATTAGAGTGAAGCTGCATTGGAATTCACAAATCGGCTTTTGGAAAGGAGGCTGAACCGCAAAGTTCGACATCGGTGGAGATTGAAACAGAGAAAACCAAGGGTAAATGTCAAAGATCGAAGATCATAAAAGAGTAAGATAACATCTCAAAGGCTCTGCCAACATGAACTGGCCAATCTCGGCCAACCCGGTGCAGGCATCCCCCGCTCAGAGTGATACAACGAGTCAAGTATGAAGCCGAACCTCTTGCTTGCCCATATACTTCTCGACAGTCCGCTAAATCCCGCGCAATAGCACGTAGAAAGCCACATGGCAAAATATTCATGGAAAGCCGAACCGGAATCGGAAGAGCCTGTGTGAATGTTGGAACTATGCTGGAGTGTCACAGGAGCGCGTTCCAGTCTCCATCGAAGACGGTGCGGTCGCCCTCGATTGCAACACCTCCAACGATGTTGTCCATATCCCACGGCAGGGTGAACTCCGCTCTCCCTGTCTCACCTTCAGTTGAAACTCTTGAATTTCGCGCTCTATCCCGACTTCGCTCTGCATTGTCCCATATGGATGCAGGTAAGATCATACAGTGTCAAGGTCGTACACACACAGGGGGCTCGAAAGTCGTTCCGAGGGCGTCTTCAAGGTCATACGACGCTTACTATGGTCAGACTGCAGTTGGGGCTGAAATACGTGGGAAAGGGCTCATCCAGGGAAGAGTCAGATGAGAAAGGAAGATCCAAAATGAAGGCACGTGTCCGAGTCCCATTGCACTAAGTACTTAACCTTCTCGCCCTGTACGCACCGCGTCTTTTAATTGATTCGGTTTTCTTTTTCTTTGGCTATTTCGCCTTTTCGACCCCATTGGCTTTGACCTCAAATGCGAACGAACATTTGCTACACATATGTGGAGTACACTAGGCCACCATTGGTTGCGAGTGTACGTGCTACATCTATTCTGGGTGTTGCCTGCCCCCAGCACAACGTTGATGTAACAACAAAAAGTAAACCCTCCGCGTAACGAACTTTCACTGAATTCATACCTGACTGTCAAGTGAATATCTGGATAAACCAGGGTGACTGCGCCTGGGCAGAGTTATTCTAAGCCTGCGATGGGAGGATCAAGTAGCACTTATGGGCCAGTGGAAGATCAAGGATCCGGAGGATCTACAAATAGCCAGAGGGCTTGGAACCGAGATATTCATTGACCATTGAAAGCCCACCGACCCTCTACGGCGTATCTACTGTGTACTTGATAGTTACATACCAGCATCAGTCTACGGCTCCACCAATAGGCCCATTATGTCCTTTGACTCATTGGGATTCGAGGGAGCACTTGTGGATCCTTTGGATACAAGCCCTTCTATATTTCACGACAAACAGACCTTGCATACCTATGAATCCCAGCCCAAGCCAATGATGAGCCAATACAAACCAACCGTTGTGGATCCATAGTCTAGGCCCGGTGCATCAGCCAGGTTGCCTCGGTGAAATGTCAGTTTGCATCTAGGCTGAGCGTGGATGATCTGCGCTTTGTAAGTGGGATGCCCTGTCTCTTGATGCCGGTTTTCTGAGTCAGATAGACAGTCTGAATATATCCTACACCACCCGCTCCCAGAACAGTGCAAGCAGAATATGTTTCTTTTTTGTCAGTCATGGCAACTTTGTCCCCGGTGCCATCGGGCTTGATACCCCCGCTGACTGTCGACAACGACCTAAACCATAATGGAGTCATTACTGTTATCGCTTCCTTTGCATTATTCTTGGTCGTGGGGTCGCTAGGCATTCGCGTGTATTCTGCATACAATAGGAGAGTCTATCAGTTGGATGATGCGACTTTTGCTGCAACAGTGGTAATACATTTCCATATCCACCGATATGAATCCTATTGTTTTTCTTTTGTGACTGATATTGGAGAAATCTAGATCCTAGCCTTGGCACATATTGTGACGGTCTTTGTGCAGATTCATTTTGGTTGGGGGAAATCAAAGTCTCTGATCGCAGATCAAGACCGAAACCGAGTGGAAAAGGTGCGTAAGGGGCATGACTTGGTCGAGATGTGATTCCTGACACCTCTTCCAGGCAGCATACTCGGCGGATCTCCTCTACGTCGCAATACTTTCCTCTTCAAAAGCATCAACCGCTCTTTTCTACCGGACTATCACTTTCCGGAGCTTGCTCTGGATGGCTTACGGCCTTCTCATCGTCATTCTTCTCTGCGCGCCCATCACGATAATCTTACTAGCAGTGCGATGCAGTCATCAGCCGTGGCATGATATCAACAATCAATGTCCTGTCCTGGTGAGTGCGTCTACATAACCGAGAGACACAATGTTTTCTGTGGCCCATAGTCATACTGATCCTAGTTGTCTCACTGGCAAATACTCACAATTTTGGATATCATTCTTGAGGTCACGATATTGCTGTATCCCGTCCGTTCAATCCTACAACTGCAGATCATATTGAGCAAGAAGATCATCGTGATCTTGATACTTGGTTTTCGATCCTTGTATGTTGAGCCTATCCGCACGACTCTATGAAGGTCTCGATATAGCGCGAGTAACTAACTATCACGTGTCATACGGTGTAGCCTGATCCCTATCGGCGCGGTCCATCTCCATTACATGAACCGACAAGTGAATTCATCCGATCCAACACTCGAAGGAAGCCTTGCTACTATTCTCGCAGAGCTTCATGTGGCACTCAGCGTGCTGGTCCTGACTGCGCCATTAATGAAACCTTTTATCGCGGCCTATGTGGACGAGAATGGACTGGCCTATACCGACGACGCGTCCAATTCACGAAAGAATCCAAAACTCACAGCGCAATGCAACCAATCTTATGGAACGGATTGTGCTTTACGACCAGGTAATCCCCTAGCGAAAGATCGCATACTGAAGGGCATCGAAATTTTGGTCGATCGCGAAGCCGTGGAACTACATGACAGACGATGAAGCTCTCGATTTGCGACCCAAAGACCACACTTAATTGATAGAATTGTTGATATGAGCTCTGGTGGTTGCTCTTGTCTTACGGTACATTGGTATGACTTGAGGCAAAGATATCTGAAACTGTTCTTCGCCTTAACAGACAAGTCGATCGGCATTCCCCGGATTCCCATGTGGGGCGAGATCTATGAGTCTCATCGTCATCTGGTCTCTGCTCCTAGGATGGGTTCCAATATACATAACTTTGCACTCCGAAGTCATAACGCTCCTCTTAATTGCTGGCCCATATTGAAGGGAATGATCGGGTTCAGAATATCTGAGCGGAGCGAATCGGGTTTATGTGCACTGTGCGTCTGGCTACTATACCGTAAGGCTATTGCGAAACATCCGAAGTGTCGCAGCCAATGAGATCAAGAGCATTCTTCTAGGTTCTTACGGGGCGTAAGCCTTCGCGTCACTCATTACCGATCGCCTGTGCCATTTCCGGTTAGACATCATGATGTAGTTCGTGGCATGCCGTTCTTCCGCTGATTTCAGCCTCTTGAAATGGGGATAGTGTCGGTATAGCCAGAATCCGGATGTTTACTCTATGATCAGAGTAATTATCCTGGAAGTGGGTGTTGGTCCCATATATTCGGTTCATCTCGGGCTTCCCTAGTGTTCGCCTTCCAAGTCCGTTATATTCCCCGCACTGTGACATCGCCTTGCCACCGATGACCGAAATTGGGGACACATGGAGAATCGCTTATTATCTGAAAGAAAAATATTCCTTCAGTGTGCTAGCCTGTCAATTTTGGGCACTTGCTTGCCTTAGACGCCATATTCTCTACCATTCCGTTGCGCGGAACTAGCATCACAAAACTCTACATAGAACACGCTTCAACTGGACCTTGAAAAGCTCGCTCGATGACCCAATGGCACAATCTCCACACTACGGAAGACGAAATTCCGATATGGATCGAAGCAGAGAATCGATAGAGAAAAAAGAGATACGCAGATCGGGAGATACAGTATCCTACAATGAGGACCCATTTGGGAATGAAGAGAATGCCACAACCAAGTATCGCACTTTAAAGTGGTGGCAGTGTGGAATGATCATGATCGCAGAGACCATTTCCCTCGGAATTCTGTCCCTTCCATCGGCCATGGCAGTACTAGGCCTTGTACCGTGAGTTCTCTGTTACGTCTAGCGCTTTCTCCGCGCCTGTCCAGCTCATGCTGATATCTTTCAAGTGCACTCATTCTCATCGTTGGGCTCGGCATCGTTGCGACCTACACAGGCTATGTTATCGGGCAGTTCAAACTCCGATACCCGCAGGTGCATAGTATGGGAGATGCTGGAGAGATTCTCTTTCGTCCCTTAGGGCTACCTCGCTTTGGCAGGGAGTTTATGGGGACGGCTCAGTTGCTCTTTCTTATTTTCGTCATGGGCAGTCATCTTTTGACATTTACCGTTATGATGGATACATTAACGGAGCATGGAACATGTTCGATTGTCTTTGGGATCGTTGGGCTGATCGTCTCGTTTGTTTTTGCCTTACCCCGGACGCTTCGCAAGGTTTCATGGCTTTCGATCGCTTGTAGGTACACTGATATATCTTCCTTGGAGCTTTGAAGCTGATTACTACAGCTTTCATAAGTATCATTGCCGCGCTACTGATCACGATGATTGCCATTGCGATTCAGCGCCCCGGTGATGGGAAGATCGACGCGACTACAACAGTCAGTGTTTCAAAGGGGTTCCTCGCCGTCACAAATATTGTCTTTGCTTATGGTACGTACTCATTGATTGTGTAGGACTTGCAACTAATCACTCTCTAGCCGGCCATGTGGCTTTCTTCGGCTTCATTTCGGAGATGGAGATTCCGACAGACTATGCCAAGACCCTATACATGCTCCAACTAACCGATACAAGCATGTATGTGGTGGCTGCGGTGGTCATCTATATCTATGGTGGAAAAGATGTGAAGTCGCCTGCGCTGAGTTCGACCAGTCCGGTGACGGCAAAGCTTGCGTATGGAATCGCTATTCCTACGGTGCGGAACCCCCTTTTTACATATTCCCACAACAGCGAGCAATTCTAATTCAATACTGTAGATCGTCATCTCTGGTGTCATCAACGGGCATGTTGCGGCAAAGTATGTCTATGTGCGCGTGTTTCGAGGCACACACCACATGCACACGAACTCATTCCTATCGATCGGGACCTGGGTTGGGATTACTCTTGTGCTTTGGGTCATCGCCTGGATCATCTCCGAGGCAATTCCTGTCTTCAATACGCTGCTGAGCTTGATCGTGAGTGTTATTGACGTTGTAAAGGTGACATGTACTGACTTGGATTCACTGCGCAGACTTCCCTTTTTGCCAGTTGGTTTACTTGTGAGTGATAGCCCCAAACTAAACTATCGATCATGCTAACTGGGGAAAGATGGGCTGAGTGGCATCTTCTGGCTATTCCTGAACCGAGGTCAGTACAGTGCTTCATGGAAGAAGATGGTCCTAACTGGTATCAACTTGGTGATTGTCGCCATCGGTGGTTGCTTGGTGAGTCGTCTTTTATCTAACATTTGATCCTTTTGAACGAGTGCTAATGCCGCAACCAGTGTGGAATGGGATTGTGGGTTTCTGGGAAAGCAATGCACGACGACACCAGTGGGGCTAGTTTTTCGTGCGATGCTCGAAGTGGCTAAGGAGCCCTGATGCTGCAATGGCATACATATAGGCAAGTATCTGAAGGTTTTGCTTGTTGCCCTGAGCGATATATATTGAAGATTTCCTGGAATCATGGATGCATAATTCTCCATTTCCTGTTTCTCACATTGTGTTGTCAGCATATATATTCCGAGTTTGTCATGCCAAAGAGATTCCATGTCCTATCGATGATTCCTGAGCTAAAAGAAAATCGCTCCTTTCTTTTCCTTTTTGAAATACGTAACAATGTCGTCGTCTCCAAACCTCATTGTCCCTCGATGAATTGATGGATGCGATGACGTTCTGCAAGATCACAGATAACGTGCTGCAGGTTTCAGAAAGGATTTGAAGGCTGTTCTCCATGGTTAATTTCCTCGTGTTCGCTCTACTGGGGTTTTGCAAGGTATGTCTGGGGGTAAACAGAAAGGCAGATCCCACGCACTTAACCTTTCCCTTCGAAGATCATCAACCCCTAAACAATCACTTGCCGGGCATTACTCAGGTTATTTCTGCAATGGCCCATAAAGAGACTCAAACCTCGCTGTCATCGCGCAACTCAACTGAACCGGTCCATGACTCAGCTAGTGTGTGGACCTTGTTTGACCATAGCGACACATATGAGGTGGGCGACGTTCTAGAAAGAAATGAGAGTTTTGCAAGAGGCAATGTCGACAGGGACTCTCTGGAGAAAGATAGAATTATCGTGGATTGGGATGGCCCCGATGATGCGGTCTGGCCTCTCCTCCTTCATCATCTGTTGTGAGGAACTAACGTCCACTGCCAGGAGAATCCCAAAAACTTCCCTCAATGGAGGAAATGGGTAATCACCATGATGCTAGGATTGATGACGATTTGCGTTACATTTGCGTCCTCTGTCTTTAGCACGGCGACCAAACAGACAGCTAAAAAGTTCGGTGTCTCCCAAGAAGTCATGATACTCGCCATCAGTCTATTTGTCCTGGGCTTTGCCTTTGGGCCTATTATCTTTGGCCCTTTGTCCGAACTATATGGCCGGAAGCGCCCGATGTTTCTGGGCATGTTCGTCTTTGGAATCTTCCAAATCCCATGCGCAGTAGCTCAGAATCTTCAGACTATCTTCATCTGTCGTTTCCTTGGGGGAGTCTTTGCCAGTGCCCCGCTTGCCATTGTAAGTTTGCTGCGTTATTGACCACTTTAAGTGTGCCTGTGCTAACCCGAGACCAGGTGTCTGGCATCTTAGCCGATATGTTCGAGCCAGTAGAGCGTGGCATTGCAATGGCTATCTTCGCCGCTGCTACCTTCATTGGCCCCGTAGCTGGTCCAATAGTCGGCGGGTTTGTCACCATTTCCTACCTAGGCTGGCGCTGGACTGAATACATTACCGCGATTTGGGCTCTTTCATTCGCTGCAATTGGCATTCTGGTCATACCCGAGACCTTTGAGGGCACGCTACTCACAAAACGGGCCAAGCGACAACGCACTAGGACTCAAAATTGGGCATTCCACGCAAAGGCGGAAGAGAAGGTAGTGAGTTATCGAGCTATTGCCATACGATACCTGTTGCGGCCTTTTCAAATGCTAGTGCAGGAACCTATTCTTCTTCTTATTACCCTGTACATGGGGTTTATCTACGCGTTTCTGTATACCTGTTTCCTCGCCTACCCGATTTCATTTCAAGATCAACGTGGTTGGAATGATGGCGTCGGAGCATTGCCATTCGTCGCTATCATTTGCGGCGTTGCCTGCGCATGTCTGATTATCATTGTATTTTCCTTGACGCGCTATCGAAGTATCCTACGCAGTACCGGGAGAGTGAAGCCGGAGGAACGTCTTGTTCCTATGATTATCGGTGGCATCTTGTTGCCAGCAGGGATGTTTTGGTTTGGCTGGACCTCAGATCCTCACATTATCTGGGTTCCACAGGTTGTTTCTGGCGGCTTCTTGGGCGCAGGGGTTCTCTTGATTTTCTTGCAGGTATGATGGCCCCAGTATCCCAGTGATTGGCAAGCGGAATCGAGAAAGCCTAGCCGGTCGGTTCAGGTCTTAACTATGATCTTTAGGGACTCAACTATATTGTTGACGTCTATCCGATGTATGCAAACTCGGCGATCGCCGCGAATTCCTTCTTTCGCTCGTGGCTGGCTGCTGGGTTTCCCATGTTTGCCACGGCCCTGGTGTGTTGCAGTCTACCTCTACAGGGATTGCTTGAATCATGCTAATGACCATGCAATGCTAGTTCAACAATCTGGGCATGAGCTGGGCGATGACTTTGCTGGGTTGTCTCACCGCCGCATTGTTCCCTGTGCCCATTATGTTTTTCATCTACGGACCGAAGATTCGATCCTGGAGTAAATTCACTGTGAAAGAGTGAGGCGGTTCGAAATCGATCCGATAGCTTACAAGTCACTAAGGAAACGCTACTATCCTATCATCGTATCCGGTATATTTCCTCGCATAGCGATGGTATCTGGAATATTCGTCAGAGGGCGTTGCAGATGTGAATACCCTCATTCCGACATTGACAGACGCATAATGATCGGTTTGGCAAAGAGATATTCGTTTTCTGGGTCTACGACATTGCCTTTTGTCTGCTCACCCATATTGACTTTCTCTAGGATTCTTTAAAGGTGGGTGATAGCCCGAAGTCCGTTGCTGATGAGCACTCATGCCACTGTTACATGCGACTTCACGATGGATCCACGAGTTACATCGGACTTCGGATAACAGCTCAAATATCAACATGATAAAAGACAAAAATCCAACAAGCAAGGCTCGAGTACTCGTGTCCCGAGGCAAAATCAGTGGCAGTGGTCTCCATCGGCCAGGTCCGATGTGGGGTAGACTACCGCATGGGGAAGAGATGCACTTGTTCTCTGAGGACTAGGCAATCTCTCAATTGACTCTAGACTTACCCCGTCTTTTCGGCAATGTCTCCGTCGTGTTATTGGGGTTCATTAAAGAAATCCGCAACGTCCTGGCGGCACAATTCCACATGCTGGCCCACAGTCAACGAAGAATCCGGGGAAACCAAGATTTTTAGCTAATAATATCGTCTTCCCCAGTCGCACTCGAGCCTCTCTGCTCCACTTCCCCCCACGACCTGGCCCAGTATACCTTCTGTCTCAACTATTCACCAATGGGAGCTATGATGCTCGGTCCGAGGTGCGCCGACCCACGTACTGCTGGGTTCCACCAGAGACACGATCGTCCGGTAGGCGGCGTTCGCCGTCTAATACTGCGAGAGACTGTATATATGAATAATATCTCGAATCCCACATGGGTCTTTGGTGGGGCAATGCTTGTGGCATGAATGCAAAGCATCAGATCTCTGTATTTGCTCTTCTTTGACGATCAATATACCACCATGGCAGAATATTTTGGCCTCCGCGGCCCTTCGCTCAACAGAGCTATCATGTGGCTGGTCGTATGTCCGGCTTTCGTGACTTATGGATACAATCAAGGTGTCATGGGTGGTCTGTTGACCTTGGAAGCTTTCGCCGAGACTTTTCCGCAAATGAACACAATCACTGCGAGTGCAGAAGACCAGACCTATAACTCGACCATTCAAGGTAAGACTGATCTCAAGGTCTCTGGTATGGATCGATACCGTACGATCGGTATCTGCAGGACTGGGTCCCATTCTGATCCATTGTCTCTGCAGGCACGGTGGTTGCACTTTATACCGTTGGTGGAATATTTGGTTCGCTATCGTGCATTCAATTCGGCGATAGGCTCGGTCGGCGCAAGGTCATCCTGTTTACGTCGTTCATCTCGATCATTGGGGCCATTTTGATGGCAACGTCCTTCTCTCTAGCGCAGTTCATCGTTGCACGGCTCGTCCTTGGATATGGAACTGGTGGCTATGTCGCTACGGTGCCTGTCTGGCAATCCGAAATATCGAAGCCAAACAAGCGTGGTGCACACGTAGTAACAGACGGTATCTTTATCGGCGCAGGTATCGCATTCTCTTTGTGGGTCGATTTCGGCTTCTACTTTGTGAAGACCAACTCCGTATCCTGGAGATTCCCTTTGGCTTTCCAGGTCCTTCTTTCTCTGATGGTTATGACCTTCGTAATGCTTTTCCCCGAATCGCCCCGGTGGCTTATCAAAAGAGGTCGCACTGATGAGGCACGGGACATTCTGGCAGCGTTAGAAGATGTCGAGCGAGATTCAGAGCAAATCACTGCCGACATTCGCGATATCGAAACCTCTCTAGCCCTTTCTGGAACTGGTTCCTGGAAAGATATGCTTAAGATGGGTGAACAGCGACTCTTCCATCGCACTGTTCTCGCTTGTCTCGGGCAGATGTTCCAACAGATGTGTGGAATCAACTTGATCACCTTTTATGCCACGACCATATTCCAGCAATACCTAAAGCTCGATCCCCTCCAGTCTCGCATTCTCGCAGCATCAATGTGTCTAACACAGCCGCTGGGTGGCTTGTTAGCTTATTTCACCATCGATCGACTCGGTCGCCGCGTGCTGATGTTGTGGAGTGCTGCTGGCATGTCAATCTCAATGGCGATCCTCGCCGGCACTACTTCCCTCCAAGATAACACGGGCAGCCTTGTTTGCGCGGTAGTATTCCTTTTTGTATTCGAGTTCATTTTCACAGTCGGATACTCCGGCCTGACCTTTTTGTATGCGACGGAGGTGGCGCCTTTGCAGTGCCGGGCATCAATCAGCGCCGTCTCTGCCGCTGCAGTGTGGACGTTCAATTTCCTTCTGGCTGAGGTGACACCAGTTGGCTTCGCTACCATCGACTGGCAGTACTATATTATCTTCGCGGTGTTGAACGCCGCCATCGTTCCGACCGTCTACTTCCTCTTCCCAGAGACGAACGGCCGGACCCTCGAGGAGATTGATGAGATCTTTTTACAGTCGCGCAGTATCTTTGACCCGCCCCGCATTGCACGGTCACTTCCGCCGACACACATTGCCGAGGCGAACAGCGTTGATCTCGATGAGAAAGGTACTGCAAGCTGCGATGAGACTATGACTGAGAAGCCTAATGTTTAAACTATTGACGAACAAACGAATTCATGATTGTGCCTGATTATCGCGCAATGTATATACACAGAATGCCTGCTTGAGCTCCTATAACAATTCGCCATCGTGAGGTTAGCGAACAAAATGTATTGGGAGCTCGATGTTCACCCTGTACACTGCATACTATGGGGTAAATGGGCATTGGGATATCGGTCCGACGAAGCGACCGGCGTTTCTCTTGTACTTGGCACCGTTTCAGGCTATGCTGCAGAGTTCCATCGTGCAGATCCATGGTGTCTTGTTTCCGTGACTCATTAGGGGCGGCGCCTGCCGATCATTTGAAAGCTTTGAATTGCACCAATCCGAGGTGGCAACTTGAGCCTTGATGTTGAAGTAAATCACGTAAATCCAGTAGCGGCTGACTTGGATACTCTTTTCGCAGCGGAATTGCAATATATCGGAGTGCTTTATTTATAGGATTCATGGTCATATGGTAGGATAATGTTGCTAGTTGTTAATTCGTCACATCGAACAACCCCAGGTTTCGTGGTCTCCGTGTTATATCTGGCGAGTTTGGCCTGCCACTGTGGGTATATAATGATGCCCCGGGGAAGGGAGTACATTTTTGGAGTAAGAATATCTTACCTCTGAACTGCCGAGTACAACACCAAATTGCCAAATCCCAAACAATATGCGGTCTCTGACGTGGCTCATCTCCCTATCCGTGGTAGCAGAAGCAGGTGAAGTCCTGTGGAGCGGGCTATTCGACGCCGCTGCGAGCGTTGCTGACTTCGACGAATGCAAGTCAAGCCTGCGTACTCATATTTCTTGTTATTGACATACGGACAGGGTCATGGTCTAATCAGGTCGGCGCATGGCAATGGTACATTCATGGGACAGGTTCCACTGAGGACTACCTGGGTCTGTCGCCCGACTTCAAGAACCCCGACGATACCAGTGATGCCCAGGGTATTCGGATCACAATCGTAGGTTATGACCTGAGGTTCGAAGAGGATAAAAGCTGATTGTGGGCAGGATGGCACGTCCTTTTGGAATGGACAAACGATGGAACGATCCGAAATCATCCCCCAAACAACTGCGGATCTAGGGAATGGCCATCTGTTCTACCATTTTTCATTGCAGACGAGGGAGAAGAATGCACCCAACCCGGGCTTTGAGCATCAGATCGCGTTCTTCGAGGTATCACTCCCATGGCTTCTTCGAGATGACCACAGCTGATAAGTATTCCCGCCATAGAGCCACTTCACGGAACTCAAGTACGGCACCCTGAGCGGCGCGTCGGGTGATGATAACACACTCCGCTGGTGCGTGGGCGGGACGACACATTGGGAAACCGAATTGGCGGCGGGGCAGTGGTACAACTTTGCCTATGACATTGATTTTGACGCGCAGACAGTCGGATTGTGGGCTTCGAACGGGGCAGACGATCTCACGCAGGTTGTTTCGGCTGTCAGTGCTTCGACTTCAACGAACTCGGCGGATTGGCATGTTGGTGAGTTGCGGCTCGATAACGGGGGTGTGGACGCGGCTGCGGAGGATTGGTTCTGGTCTGGTATCTTTGTAGAAGAGGCTCCAATCACAGCTGCGATCGCAGGTCCAGCATGATAACTGTACTTCGTGCTCCATACATGGGGATTGGCTTGATTGGAATGGAATGCGATCGACAGGAGAGCAGGCCTGGGTGCAAACTTGGCAAACTACATGTATCCACTTTGTTCTGGATTGCCCTATGAGATCATACTTCAAACAGGATAATACTCGCAAGTTAGCAGAAAATCAGGTTGAGTCCATAATTAAATCAATTCTTCGTGGGCTGGTCATCCAAATTCGTTTATATGTACAAAAATAGTTTACCGTACACAGTAACCACCGTCAATGAGCATGTCGTTGCCGGTCATGTAACTGCTGGCATCGCTGACCAAGTAGACATAAGCACCCTTAAGTTCCTTGGCGTTACCATTGCGGCCCATAGGGATCATTGAGTTCCACAGATCTTGGATATCTTGGGCGACGAAGTCGGACAACCCGGTGTCAATGTAACCAGGTGAAATGCTGTTAACGCGGGCAAAGTCGCGCCATTCGTTGGCCAGCGACTTGGCGAGGTGGATAGTGCCTGCCTTGGCGACGTTATAGGAGGTCTGTTCCTGAGGGAAGTTGGCGATGTGTCCGGACATCGACGAGGTGATCACGAAGCTGCCGGTTCCACGCTCCTTGAAGTGAGCACCGACTGCCTTGGCGCAGTGGAAAGTGCCTGTCAAATCGGTCTGGAGCACCTCCATCCAGTCGCTCACTGATCCGTCCAGAATGCCACTGTCGGCCGTGCGTCCAGCGTTGGCAATGAACGCATCGATCTTGCCGAATTCTTTAATCACGTCCTTGACAAGACCTTCCACGCTCTCCCAGGAGCCCACGTCGCACTTGTATGCTTTGACTTTGACACCATATTCTTCTGCCAGCTCCTTGGCGTTCTTCTGGCCGCCCTCTGGACGGGAGGCATATGTGATGGCCAGGTCAGCGCCCATCTCGGCACAACCACGGGCAGCTTCGATACCCATGCCTCGAGCACCAGAGGCACCGGTCACGACGACCACCTTGCCCTTGAGGCTGAGGAGGTCGAGCAGGCGGTCGGGCTTGGGGACGGGGATAGGCATGGTTGTAGGTTGTGTTTGGATTGGAGAGAAAGAGGGAGTATGTATATTGAGATCGAGGAGTCAATGCAAATATAAATATTATTGTTATATCCAGTTAACATTTTAACTACCTGGCGCCGGGGTGGCTTAAGTAGGCGTCGCCCCCTCCAATGACTTCATGATTCGGTTATCCGCGCTGACATCAGACAACTGTATAGCCGGGCAGGGACCTCCTGCACCCGGCTTGATCAGGTTATGTGCTGCTTGTCTGAGACGGCTTGGCAGAGGTCCAGTAATAACTTCGAATGACTTCAATGATGATAGTCTTGGTGGAGACGGATGCCGGCGGAGCCGTGACATCATGACTTGCACTCGCCAACGCCTGTCAACGAATATCGTCTCCACGATACATAGCTGGCTTTTTTTGGTCCTTGGATTGACAGGAGGAATAATCACTTGTGCCTAAAGGCAAAGATCTGTGAACGAAATCTTCTGCTCTCAAGAACGTGGTCACTATTCCGGGGACTCTGGATGCGGGATGTCTGGCCCCCACTGTGCCAAGGAGGAGTATACAATCCCGTACTTATGTTGTTGAGGCCATTGGAACAGTATCTCCAGGTATCAAGCAAGCTGCACATCCCAATTCGGCTATCTGAACCCATGGGAATTCTGTGGAGCCTGCTGAACGAGCCTGAACCGAACATTGAGCTATCTCGGAAACGACGGGCACAATGGACTTTTAACCTTGGAATGTCCAGTTGTTGGTCAGCATTGTATAAGAAGCAAAAACAGCTGGCTTTGCATTTTAAGAAGAGGGGGCTTTGAATGCTTTCAATGTCAGTATATTTTAGCAAATGGAAGAGCGAATCCAGGGCTCCCATTCAGCCCGTCCGGGAAAGTAGACCATATATGCAACGATCCTCAGCAGCAAGTACCCTGTATCATAAAAGTTCAATGATCCATTCTGTTGAAGACACAATGCGCTGTTTCCGTCAGAATATATAATCCTATTAACATGGCTACAGGATCTGGTGATTCATTCACCGTGACAGTCATATCGGCCATATCGGCCGTCACCCTCTGTGTGGCAGCCAGCATATTGAAGTCCACACCTTGAGTGGAATAGACTATCTGGATAACCTGTTCATTATTAGACTGTAAAACTATCGCAGTCTACTGATATGGCAGATTGAATTGGAGCAAGACATACAAATGGGTGCTCCCTCTGGCTGTATGGTTCATGTGAGTCGCGGTGAACTCATTCTGCTTTTGTTGCGATAATAGCAATCTATCATAGATCAGTTATAGCAGCTCCGCCAGCTGGGCGTTATCACACTGGCAATAATTACATGGAGCAACGCTTGCATGTCCAGAATGAGCCCTTTCCCAACTTGGAGTGGGCGACGACCTCGTGAGATGTGGGCGCTGCGTTCTGGCCGCCCATGCTCCTGCGACTAACTGAATGATCAGATCGCACACCTGAATACTTTGTTGCATATTTCATCTTATTAATATAGCCCTGTCCTTTAGCCTTTGCCCACCAGCTTGCCACACTCATCGTTACCCGATTGTTCGGTGGGGGCTTCTTTGGTGTCGATCAACATGGTCAGCGGCGTTTTCAGCCATGTCTGGTATGGTGATAAGGTTGGAGCCTACACATGCTCCTGGTTGGATTTCCTAGCGTTGCCAGGTTTATGTTAGGCCTGTTCATCGTATCGTCGATCTATGAGGTTCACAAGAGTAGCCCATACAGATGTGGGATCTTATTTCTCTTCTTCTCCGTCCAGCGGACTTTCACCAGTAACTAAATACGACTGGGGTATCTTCCAAACTGGTTTAGCTCAGCTACCCAGCTCGCTTGTTGCATTGATAGGCACAGTCTTCAACCGGGTGCGAGATTGGATTTATATCTCATCCGCGAACCGAAATCAAAAGCGTCCCGGAAAGCCTAAGTCGGAGGTACGGCTGTATCATATATACCTGGTAGTCTGCCTTTCGCTGGTAGATTTTTCTGGTACGGCTAGGCCAGCGTAGACAATGGGTATACTTATTGGATTGTGCCCGCACTGGAAATTGGATGGATGTACTGTAACCATGATTTACTCCATTTACATGGCCCCTATCAACATCAGGTAACAAATTCACCAATTCTATTTACTATTCAAACAAACTTCAAATATGAGTCTTAGTGCTATGCAAGTCTATTGAGATGTGAAAACAATCTCTCCCAAGCCACGCAGTTATGTACTGGAGGAAGGACGTGATGTGAATGAGACCTTTGCGATGCCTAGGAAGATCGCGACACGTACGTGAATACCATGGAGTCACTGTCCCCTAACCTTGTTCGTTTACCTCTTTCGTTTACTTCTTTCATTTCCTTCTTTCACCTTCACCCTCCCTTCCCCACAATCACGGCGAGGCCTTTCCATCTCATTTGTCTTGCATCTACGATCAGTAACTGCTTTCAGTCTAAGGACTTCATCATAGTCCGCAGTAAGAAGACACAGAACTGACCTTGTCTAGCATGAGCGTCAACGCGAAAGACACGGAGATACCTGGGCTTCCGGATGAAATCCCAGGTGTCCGTCTCATCGGACCGTTCCAACCTCCTGGTGAATGGGCGGATTATGTGATGAGCCTGTGCTGTGACCTCTCGCAGAAAGAGCCCGATCTCATGACCAACCTTCTCCGCTACCTGTGCTCGCTGCCGTTCGCCCGTGAGCCCGTTGTCCATGAGCATCGGATGTGGCAGCCGCGTCAGATGAACACTCTCCTGAGAGCCAATGTGGCCAACATCGAGGCCTTTCTCATCCAGACTGTGGGTGACGTTGCGGAGTTTCCGTGTGTTCAGTGCGCAAACCAGTTTGGTCCAATGGTCCTTTGTGTCAGTCTCCCCGACACACCCAGCGCTGTTTCTTGTGCCAACTGCCATTTCGGTGGCCTCGGCAGTCGGTGCTCATTCAACCCCTCGCCCTCCGCGCCGAGCCCGATCAAAATCGATGAGGCCTATGGGCAAGGTGCCTCCGCCCCTCGAGGTACTGCGATTGACCTTCTACTTGGGAAGCGAGCTGAGATTGCCCACAATCTTGAAGAACGCGAGCATGTTGAGTACAACTTGCGTGAAACTTTGGCTAGTATGCAGGAGACTCTGAAGGCACTCCGTCGGACAATTAACGAGATGCATCGGGGCATCGCTCATGATCACGCGCACGCCGCCTCCATTGACAATGCAATCGAGGCTTTCTACCAGCAAGCGGAGCAGGATACCGACCTGCAGATCACCAACTTGGCGCCGGAGGGCAATTCTCTGTTCTGATTCTACAACCTGAGATTGGAAGGAGTGGGTCGCCAACTTTGTTGAATGGAGTTTTCGAACCCATGGGGATATTTGAAGGCTCACGGGAAGGATAAATTTGAGTGAAGGATTGAAATGGTTCGACATCTTACTCTATGTTCACGCAGCTAGGGAATTTACCAGTTGATGCATGAAATTTGATCCAATACCTACTCCGTAAATAATCCACGATAGGTTTTGAGTGCAGGCTAAACACTCATAGTCAAAGCCCTAGTATGCTCCTTAGCATGGCAAGAGCTCCAGGGTAGTATGCAAATTCAGTAGCAAAAAACGACGCATTTGGCCGCTACGTTGGTCATTGAGATATTTAGACCGCCATCGTGTGGAGATTGGACTCGCCATTTTCAGCAAGGTAAGGAAGACAATCTTTGTAACATCAGGAAGGACGACACACTACCCAGCACAGAAGATGAAATCGGATTCCATCGTTGAGGTCCAGTCCGAAGGTGAGGAGGTCTGATGCTCCGCCTAGCCAGCACGAAGCGTCGCAATGCTTCCACGGACCTTGTTTCCAATTTATCGCAGACGACCCGTCTACTTGATGTGCTATTTGCCGAAATTGATTAAACTCGTGGGCCGCAGTTTGCCCACGTCTACGATCGAAGCAGAGGTGACGGGCCGTCAAGCACGCCTGTGACGGTGACGGAGATGGGCGGAAATTGCTGCCAGCCAGGTGTAAGGCAGTGAATATGCAGGAACACCCGCGCTGTATCTATCTTAGGATGGTGTCTTTTACTATAATGACACGCGGCGGGTGACAAGTATGACAGGGCATTGAGAGTTATACATCTAGGCCATCCCAGCTCTGATGTCGACTCCCTGGGACACCATCAACACAATTGTGTCTCTTTCACAATGGTTCAGCTCTTTAAGCGTCTCACCATCACAGCCGCGTTCTTGGCAGCTCCTGCAATCGCTTCTCCGGGAGAAAAGCATGATCCCCATGTCCTGAAGTGTGGGATTTATGGCCGGGACGCCATGGCCACCCATGCAAAGCGTTCTCTCGGTGGTTGCAAAAGCACTTGCATGCCCGTGAGCTGAAAAACGCAACATCGCTCGTCGCTCTCACACTGTCCAAACGCTTCATCGGCCTCGCGGCATCTCGCACAGTAAGTCGGGTCTTTGGTTCTTCCATTCATAACAAAGTCACTGAAATGTACCAGGCTCCCCAAAAATGGCGCCCCGACCTTGCTGCCCTCGAAAGGGGGGGGGACTTCGTGGGACAGAACTTCAAGGAGGAGCTCTACTCGGATGGTCCAGATGGCCTTTTCGAGGTGCTGTACATTCATATCAACACCTGCAAGCCCGTGTCCGATTGCTATATTGGAGATCTGGCAGGCCAGTGCCACCGGCGTGTACAGGTTAGTTTCTCCTTCGGCGTACTCTAGCAGATCAAAGTCCATCTAATCTCTGTACAATGAATAGTGGAATCCCATAGTCAGGGGCTAGGCTGCTAACGCCTGGGATTCAACCTACCTCCGCGGCACACAACAGACAAATCGCGACGGCGTGGCGAATCCCCAAACCATCATTCTAGGTCACTACGAGGGCCCTCCTTACACGCCTCAACCCAACCCTCCTCTCCCATAAGACCCCCGAGGTCGACATCGGCATCGTCTTTCATACCGGTTAGCTCTTCTGGAACTAGCTGCTCCGCTCTGCTTTGGAGGGCACATAGCCCTATAACACCAACACTCAGAGCATCACCTCCAACACCGAGGGTATGTGCAGTATTGAACAGGCTGACAGCACCTATGATCCCTTCTCAGAATATCTCTCCCTCGGTGATGGGTTAGATGATGGATTCTTTGCTTCGATTCAGATTGGAATCAACGCGCCTGCTGCTTACACGGGTGCCACGTACCACGATGCGGATGATGGCCAACAAGACTCGGATAGTTTGTTTGGCAGTGGTGCTGGTCTCAGTCCCGCGCCCAGTGGTTCCGGTATTCCCTCTAGTGGCACTAGAGCCTTTGGCCCTTCGCCTACTGCCTCTGCCCGAAAAGATTGAGGGAAGTGAGATTTATGATGTGGCCATCCTACAAGTATTTTTTGTCGCACACGTCTTCGTCTTTTTAGATCGTTTTATAGGAGGCGATCGTGGTTTAAGTACTTTCCTGGAACTATCATTTCAACTCTTGAGCTTATTCACTATCAATATATTCCGAACGAGTCCTCAAAACTCCTCAAGTTTTCAATCAGTGGCAAAACGATCAGCTGAAACACCTCTTCTTGCATTTTCTCGGTTTCCAAGCTTGTTTCTTTTCTGTCATGCCATGAAAGACACCGGTCAACCACGTCTGCATACTCCGGCCCACTTAACTCTTCCACCTTCGGCAAAAGACGAGTTGCTGTTTTAAGATTCGCATGTGCCTCGTTTTGGTCCTCGTCCTCGGGTCTGCGATCGGATTCCAGGTTCTTGCATAGCGACAACTCAACGAGAACAAGGCCAAGGGGGAAAAGAATTTGGTTCCGGACCAGTGTGGGAGAATTCTGACCCTTCCGGACGCTTGGGTCATCAATATTCTCACCTACATTCCAAGGGATATAGATGTCGCCGATTCCTTCTATATCCTGTGGGTCAAACATGAGATCCCGTGGTCTCCAATGGTTCTTCAACCAGCTTCCATGAAATTGAAGAACACTGCACGCGAGGTTCACGGCTATTCGAAGCCGATCGAGCTGACTAAAAAAGAATTTCTCGCTTGTTTGACTTTCCGAGGACCGACAAGATGCGGTGATCAGATCCTCCAATGACTGTGAGCTTAAGCCTCCACCAACATTTCGGATGTAAGTGATATTGTGTCTATGGCTCTCATCTGAAAGCCACCCTAGAGCGGTCTGGCTCCCTTGCTCGGGTATCACAGCCGATATAGCAGCGCAAATATCAACAATTGGAGGCAGCTGGGGTCTCGAGCTCCTTGGGAACTCACACGCCGTTTCAGGTGGAGCAAATTGCACTGTTTTCTTCTTATGGTTTTGAGGCGTATTGTGTCCTGCATGGCCAGAGTGACATATATGCCGGACGCCGATGCTGGATTGAATGATTTCGGATTCCGCAGCAAGCTTATAGCTCTTTGTGAGAGAGCTGACACAACCTGCATCGGCAGCGGAGATCGAGGTCAAGACCAGGTCAAAGCAGGGATTTGCGGACGCCTCAGTGGATGTATCGAAAGTATCAATGTACGGGGTATTCAACACAAAGTGAACTTTGTGACTCGCTTTGCATGGGCAGTTCCAACATTTTCCTCGAATAATGGTCTTGTGCAAGCTGTGTGCCGATTTTCGAGCTTTCCTGTACCGCAGAAGAGGACGTTTGGAGGCTATTCGTCTTCTTGGTTGATTTCGATACTCGGACTGCTTCAGTAATGTGTCGAGAATGGTATTCGCGGTGCTGATTCGGTGAAGCAGGTCGGCATATATACTCTTGGAGAAGATGTCTCGGAATTTTCTAACCTCTCTTTCCAGTATTGATGCATCTTTCCAGATTGTCTATTGATAGAGGAATGCGTCTGTTAACAGGACGATACGTTATATAGGTCGCAAGGTGAATTAAAATCATGACATTTCTGAACATACCTCGGCAGATGACACCTGTTCAATTATGAGCCTTCTCTTCAGATCTTCAAGCTGGGAAGAAAGCTCTCCCATTGTTTTTGTGAAGGGCCAATAACTTCTTTCGAGTTTCCTTTCCAATTTCTGCTGGAGCTCAGGCCTCTTCCAAGCTTCGCCCGATGGGTTGTTGATCAAATCGTCAATGCCATCTTGGTATTCAACTACTCCATCGAGGGTTCGTTCGAGCGTATTCAAGAAGAGTGCATGCTGAGTTCCAATGTTTGTGAAATATTCATCCAACTGTTGGCGATAACGCCTTGCTCGAAATCCCTTCAGTGTTTGAAGACCCTGGACATAGTTGTCGAGCTGGCTGAGTAGAAGCGGGAGGATAGCAAGAGCAAGGCCAGCTGCCTCCATGATGACCTTGACTACTTGTTCATAGTAGCCAAGGAGGGAATCTAGAAGCAAGTTGAGAGCAAATGGCGCCCTCTGTGCACCTTCTTTGCTATCTCTCTTCATGGGAGGGGCAAGATTGCTTACCTGCAGCTTCACTTCATCTACCCCGCAGGTATCCTTGTCAAGTCCATAGAGCAACCGACACGTCACAGTGGAAGAAGCAAACATACGATGTATGTAATCCCTACTACATATGTGCTCCAGAATGATGGCATCTGGGACTATCTCATACAAATAATAGCTCCATTCTGTGATGAATTCTTGGCGTTGATTGACCCCTCCCTCGATCATGAGCACCATTGCTGCAGTAGCTGTCTCTTGTCTCAAGAAGCTCAAAGTGCTACTATCCTCTAGTGAATTACAGCACTATGACTCTGAAGTTCGGCAATCACGATGGCAGGATGAGCTTGGGCGCCTGCGTGTGTGGGCTGCGAATATCGGTGCCCACCAGACAGGGAATTTGTCGCTTGACTATCGACTGCGAGATGCATCACATATCAAGGATCAAACTCTTCGTGTTCTTAAAAGGCTAAAGCGGACCTTGGATGATCTACAAGACACCTTAGATGAGCCTGCTATTCCCGATGACTTTTCGGGTTCAGAGGATGAGTATGAAACGGAGATACAATTGGTCTACCATGCTCTGCACGATACAATCAACAATTTGTTCCAAATATCAATGGCAATCCGAAGGTGAGACAAGTTCGAATGTCATATCGAATAGAAGTAATTGTTTTGAATCCAGGCCCGCACAGCACGATCGACTTTCAGGGACCAGAAGGGCAGACACCATAGTCTTCGAGGCTTTCGACAAGCAGCATGCTGCAAACAAATATCCAAACTCAGATCCAGTGATCCTGGAACGTCTGGGATTGGCGATTTCCCAGCGTCGAGCGATACTTCGTTATCGTGAACGACACTCCAAAAAGCTTGGCCAAGGTCTCGGGACAGTGCTTGATGATCAGTCAGAAACACAGTCGGCCAAAATGTCAGAAACTATTGTGACCGAGTTGTGTGAGCAGCCTAATGCACAGCAAGGGTTTGATAGCCAGTCTGTCGTTTCGCAAAGTTCATATGCGCAAACGCTTTTACATGGTAGCGAGGGAATGGTGGTTCCGCCACCCCCCGCAAATTCGGCGGATGGAGCTCCATTTGAATGCCCCTACTGTTACAGAATAATCAGTAATGTGGGTAAGAACAGCTGGGCTCGACATGTTTTCCTCGATCTCTCGCCGTATATTTGCGTCTTTCATCATTGTCCGACACCTCAGCGTTTGTACGAAAGCCGTCGAGAATGGTACTTTCATTTGCAGAGTCAGCATTCCGTGGGAAGTGATCCTGCTGATGGTATATCGTGCCCTTTGTGCTTGCTTTCTGTTCCAGGAGGAAAGCAGTTCCAGAAACATCTCGCCTGTCATTTAGAAGAGTTGGCCCTGTTCGCGTTACCACGCCGTGAACCAGAGGAGGACCCCCATCTATCCCAAGCAGAGTCAGAGGAAGCACCACCACATGACTCAATAACATTGAGTGATGGACAAAGCTCTCATTACAAATATTATCAGTTACAAGGCGATGCCGACGTCGATGAAACGAGGTTTGAAGCTTCGGAATCTGGGTCTTGGGAACTTTTTGAGCCAGAGAATCTCGATCAATCTCGTTCCCATGATAATCCCGGAACCCCCTCCGATGATAGGCTCGACGGCGGATACATAGGCCATAGAACTAGTCCGAAAGCACATGCGATCATGATGGAGGAGACCTCTCCCGATGGGAAAGTTCCACAGGCTGCAAGGCAAGGCCAAGAAATTGACGAAGGATCAACGAACAAACCCCAGCTTGATGATTCGCAAGAACTAGCGAATATCGATGGCTCCCATCGTCCGCTACCGATAAAATTGAAAGACGCAATTGGACGAAAATTCGCTTTCCCTTGGGAGCTCTGCCGAACTTGGAGTGTATGATTCTTTTTGAAAGAAATTCTGGGCTCGAGATCAAAGCTAACGAAAAGCGTCATTGATTAGGGTATGGAAGAACTCATCAGACAGGCATTCTTGCACATTGAGATCATAGGTCCTCATGTAGCTGAGGGCCATTACGATCTTGTCGGCCCAAAAGGCGATATTATCCTCCCGCAAATCTGGGAAACGCTTGTCGAGCCTGGCTGCGATATCACGATGCACATGTGGCCTGTTCCCGAGAGCCTAAAGGAATGCTCCCCTGCTCACTCGCCTGTGGAAGTGAAAAAGAAAGCAGATGGTAACAATCCCCCTCTCAAACTACCCTTGAGTTCCGCGCTTACGGTTCCACTAGATCCGAAAAAGACCAAGAGTAGAGGCCCACCAACGCCTGGTAGTTTTGCAGAGTGGATGTTGGGCGGTGCGAGCCGGCGTGGTAAAAGGGGCCTAAAAATGGAAAAGCTCGAGTCTACTCCTCCAGCACGTGAGCCATAACGATATAGTCAAATTCATCTCCTATACCTTTCCCCTTGATTTAGAAAGGACTGGGTTGGTTTGACATAACGCTTCGTTCGTACATATCTCCAAAGCCACCGAATTATCATGATCATGACGATGGTGATCAGCTCATCTGCCCGCTCTAGTTCGTTCTTCATACATGCTACTATGCAAGATGGCGTCCCAAAGCCAGATTTGACAACAGCTCACGGTGTTGCATCCCTAGTATACAATTCCACCCTGAAAGGTAAGGCCACAGACCGGCCGGCAGTGCAAACAGGACAAAGTAAATTGTAAGTAGGGAGTAGAGCCAGCTGCCAAACGCACCCGGGGGTCCAGAGCTGGCCTCGGCAAACCTGGTACCTGGCCACTGCGTAGTGCGTCCTTAGTCGAAATGGTAAGCTACATACATGCCTCGAATCCGGGGGATCTGATAGTGATATACACACAAGGTGCAGCCTTGAGGTAGCCTATCTACTTCAGGTAAGATCTCCGATGGCGCATCTTTGGGGAAGGACCTCGGCAGCTGGATGCGGAAGGTGCATTTATGTTCAGCGACCAATCGGGCTTACTCAGCACTCTTTTTAGGGGGAAATCTGAGCGATCTTCCTCCGTAGAGATGCCTCGGTTTAGGCGTGGACAACAAACACATGATGGACCGAATTTCAAGCCCAAGTTCAACTGTGAATAAGAGATCGAAAAAATCTCCAAAAGAAAAATACATTGCCCAGGGGTTCATGGCAGGAGGTGGGAAAATATGTAGAGGCCATTTCGTCCACGAACTCGGAGTCCACAATGCACGGAAATTACTGCCCCTCGTCCACGTTGCCGGGGAATGAAGCCGAACGCGAGAGATCATTTCCAATCAAATCTGCCCCTACGGAGTAAGCGGTTTACCGTTGGCGACCCTCGAACCTCTGCGAGGACGAATGCGGCTCCTCTCCCGTCCGGCTGAAACCCCCATCGGCCGACTGCTACAAAATGGCCGGCGCCGAGTCCTGAAGAAGCGAGGCCCGTAAAGCAAAACCCTATTGCGGCACAATTAGTATCTTGCTATAATTGCGTACCTATGGGTATCAAATATTCGTTGCAGTTAATGAAGGCGCTGGAATACTCTATTACAACCAAAAAATCACTCACGCCCAAACTGCTGGCGCTTTGGTTCGTCTTGCTTGCCGATCAATCGAAATCAGTCTTAGTCCGAAGATCAAATACCCAATTTGCTCTCACCAGCAAGACATAATTCATTAGTTGTTTTTTTTTCGATGTGGTTCCCTTCTCCGCGTTTGGTGTCCACTTTGGGGAGGTCTAGAGCAAACGTTCAAGATTGGCTCAAAACCACAATACCCGGCCATTGGGATCTTCAAATAAAACCAGATGTCGCTACGACGCAATTCTCCTCTTTGATTCTCTTTGATCTTCGCTTTCTTCCAGTGTGGAAGGGACTCCCATGCCCTCTGCTCGTTCATTATGGATCCGGATGGTCAACTCGAGACCCTGAAGGACGCCCATTTGGATGAAAGCCGTAACAAGGCTATCTTGATTGTCACTTCTATTTTTTTGGCCATTTCGCTGTTCAGCGTCATCCTGAGATGCTTTGTTCGCACACACATTGTTCGTGCTTGGGGCTGGGATGATGGAACTATGGTAGTGGCTATGGTGAGTGCTCTGTAGCTGTCGCACCATAAACAACAGCTAATCGAATTCAACCCAGATACTTAACATTGTCTTCGCAGTCAGCGGCATCTTTGGATGTAAATATGGTATCGGGAGAACATTGGATTATTTCGCTTTACACCCGGATGACTATCCGCGCGCAATGCTGGTATGATTCACAAACTACCGTCCTATGTTCCTCAAACCCCAAACTCACACGTCTCCAATAGTGCTGGTGGATAGCTCAGCTGTTCTACGTTTTGACCTGCGTCGTCGCCAAAATCTCCATCATCATCGCCCTCCTCCGCATCACGGTCGATCGCATCCACGGATACATCCTCTATGCCGCCATGACACTCGCTACTGCCATTGGCCTCGTGTTCTTCTTTTTCACCCTGTTTGAATGCACCCCGATCAATTATTTTTGGAACCACACCAAGCCTACCGCAAAGGGCAAATGTGTCGACCCAGATGTCCTCATCGGCATTGCGTACCTTTACAGTGTCGGCGCGGCCGTCACGGATTTGACGATTGGATTACTTCCGGTGGCATTGATCTGGAACTTGCGCATGAATCGTCGCACTAAAGGTGCCATAGTCGGTATTTTAGGTATTGGTTGCATGTGCGTGGCTTTCCTAGCTCCTTGGTTTTTAATCTGTATGGTGGCAAACGCTAACATCCCTGCAGTGCGAGCGCGGCTGTCATTGTTCGAATCCCCTTTGTCCCTAATTACAAAGATAAAGAATTCTTATGTATGTGTCTTGTTTTTCACTTCTGCCCTTGACTAAAGCCCCGCTAGCTTGAAACAACAAGTCAGCTAACAAACCGCAGACAACACCTACCAAATCTCCATATGGTCCAATGTCGAAGCGGGTATCGGCATCACCGCAGGCTGCCTAACAACCCTCCGCCCCCTAATCCGCTTCCTCCGCGACGGATCCTCGTCGAGCCACAGCCAGACACCGCACTCTTTCCCCCTGTCCACTAAGGTCGCCGGTTTCCACCGCTCCCCGCACTCAAAGCAGATGTCACGTGAGGATTCCCGCCAGCTCTGGACTGGGAGGGGGAGCGACGAGTATCACGGTGTCACGACGACGATCATGGGTGCCCAACCTAAACCCACGGGTTCCAAGGAGGATCTCAATCCGAATCATAGTGCCCGCCATGTCCCCGGATGGAAAGTGGAGAGGTCGGTTCGTCTGTCCGTGCGCAATTCATGAGCCTCGGTTGTGGTTTTCATGTAGAATATTTATGATCGAAAATGCGAAATGCCCGGTGCTTTGATATTCCAGTCACGCTCATTACTCCCTACTCCAAGATCTCTTCATGTTCTCTTCAAGAATACGAAAAGTGCGATCAAGGTTTGTATGCAGGGGTAGCTCGTATGGGCTGTTACGGGAAGGATCAACAAGCCCATGAGTTGGTTGGCTTGCACGGGACGATCTCTCTTTCGTACATGATTCCCCAGGTCGAAGGTATGATCAACGCGTCCATAACATCCGGTACATATACGATACTCGCTGGCAGCCTGTATATTCAATTATGGCCCACTACGAGCTGTCTGACACATGTCCGGTGTACGGAGTAGGCAAAACGGTTTAATTGCTCCAAGCCCTAAATTACTATTGCCAGTGGGCCAATCTTGGCAAAGGACGCCAGAAAGGACTATTCCGTACGGAGTAACGACTTTGACTCATTGCCCAATTTTTTAGTCGTTTTGATCTCGCACTAGGAGCCTCGTTCACGAATCACAGCTTCCATGCTTTTCGCCAGCACTTGCCTATCCTGCGTGAAGATCCTCACAGCTTCAGCTCTCCTTCGATTGCAACCATTGCGAACAGCCAAACATGACTGATTTATATTCTTCCCTAACACAAAAGGAACTAGTGAGTCTGAGTCTCGGTCGGTGATTGAAATCAAACTAAATTTTTCAAATACGGCTATAGCCATGGCTATGCTAAAACACGCTTAGTCCATTCATAAATGGCATCATACATAATCAATCTCGCTATCATTACGTTAATTTTGCTCCCGGATTTCCTCGGCCTTCTCGGTGACAAGACCCTCCTGCGACGAAGATGGCCTAACTGCATAGACATCCACCTTAGTCGACGCGAACTTGCGCGCAGAAACCTTGGTGGCAAACAGAATATCTAGCTCGGCATAGGTACGGTCCTTGGGCTCTGGCAGACGGAAGAATGCCCAAACGAAGGCGACGAGAGCAGTGACACCCCAGAAGAATCCAGTCTTGCCGGCTGCGTTCCACGCTGTCGGGTTCATGAAGTATGGTGATAGAACCTGGGACACAACGTTGATGATCTGGTATGCTGTGCGTGCCAGGCAAACTGTCAACGGGCGCAGGCGGATCGAGGACGACTCGGAGACAATGGCATATGCGATCGGGCCGACGGTCAGGGAGTATGTGAACAGCCAGCAGAAGCATAGACCGGCTTGCGCCCACATCGCACCGTTACTATGAGGTGCTGATGCGCTCAAGATGCCGATGAGGAAGAGAACGCCGGACAAAGTGCCCATGCCAGTGACATACAGTGTGCGACGGCCAAATCTGGTGATCAAAAACCAGGACAGAAAGGTTCCGACGAAAGCGATACCTGTGCAGCCAACGCCGAGCTGGAAGGAGTGACTTTCGTCCATGCCGGCTTGAGTGAAGAAATAAGTGGGCGAGTAGGCGAATGAACTACCGGACAAAATCTGGCCGACGAAAGTCAGGCAGCAGACCTCTGTGCGGCGCAGGTCAACACCCTTGAAGCACTCCCAGTAGGTTGTTCCGGCTTCAACCTCGGCTTCGATCTTAATTGTGTGAACCATCATCGCCAGCTGTCCGTTGATCTGGTCTTCGGTCTTGCTGCCGCCCAGTCGGCGGATACTGCGCTTCGCATCATCTAGTCGGTCCTTGCGAACGAGCCACCAAGGACTCTCGGGTGCAAACCAGCAGACCACCATCAATGGCACTGGCCAGACCCATTGCAGGGCGAAGGGGATGCGGTAGCCCCATTGGTCCAAGCGCTTGACAAGTCCATAGAGGACACCCGAGGCAATCAGTTGACCGATAGCCCAGCACATGTTGACGTAGACTGTGAGGTAGCCGCGCAGGTTGGTTGGGCAGACTTCGGATGCGTACGCGGGTCCGATGGTGGCGAAGACTCCCCACGAAAATCCGCACAGAATTTGGCCGACTAGCAGTACGGCCGCGGAGCTCGCGAAGAATGTGATGAAAATGAAGGCTGTCAGGAAGATGAGGGCAACCATCATGACGCGACAGTAACCATACTTTGACGCACAGTATCCGTTCAAGATACCACCTAAACTCAGGTAAGTGCTTGTTGTCACACAGAATAGGCGGAGTTAACTCACCGAAGATACAGCCCACCGTACTGGCCATGTTCAAACCAGTCTGCCAAGGCGTAGAGACCTGCCATCCAATGTCACCGCCATAGTCCTTTCCATACTTGTGTCGGAACGCAGGTAAGGCGAAGAAGTTACCCATTAGGATGGTATCGTATCCTTCCATGACGATGGACATGGAAACCAAAACAGACCACATCACGGCCTTGCGGTTCTCCCGCAAAGCCTGCATCAGTGTCTGTGAGTGCTCGTCGTCGGTTGCCTGCTTGGCCTCATGGATGGCACCGATACCAAGAGTATCTTCGACATGGTTGGCGGCAGACTTCTCCAAAGCAATTGCAGTATCATTAGTTGACGCCATGGTGAACAGAGGGGCACAGGTGATCGTTGGAGTTGATCAATTGCGCTGTCCTACAAAAGCTCACCTAGCCCTGGAGGGGGACGTCGTCTATATACATGTTGCGCCGTCGTCCAAAAGACTGGACTGCTCCACTTGCATTAGCTTCCATCCAGGGTTGTGGAGAAAGGAAGGGCAGCTCAGAGGCAAATCCCCAGACATCGTCAGCCCATCTGGCATTCAGGCTAATATCTTGCGGGACAAAAGGTAAACCCCAGGATCCGGGTCGTCCAACTTGCTTGCCACAGCTTCTAGGCCAACTTGAGAAAGGCAGACAGGGTGGTGGTCGCAATTTTACACCTATCAGCTGTAAGCACCCCGAGTGATAAAATTGCGGGAGACATTCAGCCGTTAATCGTGCTAGTGTCTGGGGAAGCGAGGTTGGGGAATACGAGAAGACACACTGATTGGTGCCCATCGGCCGGGGTTGACGCCTCCAGAAACGACAAAATGAGGCTATACCCTTTGTGTCACGGGAACCTCAGCCGCGCCCGATCCCCGGCAATGGACACGACAACACACTCAGAGCAACGCCAGTCTCTCCCCATGAATTCCTCGAAAAGGTCAGATGCCTTCTCAATTTTATGGGTCGTTCGGGGCGGGGATGGAACTAGAAGCCAATCGGGTAATATCCAGTGCTTTCTTCCCCATACCCGTGGACATCACCCGATGTTCGCCCTGGGGTTCAACGGTTTTCCGCCTGTCAGATTGTCAGCTTGGGAACAACTTCTAATTTTTGGGTCATCTTGCATTTCCTATGATGCTTGATCATGTTTAGTGCAGAGATCTTCATCTTTGGGACAGGGATCTGGGCCATTTTTCGCGTTTCCCAAGTCCCCAGATATCAAGCTAAACCTCACTTTCTATATTTTGGCCGACATCCGAAGCTGGGTTTTCTCTTTTTCCGTTTTGACTTAGCGTCTCCTTGGCTAGTGATCCTCTTTGATTGCTAATTTCTTGCCGCCGCCAAAAACCTCCATGCTAGTCTACTACAAGCGAAGCTCCGCCTATCAGCTGCGAGTCACCCAGAGCTTGTCGAATGTCTGATCAACGAGGATAAATAGACTGATCTGGTACTCATTACTCTGTACATGGCAGCTTTAGGTTGGGGTATGCCTTGGCTAAGCATGCTAATCGAGCTCGTGGCTTTTCTATTTTTCTATTTTTCTTTTCTTCTTTTTTCCCCCAGAATACATCCCACGCGCAATGCGCCTTTGACGCATGTTACAAATAACTGATACATGAGATATCAACTGCGATTCTGCATACGGGGGGTGTAATCATGATGGTTTCATGGAGATTATATACATGGATGCCATAGGAGGCCATATTCCAAGCGCAAGTTTATAGTCACGAGTGGGAAATATACATTCCATCCACGGATAGCCGGTTCTCAGAAATAGAATAGCCCCTTCGGTTCAGGATCATCAATGGTTCCCCTCTACTTCAGGTATCATCAATAGCATGCCATAGTGGTATACCATGTCGCAAAGACCCTCGGTGGTGCCACCCCAATTGATGGTGGATGGAATAGAGACTCTGCATTTTCCCGACACCACTATCACTGTAGCCAATATTACCCATAGTTTCCGACTAGTCCGATCGGGGTACATGGTAGATCGAATTCAGTATTGGCTATATAACAAGATGTACACCATCTCGACCACACGATATTGGAACATACGATGAGGACTCACGCTTTCTATGCACCAAATTATACACAAGCAATCCTTCCCCACGCAGGCTGGTTCCAAATCCTAGTTCTTTGAAGGATTGGAGCTTCGGAATGCGTGTATCTGAGTAGAAACGGTGGAGGTTCATCGACACCGCCAGCACACACACGGCATCAATACTCATATCAGAAGCTTTTCTGTTACATTTTCTGAACAGTAATACTTCAGAAGAACAAAAGGTTTTTATTTGGGGATAATTTGAAAATAGGATCTGGATGTGGATCGGGCGCACGATTATATAAAATGGAAGACTGCCATTGAGTCCACCGACACACGAGTAATTACAAGTCCATTACTTTTTGGAATGTTCAAAGAATTCATTCAATTTCAAAGGGCCTTTGACTTACATCTAATTCTTAATTATCTAGGTTTGTCAATGTGACTTTAATATAGGAGCTGACATTGAATTAGGGTTGAGTTTCAAGGTTGCCTACGGGTATCTAGTTCGGAGGAACTATGAAATGTGCTCATGTAGCCATCATTTGCTGCTGCTTCCATCAACCAGCCAAGTGGCCGAGCAGTAACTCAGCCATCACATCTTCCTTGGTCTAGTGGTGATGATTTCCGCTTGTCATTAACACCGATAAGCGCGGGAGACCGGGGTTCGATTCCCCGAGGGAGAGATTTCTTTTTGCGGATTGATTTTTCGTATGTGGAGACAGATTTGTGCTAAGAACGGAAAGTGGACAAATCATAGACGTTTGTTCAGAAGCTAGAATGAGCCCCTGCGCAAGGATACCTAGATCCTTTGAATTGTGTTGATGAGACGCGGATGAAGGGAAACCGGAGATAATATCAGAAGTAACTACAATGTATTCCGGGACATTACCTGCTGAATGCAGGGGCTATTTCAATAATCTTAGAATTTGATGGCCTCTCGCACTGCCTATCAATACTTTACAAAAAGCGGCTGGAGATATCCGGAGAGTTAGTCTCAAAGCTTCAATTTATATCGGGACGTATTCTGGGTCACAATGGACTTCTCATCTTGGGGCTCTATGCTGTCAACTGACGTGGTATTCAGTATAGTAGGGGTCCAATCAAGGGAGTTGAAATCTCTGTATTTCTGTATCCACTATTCTAGCAGGAAATATGACTATCTGACTAATATCAAAAATACTGCGTGGACAGGATAAACTAAACTTCCGGTATGCCGATCTCATTCTCCGACACACCCCCTCAGCTAGCCCAGTATGGTCTAGCTACTTCCTACACCTAAGTCGGCATGCTATTTCTCTCCCTTTGTTGATCAAATAACCTATACTATTAACTAGCTCCTACTATTAGATAGCTTATATCTATCATCCTTAACATTTTGAGGAAAGCTTCATACTTTTACCTAGTAAGCAACTTTGTGAGTCCGTCTATAGCTATACTAGCTATCGGCACCTATTTCACCTTAATTCTTCCTTCCCTAACTTCCTATCTAAGCTAGTGCCGATAAATATTAATATATCGTAATTTCGTCTCGAACGCTATATCCTCGCTAGTTAGAAGACTAATAGTACGCTAATTATCGTAATTAATACTTAGTTAATAGGAAGAGATAAAACCGAGGGTATTAAGAAGTCTACGCTACTATTATAGCTATTTTATAGTCTCTAAGAGACCGAGAAGCTTAGCTTTAGTGGTAGAGGTAGTAACTATAGGCTACTTACTAGCTTTCTAGTCGACTAGTCCGCTATATACCTAGTAGATATAGCTAGCGGAGCTCTTTCTATTAGGATAATCCCTATATAAAGTATTACTAGCGAATTATATAGAGTCCCTTTCTATATCTAATTCTACGCTATATTTAATAGCGAGATAGCGGGTAGAATTAAGGTAGGTAATAACTCTATTAGCTACCTAATAGTACTAGGGGCCTAGGTTTATTAAGTATTATACTAGATAAGTAGTCGATTTTATAGTATCTAGTCTTATAATCGTAGTAGTATATCTAGTAGATCCTACCTTCTTTTAGTATAATAAGATCTCTTAGGCTATAGCTATATCCTAATATAGAGTTAGCTCTTTAATAGGTATTAGGATATATACCGCTAGTTTATCTATAAGATTATATCGTATAGTAATACTTACTATATAGCTATCTTAATAAAGCTATAGCTTCTTTTACTACCTATCTCTAATAATATAGATATTAAGAAACTATACTATCTCTCTATAATTAGTTAGTTCCTAGTAAGTTTCTAGATCTCGTTCTAGCTATATAGCCCTTTCTTATACCTCCCTACTATTATAATAGGTAATTAGAATATTATTAATATAGAAAAAGACTATTAGTCTATTTCTAATAAAGATATAGGGGTCTTCTAAGGCTTATTATAGTCCTAGCTTACGAAATATACTAGCTACTTCCTATTACTAAAGTTAAGGTAAGATCCGTAGACTATATAGTACGCGGCGGAGTTTCTAGTATTTACCGGGTAGTCTAAACCTATTAGGTATCTAAGTATAGACCTCTTTTTCTAACGTACTATTTAAAAAGGTAGTAATAGTATCCCGCTATCTTAGATCGAGATTAAATACGGTAATAAGAGTAAAGATTATTCTTATAGTCCTTACTACTAGGGTAGTAGCTCTCTTTTCTTCGTACGAAATAGTCTCTAGGTCTCCCTATACGTATATATAAGCTTTAAATTTAACTAGATAACTATCCTAATCGTATTTATAGGTGAATACCTATATAAGAGGTAGTATTTACTTACCTCTATCCTTTAGTCTCTCTATAATCTTATAGGTTTCCTTTTCTATTAGAGAGTTAATCTCCTTTCTTATTACTACGAGAAAGCCTTCCTAAAATAGATAGTTTATAATATCTTTATAGTATTTTAGGACTAGGGGGAGATTATCTTAATATCGTCTAATTTCGGGTTTCTTAGTATATAGTCCTATAGCGAAAGTATATAGTAGTATAGGAGGGTCTTCTTTTTCGTCTATAGCTCCTATAATTATTATATAGATATAGTCTTTATCTTACCTAGTTTAACGTCTTCGCTTTCTACTAATAATATTACTAGTATTAATATCTCCTATAATTTATCTACTTAAGGCGAGAAGTTCCGCCTATAGTTATCTTTCTAGCTTATTTTCTAACTTATCTTCTATATTAAGGTAACTATTTGTCAAGGTAGTACTTATTAACTAGGTGAATAATAATACGAGAGGGATACGTAGTTAGAACAAAGGGTATTCGATTCTATATTAGTTATAAGACTGAATCTTACCTTC